AGTGATTCCACATGTATAACAATTTAATTCTTTTAAGTTTTTGATATGTGACATCCATGTTATCAATCTATAGTTTTCTTATACGAATACTGTTTTACTACCAACTTTGTGGAGTGGGGCTATATCAGCGGTTTTAATCTCAGCTGAATGCTGGACAGCTTTCTCTAGATAATGTCTGTAAACTGATGAGGAAAAGCAGATTATAATTGTATTTCATGTGTGGGTCATTCAACGCAAGGTATAAGTGCATAAAGTTTGATTTAAACTGAGTAAATAAGAAACAAATTTTCAGTGATTTTAAGGGCACACAAATGTTATGGACACAAGTTTATTATGTAGATTTAAACCAAGATACCCAGTAAACTCATATGGGCCATACAGCAATTGGGAATGGGAGAACATTAGGTTCAATTTAAGGGAGGTAAAGATATCTCCAGTTCCTTGGACCAAGAGCCCTTCTGTATTTAGGCACCTCCACTACAGCCACCATAAGTGGTGGATGCTCAGTCCTCCATGTGCTTAATACAGCCAGGTCTCTGACCAGTCAGGCTGATGATTGCATCATGGAATAGCAATGCATGAAACACACTACATGACTCGTACAATTGCAGCACAAGTCCAGTTCCTTAGATCAGAAACCCCTCACCAGCATCAAGGAACCTCCCTTTAGGGGATGCATGGGGAGAGTGCCTGCAAAACAAGAGGCAATCAGATTCAATTTGAGAAAAGGCTCTAATTCTTTGATAAAGCTCCCATCACGGGAATAAGACACTTTCTTTGAAGGGAGGTAAGGCTTATGCAGTGCATCAGGAAGGGAAGATAACTGGGTTTGAGCTGAAGAAGGAGATTGCAGCTCCAGTTCCATGGACCAATAGCCCTTCTCCAGCATCGAGGCACCTTCCTTAGGGAGGAGGAATAACTAATAATGGTAAGGCCATCTAGTGTATATTAAAGGATTCCTGGTAGGAGCCACATCCCTATACCCAAGCAGTAGTACACGTATACCTGTGTTATCAGTTACTTATACTAACTCTCAAGTGTAACTATCAGTCTGGTGTGTTTTTGTTAAATGTTATCTCCATGATGCGCACTTATCATGACTACTATCACCCAGTTATCTTTAACACCAAGTGTGATAACCAACACGTCTGTGGCCACACTCACAACTTACCACACAACACTGTTATATCACTTTGACACAATAATAATTCATTATTATAACATTTATGTTAAGCACTAAACCCATAGGGCTCATACAACAGTTGGGAAATGGGAAGTAATCAAGTTTGATCCAAGGGTGAGAAGAATAGTATGAATTCTAGGGATCAATAGCCCTTCAGGATAATCATGACACCCCTATGATATGACACTAAAAGCCTTGATCCAATTCAACTTTTTGGGTAGGATTTCTTTTAACACACTGGCTGTCTCCCACCTAGGTAGGGTGACCCAAAATAGAAGAAACACTTTCACCATCACTTAATCTATCACTGTCTTGCCAGTAGCATGCTGACATAACAGCTCACATGCCCTTCAAAACTGCAATATCCCCACCCCTCCTTCAGAGTGCAGGCACTGTTACTATCTCCTCCAGGATTCCAGTCCAGTACAAAAAATATTCAACTGTTTATCATTCTTATGAGGAATGAATATTTACCCTGTTCTGTTATGCATGTTTTCTAAACAAACTTGTGAAATACAGTATTAGATGTTGTTAATTATCCTATTATTATTATTACAATTAAAACTAAGTGCTCAACCCACAAAGGTCTTACAGTGATGCAGGGTAGGATGTGCTAAAGATGTAATGTGCCAAATCAGAGACCAGCGAGGGTGAAGAGGATGCTGGAGGTAGAGTCAGTAAGGGCAGAATTAATCCTATGTGGGTACAGTGCAACCTCAGTTTTCAAATTTAATTCATTCCAGATGTTGATTCGACAACCAAAATCGATGACAACTAAAGCAATTTTTCTCAGAGAATAATGTAAACAGAATTAATCCGTTCCAGACCCCGAATGACAACATAATACAATACATATTAATAATGTACTAACTACTACATAAAATAATGTATAAAATTATACAGCACAGGGGAAACTGTAAAAATGAATACTAAATAAAAGTTTAATTGAAATACTGTACAGTAAATGAAAATTTAACTGCCTCTTACCTGTCAGAGGAGAGCTAATGGTACACTGGAAGCCGGGGGGGTGGAGGAGGGGAAAAGGGAGGATGTTATTGTTTGGAAGGAGAGTCCCTCCTATTAATATGTCGGGGGCAACGGGTCCTGGTGTTCTCTTCTTTGTCTCTTTTCCCCACTAACCCCTTGTTTGGCTACGGGGTTCTTTGTCTAAAAAAAAACACCTGTCCAGTGGGGGGTTTTGTTTCGGGCCCTTGTTTTAACATTGTTGAATTGAGACATTACATTTGTCATTGTATTTGTTAGAGAGAAAAATGGCTACTGTTTTTTGTTTGATGGAAATTTTTCAGCAAATCCGAATTCATGGAAATTTAGCACGCATTTCCTTGACAAGTGGGGAAAGCTTGTCCTTTGGGAAACCCAAAAGAACGTAAAAAAACCCAAGGATATTTTTTTTTTAAACCCGCCACATTCAAAGACGGGTTTATTAAACAATTTGGGGCAGGTTAAACAACGAGATTCCACTGTTAAGTTTTGTTTAATGTCTAACCCCTTCATCCCTTTTTTAAAAATTACACCCTGCCCTTCACTCAGCAAATTTTATTAAATTCCCGACGCCCGACTTACGACGGGTCTTTTGCCAGTATTCATCCCTCAAAATTCTGTTTATTTCAATATACGTACACTATTGAAAACATTTAAAAATTTTTCCCCGAAATGTTATAAATAGTGAAAAAGGGTGATTTTAAAAAACAATATCAAAGATGGCTGACAAAAAATTTGCTACCTTTATAAAAGGGGGCCCCCCGGTTTTGTTTTTGTTTATCGGTATCGATAAACCGGAAACCCAAATGCATTATATCGCAGAAAATTTTTTGCCTCGTTTTCCCGATAAAAAACCCGGTATGCGATGTGGTTATAGGGGAAAAAGTTTTCCATGTGTGGCCTAAACTGCCCCTTTGTGTGGTGTTTACAACCCAAACCCAGTGGGGCGCGCATTAAGGATCCATTCGGTACTTTCCCTTATTATCCATATTATCATTTTTTTGGTCCCTGTTTTTGCAAAATAAGTCACCATGGGCCCCAAGAAAGCTCCCCGTGCCAAAACCCCCCCAGACCAAGGGTGCTAATGGGGCCCCCTTTAAATGAAGAAAGGGTTTAAATTTCAAAATAAAAAAGTGGAGTGCGTGTGTCGGAGCGGTCGGGGTTTGAAAAGTAAAACCCCCCAATTTAAAACCCTTCTTTCTATAGTGGGGCCCAAGGAAAAAGGCAGTCCCAAAGGGAACTGTTCTTGCAAAAAAGGGGCAACTGTTTATTACGAAACAGGAGCAAGTGTTAGAAAATGTTGGAAATGTTTATTGGTTGTGGATAAATTTAAAAACAGTTGCAGGGGATTGCATTTTCTCAATCATTTTTTGTGAAAAGGTAGGGATTTTCCCTGACCCTTTGGTTTAAAAAAATTGCCTGCAACTAGTGGTGATGTGAGTGAATTTAAGGCCAGCAAAGGTTGGTTTGAAAGATTTAAGAACCGTAGTGGTATACATAGTGTGATTAGGCATGGTGAGGCTGCCAGTTCAGACCACAAAGCGGCTGATTTTTTTTTTTTTTTCAACAAGTCGGCCGTCCCCCACCGAGGCAGGGTGACCCAAAAAAAGAAAGAAAATCCCCAAAAAGAAAATACTTTCATCATCATTCAACACTTTCACCACACTCACACATTATCACTGTTTTTGCAGAGGTGCTCAGAATACACCAGTTTAGAAGCATACACATATAAAGATACACAACATATCCCTCCAAACTGCCAATATCCCAAACACCTCCTTTAAAGTGCAGGCATTGTACTTCCCATTTCCAGGACTCAAGTCTGAAAAATATGTGCATGAATTCAAGGAGTACATAGAGGCTGAAGGATTGAAACCTGGTCCTAGTGGCATTAAAAGAAGGGAAGTAACCCCGGAAAAGGACTTGCTACCTCAAGTCCTAATGGAGGGGGATTCCCCTTCTAAATGCTAACACCATCCACACTCTCCCCTCCTCCCATCCCATCAATCATCACCAGATCTTCATTAAAGGTAAGTGTCAATTATTCTTTCGTTGTTTATTGTTATTGTTATTGTTGTTATTGTAATTACTATTCTATTGCATTAAACTTAATATTTCATGTGGTAAAAGTTTTTTTTTTCATACTTTTGGGTGTCATGCACGGATTAATTTGATTTCCATTATTTCTTACGGGGAAAATTGATTCGCTTTCCGATATTTTTGGTTTACGATGAGCTCTCAGGAACGGATTAGTATCGCGAACCGGGGGTCCACTGTAGTATGCTCCTCACTTAGCGACGAATTCGTTTAACAACGTGGTCTCAGGAACGGAACTCCATCGTTAAGTGAGGAGAGGCTATGTTTGTGGGAAGGGGATAAATTTGTAGGAGTCGTGCAGCACCTGAGGAATAGGAGGTAATGAAGTCTGATCCTTGAAGTATGTTTATTTGTAAAACACTAATAAAATCCAGAGTTTTGCTCGCCTCATACCTCCCTTTAATTTCCTGCTATTCTCAATGTTATCACTTGATCGTATATTGTCATTTTCCTTCTAATGTGGTTATGAATTATCTTCATTTGTTTTTACCTTGGTTGCTATGTCCATTCTAAGCTGTTTTTCAGTGTCCCTTGTACAAAGATGATAATTCCTGCCTTTTGTGCTAGCTTCCCTGCTCTGGGGTTGAGTTATCATTATATTAAAAAAGTGGTAAAACCCATATGGGTCATTCAGTATGAGGTCAACTTCATTCTGCATATGTAGGGAAACAGGAATAAAAGATTGAAGGTAATTCTTTATCATAATAAAAAGAGAGACTAGAAATGGGCACTGTTTATTAACATAATGTTCCATTGCCATCACAAGAGCTATAAGTGATAATTAAATGACTAGTAGACATAAACATGGTACAAAATTTTTCTTTTAAAAGTTATGCAAAGGTTGAATTATAATTAAATTGTTTAAGACAAGTTTGTTTTAATTACATGATTGTGTTGACCTTTATCTAACTTTGTAAATATACATATCAATCACTTTTGAATGTAGTACACATTAATCTAACACTTAATCTAAATCTAATATATTTTTAATAATTATTCCAAGTTATAAATGTAATGAAAGATTTATTTTAAAAAATCACAGCAAAACACATGTATAAATTTCCAACTTAGATCACTCGTTCCTCATTAGGTACTACAGTGATTGTTGAATTACAATATTAGGAGCATATTTCCAATAAATCTTTTTCAAATTTTAAAACTGCTGAACTGACTGCCACTTACATTTGCCATGACCACTGGATTATGTTACTGCCTTGAAATTGGACAACAACTCTAGAAAGCAATCAAGTGATATTCACTACAGCAAAATGTAAAAAAAACCCAACACCATGCAGGTTAATCTTCATTCAAAAGCTACACTGTAGTTAAGTGAGAATATTGGAAAAATGCAAACTTCAATGAAAGAGAGCATTACAAGTCAAAGGATGTCATCACAAATCTATTATACTTTGTGCACAATGGTTTGAAGCATGATGAAGTGCACAACAGGAATAGTCTATTAGATTATGTATTAGACTGTGGAGATGAATGGTGCAAGGCTGGCTGACAAGTGGATAAAACTAGAAATTTGCAGACAGAAACTTGACTGAGGCATTTCACCTGTAGAACTGGCTTCTTCAGCCACAGACCGATGAAGCTACTTCTACAGGGAAAATATCTTGATGAAGCTCCTCACAGCAAATTTTGTCCATCACTGCCAGATTATGTATTAGTGAACAGAAGGTTGAAGGGTAGACTTGTGGATTTACATGATGTCAGAGTGAATGATACATTTGATCATTTTCTAGTGGAAGCTAGATGGAGGGAGGTGGGGTACAGGGTAACAGTGTCAGTGGGAAAAAAAAGTGAAGGGGTTGATTAGTAAGACGTACAATATGAGCAGTGGCTGGAAGTAAGACTGACCAATGACAGACAAAGTAATGAAGGAAATATCAAAGAGGTATGGTGTTTTATTCAACAATGTAATGGCTGGGTTTATAGAAGGGTTAGTCCAGGCAGGAAGAGGAATGATTGGTATTATGTGGAGGAAAGGGTGGTAAAAGAAAAAAAAAAATATATAGTCTATAAAGGATTTTTACCAAGAAAAAACATACTGTGCAATACAGAGATGAAAAGAGAAAGAGAAGTTGAAAAATTAGAAAGTTGAGAACACAAGAAAGAGATTTTCTACGTTATGAAACTTTTTATTAGAGGTTTGCTTTGCAGCTGTGCCCAGAACTAACAAAGAAACTTGAGCAAATTTCTCATACTAAAGTTGAACTTCCCAAAAGTTAAGGAGTTCTTAGAATCTATGATCATCAAATCATTTCTTATCCAACAATGCTTCAGAAGTTCAATGTTGTGGAGCACATATCAATCCATCTTGGCCTGCAGTTTCACCAAGGTTTCTTAGGAAATCTCAACCAGCTAATTTAAATGAGGAGATCCTTTTACCATTATCACAGTACATGATCTGATTACAATCCTCCAGAATACAAGTTCTCTTGATGCAAGAAGCAATGAATGACAACATTAGAGATGACCACTTTCACGTGGGCACAGAAGCCCATTTAATTTTCCTTTATAAGTGAAGCTCCATCAATACATACAGCATAACAATCCATCCAGTAAAGGTTTTATGGCTTGAAAATAAAACTGCATACCAACTTTCTCCCAAGAAAGTTTCATGGCCCTGATTTGAATTGATACCAGAGGTTGAGAAACAGTGTATTAAGAGATATGGAGAATTATTTTGTTAAATGTAGATGATGCAATGGAAGTACAGACTTTATGCATGGGACAGAAAGAAAGATTCTTAAGTGAGGATGAAGAAAGTGAGTGAGGCAGTAAACAGACTGAACCTAAAAATGCAACAAGACTGGCTGGGATGAAGACTGAGATGCTGAAAACATGTAGGCATATAGACTGGAATGACTGGAGTACATGCTAAGTTTATGAATTGTATAGCAGAACTGAAAATGCCAGAGCTGACGTGGTTCCTTTGTACAAGAGAAAAAGTGAATAGACAACACAAGAATTATAAAGAAATAAGTCTGTTGACACCACTGGGTGAAATGCATGGCACAAGAGTTATCAAAATAGTCATGGGAAAGACAAAGTAGGATTACATAGGAACAATGTGGTTATAGGAAGCAAAGGAAAGCAATGTGTGGATCAAGCACTGCAGCATACAAATGCATACAATGCATTATGGATTTGAAAAAGAGGCATAAGACAGGGTGGAAAAAGAAGTGATGTGGCTAGTGTTTAAGTGTATGGAAAAGATGGTCCACTATTAAAAGTTGTAAAAGGTTTTAATTGGAGAGTCTCAGATTAGGGTATAAATGAAGAAGTTGAAAGTGATTAAATAATGAGTGATGAGAATAAGAAGTTTTGGGAATGAAAGATTAAATGTCAAACTGAACGGAAGGTGTTATACCAGATTTAATGCAAATGGAATTAGTGAATATATTAAGTTATCTGGAAGGGGCTTGGACTTCCAGCAAGCGTGCATGAGCGTGTTAGATAGGAGTGAATGGAGATGAATGGTACTTGGGACCTGACGATCTGTTGGAGTGTGAGCAGGTAATACACAAATAACCCGCACATAAAAGAGAGAAGCTTACGACGACGTTTCGGTCCGACTTGGACCATTGACAAAGTCACTTTGTCAATGGTCCAAGTCGGACCGAAACGTCGTCGTAAGCTTCTCTCTTTTATGTGCGGGTTATTTGTGTATCGTTCCAGTCACGGTATTGTGCCTTTTTGTTATTTGTGAGCAGGTAATATTTAGTGAAGGGATTCAGGGAAACCGGTTATTTTCATATAGTCGGACTTGAGTCCTGGAAATGGGAAGTACAATGCCTGCACTTTAAAGGAGGGGTTTGGGATATTGGCAGTTTGGAGGGATATGTTGTGTATCTTTATATGTGTATGCTTCTAAACTGTTGTATTCTGAGCACCTCTGCAAAAACAGTGATAATGTGCGAGTGTGGTGAAAGTGTTGAATGATGATGAAAGTATTTTCTTTTTGGAGATTTTCTTTCTTTTTTGGGTCACCCTACCTTGGTGGGAGACGACCGACTTGTTGAAAAAAAAAAAAAAAATCTGGAAGTGGAAGATGGGTCTGGAAGATGGGGCTAGAATGACAGTAGGCATCCCAGAATAGATGATGGAAAGAAAATACAAGCTGTTCCAAAGTCTATGGAAGAAAAGAAGTTTGTTAATGAATGCCAAAAAAGGGAATGTATCAAAAGTATTGTGGTGCCAGTGGTTTTTGTATGGAAGTGAAGCACAGGCTTTTGAGTGTTGCAGAAAAGAGGCTGGAGGCAGTGGTAATGCCATGCCTAGCTGAATATTATGCAAAGCATAAAAAAAAAAAAAAAAAAAAAAAAAAAAAAAAAAAAAAAAAAAAAAAAACTATGCAGTGGTATCAAAGGTACAATTCAAGAAGTGAAAGGGGTTGAGATGGTTTGGTCGGGTAGAATGGGAGAAAGACGGGTGCATAAATCTGGGGTGGAGAGAATGTTTACATAAAAATTAAAGTAAAGGGTTGAAGCAAGAAGGGAATGTTTTGAGGTAAGAGCTTGAGCATCCAGAAGGCATTTGTGAGCATGTGAAATCAATGAGTGGAGGTAACTGGATTTTGGGGATCAATGTGCTGATGGAGTGAGAGTATAATAAGGAAACCAGGTTACTGAACTTAAGAATGTTAGAATGGGAAGTACAGTGCCTGCATTTTTGAGAGCCTGGTACTGATGCTGTTGTTTGGTGGGCCACTGATTGGTAATCAACATGTACTTATTGAAGAACAGACTAGGCTTAAGTGGTAAGTTTTTTTCTTTTTGGTCACCCTGCCTTGGTGGGATATGGCCAACACTGAAAAAAAATATAAACACACACACCCACACCTCACTATTCAATGTAGCTGAATAGGACTTCATGAAAACTGAAGTTACTAAGCTCAGGAAAGTCCAGTCAACTACTACATACTGCAGTTACCGTAAGTGTCAAAGCTTAGCAAAACGTTTTAAATGTTCTAATCTATTATTGTCGAGTTCTTAAAGCTAACAATCCAATGGGTTAATAAACTGACAAACTGACAATGATGAACTGCAGTAATAAAATGAATATCTATAAATTGTTTGAAGTTAGGATTATATACATCATTTTATTGGTAACGCACCTTTTGCAGGAAAACATTCCTTCCAATATGATTTATTATTTATGAAAGGACATCGAGGGCTTAGTCATCTGGAATGAAAATAATGAAGTTAGATACTGTATATGGAACAGCTTGCTAAATACAGTAGTGCACAATAGATAGGAGCAAGACTTCAATTTTTTCAAATAATCAGTTAGATGAACTTTCAGCATCATCATTCACAAAATATAATAAACATTCTCCAACAGTCTTCTACTTGTAATAAAATTTTACCCAGTAATAATGAATCATCTAAACCTGACTCAAAAATGTTTTATGCATATATATAGAGTATATAATCAATGAAATCAAATATTTAAAACTAATCAGCAAAGTCATGAAACATGTTTCAGATAACTTCCATGAACATTTACCTAATACAGGTACATTATACTACAAATCATCCTTATGTCATTTTTTAGATCACACAATTACTGAAACAGGTGCCACTTTCATATATGACAGGTGATAAGATTTATACATTACAGGCATAGGAAACCCAGAGAAGATTATGCCCCCCAATTAACATTTTTTTTTTAAGGGTAAGTAGGAACAAAATAAGCAGCATATCTTTTTCCTATCTCCAATAATATTACTTTACACAGTATACAACAAATAGGACCACAGGTATTTTATCATTTTTGACACCATATTAGTCCTAAGGAGTACCCCATTTCTAAAAAAAATAGCTCCCCATATACAAAATTTTTAAACATCATGTTTTTAATTTAAACTTACCAGCAGTTAGCTACATTAGAACAACCCTTCTGATCAAGTATGCAACATCTAGTCAGTTGACTTCAACAAGATAGTGCAAGGAATATAACACAAAAGCAACCAACTACTTAAAACTAGACCAATTGTCCATTAACTCCACTTTGCAGTATAAAAAAAACTCACTTTCCATTAACTTTAAAAGTGCATTATCAATTTAAATGGGAATTTATTAAAAAAAAAAACGTTTTATATTGGTAATTATACTGCACTATACTGATACATGTAGATAGAAATTACCCTCATGCAGGTACTATCATCCTGCCATACAAGTATAAAATGGAAGCCTGATAAATGTTTTGCACTTTTTCAGGATACATAGTATTGTCATTCTATCTTAGGGATATCTAGCATGATAAGTAATATTAATACTTCTAATGGCACTTTCTCACGTATTGTTAATTTTTTTTTTTTCAACAAGTCGGCCGTCTCCCACCGAGACAGGGTGACCCAAAAAGAAAGAAAATCCCCAAAAAGAAAATACTTTCATCATCATTCAACACTTTCACCTCACTCACACATAATCACTGTTTTCTTCTTATTCTTTTTAGTAATCTTTACAGGAAAAGGGGTTACTAGCCCATTGTTCCCGGCATTTTAGTTGACTTTTACAACACGTATATTATTATTGTAATTTCAGTAAATTAAAAAAAAATATTTCCTGTATGAATTATTTTCTATAATAAATGGTTTAAAATGAGCATTTTTATAATTAATACCAATGAAGTGTAGGATAACCCCTTCTCCTGTATATAGTACTAAATGTAAAAGGAGAAACTTCCGTTTTTCCTTTTGGACCACCCTGCCTCGGTGGGATACGGCCGGTGTGTTGAAAGAAAGAAAGAAAGAAAGAAAGAAAGAAAGAAGTGTAGGATGTTTTAAAGTGTATTCACTGTATAATTTGTAATGATCTTGGGGTGCTTATCAGGATGAATATGGAAGACTATTTAAGAATATGGATTAGCATTACAATACATGATTGCTCAAGACCTTCTGAACACACACAAATCTATTTTTAACATGCTGAATATTCTTAGATAGGTTACTTTAATACATTGCAATCCTCAACATAAACCTTCCACAATTAAATATAAAAGTTTTATAAAACAGAAATATATTGCTGGATTCAAAGTACAGAATATATGAAAATAAAATAGAGACTTGCTGAACAAAGAACATTTTTAGCTTTTGTATTTTGTATTTGTGTATTGTAGAGATCTTTTAATATTTTTAGCCCATGAACAATTTCACAATTATTTGCTAATGCCACAGACCTTACCACTCTGCAGCTCAACAGCAACATCAATAGTGCAGTGCTTAGATAAAACTGTGACAAGTCTTTGTGGTTTTGTTAATAAAGTTACAATTGTTACAAGTGAAAACAATACTTATATCCAATTTTCGTGCATTTAAGAATATTAAGTATTAGCAGCATTCCTTTTAAAAGTACACAAGTATAGATTTTAGTCCTTTTGGTCGCTTTCAATGAAAGTTATTCCACAGTAATAAAGAAGTGTACTGAGATATCACACTTTACCAAATCAAGATGCTACTACATATATGGTACACTATTGTCAGAATGGCACCACCATACTTATGTCAGCTTTAAATATTTACATTTTATGTTACAGTAACTAATTTATATTTTGAATAAGCTAGAAAGCTTCCTTATTTTCTCTCCTACTTATATTTCAGCCACTATATAATATTATTTGCTTCCTATGCCTGTGTCATCTTATATATACAGCATTCACCAATGACAAAATTGATAGTAACTGATTCTCACCTCAGTGACATTCAGTACTGATCAGTGAATTACAAGCAGTTGTTATTTACAAAACATTTTCAGTAAACACATTAGGAATACAAAATGCATAGACTTGTACCAGTAACAATAATGTGAGGGTGTGGTGGAAAGTCTTGCTTTGCACAACAAGCTTATACAGTAGTGGGACAAGGTTTTGATCTGTTAAGATCCTGACTAGATCAAAACAGTGTCCCCATAATAGCTTGTTTTGCTAAGTGTTCTTTTCTTCACTATTGTTGGCACCAATCCATTTAGTTTCAATGTTAAGTTGTGTTTACTGTATCAGTCGTGTAATCAACATCTTTAATTTAATAATAATTTATTTGGCTATCTGGCTTGAAAACTGGGTACTGTTATAATGACAAATATTAATTGAAGCAGAGAAAAATTAGATTTCCAATGGGAGTACATGATAGGGTATAAAGCTTTCGGAATATTACTCACCAAATAATATGCTTTTGTTTCTTCTTCACCTCTGACTCCCCTTGTTCAATACTCAAATTTTTTGTAAAACATCTTTGGTATTGATTATAAAAAATCATTCATACATTCAACTTCTACACACTTACTCCTGTTCCACACTGTAAGCATCCAGAGTGTAATCTGCATTAATGATTAAGAAATATGTGAGGACTACGTTTTGGTGAAGTTTAGATTATAGAGCGTGAAATAGATCTACTTAATACCTACAAGAAACTATTAGTCACAGTAATTGCCTTTAATCAGGAGTAAAAGTATGCAATAACATCACCTGCTAAGAGCAGATAATAAATTTACAGTAATGGTCAATATTTAAAGGGATATTTAGCCATATTCTTTGCAATGAAATGTAGTTTGTAAAAGTTACAGTATTCTATAAGAAACATGACACTGTTTATATAATTGGTTCCCCTGCATATATTCCCCTGAATATATTTGTTATACTAACATATAAAGAGAGCTAGCTACAATGAACCTGGAAGATTCTACTTAACGGTAATACGTTTTTCCTGTTGCACTAAAATTAGGAATAACCCACTCCTGATGACCCTTCCTCTTATTGTATCCATGATGCCCATGTCTACCTCTTTTTTCCTGCTGCTTATGGTAATAATAATGATTATCATCATCATCATCATCATCATCATCCTCATCCTCAAATCTTACATACTGTCTATGGGTCTCTTGCTTTCCATTCCTATTGTGGTCATATCTGTCATAGTCATGTAGCCTGCTCGTCTCATATTCATCCTGAAATCTCATATCCTTCCTTCCTTGTGCTCTGCTAAATTGCCAATCTGCCTTTTGTTCACTCTCTCTTAAGTTACTTCTATCCTTTGCTCGGTCAAACAACCAGTCAGACTTATGCTCCTCTTTGCGTTTGTGCTCACGACCTGTTGCTCTCCTACTAACCCACTCTCCGCTGTAGTGCTGGGTGTGATTCTTACCACGTCGTCGGATAAATGTTTTCTTAGGCCCAGAATATTCTCTATGGTAATTCTTCTTAGATGGTTTCTGCCAGTGGCGCATCAATCCTTTTCTTTTATTGTTATCCTCCTCATCGTCATCGTCATATGTGATATAGTGTTTCTTCTTGTACTTGTCGTCCTCATCATCATCATCATCGTCATCATCATCGTAATACTTTTTCTTATGGTGCTTTCTCTTAAATCTATGACTATCATCGTCATCATCGTCGTCGTCATCATCGTCGTCATCATCATAATGGTGTTTTTTATCGTATTTATTGTAGTGTCCTTTGTAGTATCGTTGGTTTTCATCCTTTTCTTTAATATTTCTATCCCGTTCATTTCTCTGATGATAATTCCGTGATTTGTCATTATGATTGCCATGACCATCGTGTTTCTCTTCTGATTTTTTATTTTTCTTGTCATTCTGCTTTTTATTAGACTCCTCTTTCTGGGATTCTCCCTCCTTTTTAACCTTCTTTTCTTCCTTTTGGCTGATCCTGTTTCTTCGTGATCTGTGACGCTTGCTCTCTTGCTTTTTCTCTTCCACCTTTTCTTTTATTTTTTTAGCTACATTCTTTCTCTTGTCATCTGGTATTTTCTTCTTATCCTCTCCTCCTCCTCTACGTTTTCCTTCTCTCCCCTTGTGAGACTTTGTTTCGGCTTTAGAAGACTGTTCTGAAGCAACATCCTCAGCTTGAAAATCTTTCTTGGCTCCTACTTTTACTACAGGTTTTTGTCTAGCTTTCACGCTAACTACTTCTTCCTCTTTAGGGACTGCTTCTTTGTGAGGCTCCTTCTTGACTTTTCCATTTCCTACTTCTTCATCCTCCTTGTCCACCAGCAATTCTTTTTTAACTTCACTTTCAGGTACCTCTCTTTTCTTTGGTACAATTTCCACCACATCTTCTGTACCTGTATATTTTATTTTATTCTTAGCATCTTTGTTTTTATTCTTAGTATCTTTGTTTTTATTCTTAGCATCTTTGTTTTTATTCTTAGCATCTTTGTTTTTATTCTGAGCATCTTTGTTTTTATTCTTAGCATCTTTGTTTTTATTCTTAGCATCTTTGTTTTTATTCTTATCATCTTTGTTGTCATCATCAGCAGTAAGATCTGCAGCTTCATCAGATTTCACAACCACTTCACCCTATTGAAAAAAGATATCAGAAATTAAAGATTCATAACCATTACATTTCTGAATGTTTCATCCAGTAAATCACAATAAAACAAATGGCTTATTTCACTCAGGAAAAGTTTACTCTAGGATTTATTAATACTCTATTGAAGTTACAGTAACTAACTTTCTTTCAACAAACCGGCCGTATCCCACCGAGGCAGGGTGGCCCAAAAAGAAAAACAAAAGTTTCTCTTTTTAAATTTAGTAATTTATACAGGAGAAGGGGTTACTAGCCCCTTGCTCCCGGCATTTTAGTCGCCTCTTACAACACACATAGCTTACGGAGGAAGAATTCTGTTCCACTTCCCCATGGAGATAAGAGGAAATAAACAAGAACAAGAACTAGAAAGAAAATAGCAGAAAACCCAGAGGGGTGTGTGTATATATATGCTTGTACATGTATGTGTAGTGTGACCTAAGTGTAAGTAGAAGTAGCAAGACATACCTGAGACAGAAAAAAGGACACCAGCAATCCTACCATCATGTAAAACAATTACGGGCTTTCGTTTTACACTCACTTGGCAGGATGGTAGTACCTCCCTGGACGGTTGCTGTCTACCAACCTACTACCTATAATTAACTAACTATAGTCTGCAAATACTACAATGTGTGTGTATTAGTGTAAGGAATTCAAGAAAACTGGTTAGCTGAAAGTTAGAAGTACAGTACCTGTACTCTAAAGGAGGGGTTAAGGATGTTGCAATTCAGAGGGGTCATCTGAACTGTGACATCAGCAAGACAGCAATTAAATGACAGTGAATGAGTTTTCCCTTTTTTATATCACCCTAGCTTGGTGGGAGACAGCCACTGTGTAAAAAAAAAATATTTTTTTGTAACATGGGTTATATCTCATCAAAGCAGGGTGACCCAAAGAATAAATAAGAGACAATCACTATCAATGCTCCCTATTTACTTTTCCAGAAGGGCAGAGAGAGCATGGTCCAATGTTCACCCACAAAACTACAATATCCCAAACCCCAAAGAATGAAGAAATGAAAAAGAAAAAGAAAATTACTGTACAGTACTTCAATTGTGATGTGATTGAAAGTACCTGTATAAGCCTTTGTCAAGTTGTTATATATTCTACAGCATTCTAAATCATTTTTATTTTAGTAAAACCAAAATGCATACTACAGTATACAGCAATTTTAATTAGAGAAGGATCAGAATTCTCCATGGGGAAGTGGAACAGAATTCTTCCTCAGTAAGCCATGCATGTCGTAAGAGGTGACTAATATGCCAGGAACAAGGGGCTAGTAACCTCCTTCTCCTGTATATATTACTTAAGTTAAAAAGGGAAACTTGTTTTTCATTCTTGGCCACCCTGCTTCGGTGGGATATGGTTAAATTGTTGAAAGAAGTAATAGAATAGAGAGAAGGCCTAATGAGAGCATATTATATAATTAGGCCAAAAACTCATAAAGAAAATGCAAACTTGAAATTTCTGTAGTCCTGTAGTTTAAAGTGACTGAATTAAAAATTTTTTGAGATGTCATTTAGTTGTGAAAAATGTGCAGTCACAGAAAACTGGCATACAGCTTTTTAGCCTTAAAAGTAAAACAAAACTGCGTACCAAGCTGGCGCAAATTACCCAGTCTTTGGCTGGATATCTATACTAGACAAAAATAATTAAGCATACTAGATTATAAAAATTGTGTAAGTATTTCAAGTTTGAAAGTCAACTGAAAATGACATTCTCAAAATACAGTACAGGTACAGTATATGGAAATGTGCAAAAGAAAGCAAAATCATCATTACATAATTACTGTAAAGTTTTTCACACTACTATCCAAAACTAAAATACAGCCTCTCCTCACTTAACGACAGAGTTCCTTTCCTGAGACCACGTCGTTAAACAAATTTGTCGCTAATTGAGGAGCAAACTATAATGGTGGTGAATTTGTGTTAACCATTTTTTATATTGTTTTAATGTCACCTTTGCACTATTTATAACATTTCTAGTATATTTTTAAATGTTTATACAGTAGTGTACTGTATACAGTGGACCCCTGGTTCGCAATGCTATCGGTATCCGATAAATCCGGTAACCGATGCATTATATCACAGAAAATTTGCCTCGCTTCCCGATACAAAATCCGGTATGCGATGTGGTTCGTACGAGACGTGTCCATGTGTGGCCTGAACTGCCCCGTGTGTGCCAGTGTTTACAAGCCAGCCAGTGTGCGCGCATCTAAGGATACATTCGGTACATTCCATATTATCCATATTATCACTTTTTGGTGCTTGTTTTTGCAAAATAAGTCACCATGGGCCCCAAGAAAGCTCCCAGTGCCAACCCTTCGAGACCAAGGGTGCTAATGACTGTTGAAATGAAGAAAGAGATAATTGCAAAGTACGAAAGTGGAGTGCGTGTGTTGGAGCTGGTCAGGTTGTATAGTAAACCCCAATCAACCATCTCTACTATAGTGAGCAAGAAAATGGCAATCAAGGAAGTTGTTCTTGCAAAAGGTGCAACTGTGATTACGAAACAGCGACCACAAGTGTTAGAAAATGTTGAGAGACTGTTATTGGTGTGGATAAATGAAAAACAGATAGCATCTCTCAAGCAATCATTTGTGAAAAGGCTAGGCAGTTGCATGACGATTTGGTAAAAAAATTGCCTGCAACTAGTGGTGATTTGAGTGAATTTAAGGTCAGCAAAGGTTGGTTTGAAAGATTTAAGAATTGTAGTGGCATACATAGTGTGATTAGGCATGGTGAGGCTGCCAGTTATGTTGTGCGACAGAGGTCCAGTGACTCTCAACCTGGTCCTAGTGGCATTAAAAGAAGAAGGGAAGTAACCCCGGAAAAGGACTTGCTACCTCAAGTCCTAATGGAGGGGGATTCCCCTTCTAAATGCTAACACCATCCACACTCTCCCCTCCTCCCATCCCATCAATCATCACCAGATCATCATTAAAGGTAAGTGTCAATTATTCTTTCGTTATTTATTGTTATTGTTGTTATTGTAATTACTATTCTATTGCATTAAACTTAATATTTCATGTGGTAAAAGTTTTTTTTTCATACTTTTGGGTGTCTTGCACGGATTAATTTGATTTCCATTATTTCTTATGGGGAAAATTGATTCGCTTTCCGATATTTTTGGTTTACGATGAGCTCTCAGGAATGGATTAGTATCGCGAACCAGGGGTCCACTGTACTGAAATAAACAGAATAGAGGAAGTAAGATCTAAAATACATTATTTAGTTAGGAATACTGATCAGAGAGCCCATCGTAAGTCCATGGTGCTGGTAAACGAGTACGTCGCCAAGTGAGGAGAGGCTGTAATGCTTTGAGCATACTTAAGTATTAATGATGAGTCTTATGGTATGTACCTGATAGCAGGGAAATGTTCAATAAATAAAACTGTTAATATTTTTTAAGCACATACTACCTTTCTCTGATTTGAGGTGAATAAAAAATTAAAAATAATAATTCCTGCTCACCTCTAAGTCTTTCCAGGTCTTATCAAATTGTAATCCAAGAGCTGTGAGTTGATCTGTGAATGTGCTGAGAGTCTTCTCTATTGATGTTTTGCCACGTCTCAGGATGTTGCTACGTCCAATCTCTTTCACCTTGTTTACAACATTAACAATCACACGATTCATTCTTGCCAGGGTGTCACGGCCAACAGCTGCCATTTTATCTGGTTGGCTAAGTTCCTTAAGCTGTTGAAAATAAAGTAAAATGTAAAAATTCAAGACAGCAATAGCATAAATTGCTTCAATAATGCAAGTGTCAGCATTGATAGCTGGTTAATATATCAGCCTTAAGTCTGATCCTTGATAGTTGGTTAATATATCAGCCTTAAGTCTGATCCTTGATAGCTGGTTAATATATCAGCCTTAAGTCTGATCCTTGCTCTTTATACTCTCTTGGGTTGAATAAATTAATGGGAACCAATTTAGGATGATAGTTACCATGATACTCCTGTGACAATCAAGGCATGCTGACAGTTTAGAATTTGTCTCAGGCTTTTCCTAAGGAATATACAGTGGAACCCCGGTTTTCATCTTTAATCCATTCCAGAAGGTCGGCCAAAAACCAATTTGTATGAAAACTGAAGTAATATTTCCTATTAGAAATAATGTAAAACTAATTAATCCGTTCCAAACACCCAAAAATATTAACAAAAAATACATTTTATAGAGAATAATTATAGTTTTACATACAGAAAACAATGAGAAATAAATATAAAGCACTAATGAAATGGATAAATGAACATTTAACCCTTAAACGGTCCAAACGTATATATACGTTCATGCGTGTAGCACCCCAAACATATATATACGTTTTCTTTGTCATTCATTCAATATTGCCACAATAAGCCTGAGTCACCCAGACATGGGAGAATGGATGTGCACCATATTAAAATAATTGGGCATGCCTGGGTACCATATGCTCTTTTTTCCTTTTAAAAGAAAAGATTTTTTTTTTCCTCAAAAAATTTGGGGCGCTACGCGAGTGAACGTATATATACGTTTGGACCGTTTAAGGGTTAAATCACTTTTACCTTTATTGAAGACTTGCTGGCATATGGAAGATAGCGAGGAGGGGAGAGGGAGGAGAGGTTATCTCTACCACTGTCACTACCACCCTCTACCACCATCACTGCCATCCTCTACTACCATCACACCACCCTCTACCACCATTACAACCACTACCACCTCTACCACCATCACTACCACCCTATACCATCATTGCAACCACTACCACCTCTACCACCATCATTACCACCCTCTACGTGTTACAAAGGCAGACTGAGTCACGAACGTACGAGCAGCCGCATCCTGCGGCAGGCAGACACACATATGGTACAGACAATTTCCGAGCGGATGTATGAAAACGGGGAAAATTTCACCAAAAAAAGTGGTAGAAAACTGAACTGTATGATAACCGGACCGGACGAAAACCAGGGTTCCACTGTAAGTTTGGGAACACAAACCTTTGTGAGAAGTCATGAAGCCTATTTTGGGGTGACATCACCCCACATTAGTGTTTCAACATCTGGAAATGTGGTGCACATGAATTAATAACTATATGAAAATAATGAAAATAAGAAAAATTTTTGGAGTGAGTTAAACAAGTTAAGAAAGCCTAGGGAAAGTATGGATTTGTCAGTTAAAAACAGAGTAGGGGAGTTAGTAGATGGGGAGAGGGAGGTATTAGGTAGATGGCGAGAATATTTTGAGGAACTTTTAAATGTTGAGGAAGAAAGGGAGGCGGTAATTTCATGCACTGGTCAGGAGGTATACCATCTTTTAGGAGTGAAGAAGAGCAGAATGTAAGTGTGGTCGAGGTATGTGAGGCATTACGTAGAATGAAAGGGGGTAAAGCAGCTGGAACTGATGGGATCATGACAGAAATGTTAAAAGCAGGGGGGGATATAGTGTTGGAGTGGTTGGTACTTTTGTTTAATAAATGTATGAAAGAGGGGAAGGTACCTAGGGATTGGCGGAGAGCATGCATAATCCCTTTATATAAAGGGAAAGGGGACAAAAGAGACTGTAAAAATTATAGAGGAATAAGTTTACTGAGTATACCAGGAAAAGTATACGGTAGGGTTATAATTGAAAGAATTAGAGGTAAGACAGAATGTAGGATTGCGGATGAGCAGGGAGGCTTCAGAGTGGGTAGGGGATGTATAGATCAAGTGTTTATATTGAAGCATATATGTGAACAGTATTTAGATAAAGGTAGGAAGTTTTTATTGCATTTATGAATTTAGAAAAGGCATATGATAGAGTGGATAGAGGAGCAATGTGGCAGATGTTGCAAGTATATGGAATAGGTGGTAAGTTACTAAATGCTGTTAAGAGTTTTTATGAGGATAGTGAGGCTCAGGTTAGGGTGTGTAGAAGAGAGGGAGACTACTTCCCGGTAAAAGTAGGTCTTAGACAGGGATGTGTAATGTCACCATGGTTGTTTAATATATTTATAGATGGGGTTGTAAAAGAAGTAAATGCTAGGGTGTTCGGGAGAGGGGTGGGATTAAATTATGGGGAATCAAATTCAAAATGGGAATTGACACAGTTACTTTTTGCTGATGATACTGTGCTTATGGGAGATTCTAAAGAAAAATTGCAAAGGTTAGTGGATGAGTTTGGGTAGAAAGTTGAAAGTGAACATAGAAAAGAGTAAGGTGATGAGGGTATCAAATGATTTAGATAAAGAAAAATTGGATATCAAATTGGGGAGGAGGAGTATGGAAGAAGTGAATGTTTTCAGATACTTGGGAGTTGACGTGTCGGCGGATGGATTTATGAAGGATGAGGTTAATCAAAGAATTGATGAGGGAAAAAAGGCGAGTGGTGCGTTGAGGTATATGTGGAGTCAAAAAACGCTATCTATGGAGGCAAAGAAGGGAATGTATGAAAGTATAGTGGTACCAACACTCTTATATGGATGTGAAGCTTGGGTGGTAAATGCAGCAGTGAGGAGACGGCTGGAGGCAGTAGAGATGTCCTGTCTAAGGGCAATGTGTGGTGTAAATTTTATGCAGAAAATTCGGAGTGTGGAAATTAGGAGAAGGTGTGGAGTTAATAAAAGCATTAGTCAGAGGGCAGAAGAGGAGTTGTTGAGGTGGTTTGGTCATTTAGAGAGAATGGATCAAAGTAGAATGACATGGAAAGCATATAAATCTATAGGGGAAGGAAGGAGGGGTAGGGGTCATCCTCGAAAGGGTTGGAGAGAGTGGGTAAAGGAGGTTTTGTGGGCGAGGGGCTTGGACTTCCAGCAAGCGTGTGTGAGCGTGTTAGATAGGAGTGAATGGAGACAAATGATACTTGGGACCTGACGATTTGTTGGAGTGTGAGCAGGGTAATATTTAGTGAAGGGATTCAGGGAAACCGGTTATTTTCATATAGTCGGACTTGAGTCCTGGAAATGGGAAGTACAATGCCTGCACTTTAAAGGAGGGGTTTGGGATATTGGCAGTTTGGAGGAATATGTTGTGTATCTTTATACGTATATGCTTCAATATGTGAAAAAAAAATTAAACTGTTGTATTCTGAGCACCTCTGCAAAAACAGTGATAATGTGTGAGTGTGGTGAAAGTGTTGAATGATGATGAAAGCATTTTCTTTTTGGGGATTTTCTTTCTTTTTTGGGTCACCCTGCCTCGGTGGGAGATGGCTGACTTGTAAAAAAAAAAAAAAAAAAAAAAAAATGAAAATACGTACTGTATTCTACACCTGGAGTTTACCTGGAGAGAGTTCCGGGTATCATCGCCCCCGCGGCCCGGTCTGTGACCAGGCCTCCTGGTGGATCAGAGCCTGATCAACCAGGCTGTTACTGCTGGCTGCACGCAAACCAACGTACGAGCCACAGCCCGGCTGATCAGGAACCGACTTTAGGTGCTTGTCCAGTGCCAGCTTGAAGACTGCAAGGGGTCTGTTGGTAATCCCCCTTATGTATGCTGGGAGGCAGTTGAACAGTCTCGGGCCCCTGACACTTATTGTATGGTCTCTTTAATGTGCTAGTGACACCCCTGCTTTTCACTGGGGGGATGTTGCATCATCTGCCAAGTCTTTTGCTTTCGTAGTGAGTGATTTTCGTGTGCAAGTTCAGTACTAGTCCCTCTAGGATTTTCCAGGTGTATATAATCATGTATCTCTCCCGCCTGCGTTCCAGGGAATACAGGTTCAGGAACCTCAAGCGCTCCCAGTAATTGAGGTGTTTTATCTCCGTTATGCGTGCCGTGAAGGTTCTCTGTAAATTTTCTAGGTCAGCAATTTCACCTGCCTTGAAAGGTGCTGTTAGTGTGCAGCAATATTCCAGCCTAGATAGAACAAGTGACCTGAAGAGTGTCATCATGGGCTTGGCATCCCTCGTTTTGAAGGTTCTCATTATCCATCCTGTCATTTTTCTAGCAGATGCGATCAATACAATGTTATGGTCCTTGAAGGTGAGATCCTCCGACATGATCACTCCCAGGTCTTTGACGTTGGTGTTTCGCTCTATTTTGTGGCCAGAATTTGTTTTGTACTCTGATGAAGATTTAATTTCCTCGTGTTTACCATATCTGAGTAATTGAAATTTCTCATCGTTGAACTTCATATTGTTTTCTGCAGCCCACTGAAAGATTTGGTTGATGTTCGCCTGGAGCCTTGCAGTGTCTGCAACGGAAGACACTGTCATGCAGATTCGGGTGTCATCTGCAAAGGAAGACACGGTGCTGTGGCTGACATCCTTGTCTATGTCAGATATGAGGATGAGGAACAAGACGGGAGCGAGTACTGTGCCTTGTGGAACAGCGCTTTTCACCGTGCCTGCCTCGGACTTTACTCTGTTGACTACTACTCTCTGTGTTCTGTTAGTGAGGAAATTATAGATCCATCGACCGACTTTTCCTGTTATTCCTTTAGCACGCATTTTGTGCGCTATTACGCCATGGTCACACTTGTCGAAGGCTTTTGCAAAGTCTGTATATATTACATCTGCATTCTTTTTGTCTTCTAGTGCATCTAGGACCTTGTCGTAGTGATCCATTAGTTGAGACAGACAGGAGCGACCTGTTCTAAACCCATGTTGCCCTGGGTTGTGTAACTGATGGGTTTCTAGATGGGTGGTGATCTTGCTTCTTAGGACTCTTTCAAAGATTTTTATTGATATGGGATGTTAGTGCTATCGGTCTGTAGTTCTTTGCTGTTGCTTTACTGCCCCTTTGTGGAGTGGGGCTATGTCTGTTGTTTTTAGTAACTGTGGGACGACCCCCGTGTCCATGCTCCCTCTCCATAGGATGGTAAAGGCTCGTGATAGGGGCTTCTTGCAGTTCTTGATGAACACGGAGTTCCATGAGTCTGGCCTGGGGCAGAGTGCATGGGCATGTCATTTATCGCTTGTTCGAAGTCATTTGCATCAGGATAACATCAGATAGGCTTGTGTTAACCAAATTCTGTGGCTCTCTCATAAAAAATTCATTTTGATTTTCGACTCTCAGTCTGGTTAGTGGCTTGCTAAAAACTGAGTCATATTGGGACTTGAGTAGCTCACTCATTTCCTTGCTGTCATCTGTGTAGGACCCATCTTGTTTAAGTAAGGGCCCAATACTGGACGTTGTTCTCGACTTTGATTTGGCATAGGAGAAGAAATACTTTGGGTTTCTTTCGATTTCATTTATGGCTTTTAGTTCTTCCCGCGATTCCTGACTCCTATAAGATTCCTTTAGCTTAAGTTCGATGTTTGCTATTTCTCAATAGAATAATACATGGATCTTTTTTCATGTACTATATGTTAACACTTAGGGCACTAATTCCCTACCTTTTATAACAGCAAAAGGGTCTCTTCCAACCTAATTCTCCAACAGGCAATGTGGCCAATAAAATAAACAATAAATCTGTCACCCTGCCATGGAAGGCGACAGCTGTTAAAAAAAATCTGTTTAGTACAATAAAAAGGGCACATAACTTTTGCAGAAAATGATAAATAGAAAACCTCGTATTGTATCTAATTTACTACTGCATTATAGTACATGAAGCAAGTGATACATTCTGAAAAAGATAAAAACAGGAGACAATCTAGTTACATGCTCCCGGAGATTGTTTACTTTATGATATGGTGTATTATCCAAAAGTCTAAAAGGCTAGACATAATGAAGAGTATCTCTCTGTATTAATAATTACTTAGTATTCAGCATTTTATGAAATTTATATTACTAAAGAACTAATTGCTGTTATATTTAGGGAAACAGGAGGCAATCAGGTTCACTCCAAAGAAGGCAAGGACAAGTCCAATTCATCAGAGCAAGAGCCACTTACCAACTTCAAGGAACCTCTCTTGAGGGAATTCAGAGGTAATGCTTCTAATAATTATCAGAAGAAACTGAAACAAACAACCAGTCAATGTACTTAGGTTTTATGATCATTTACTGGTCTTGGTATTAGTAGATAAAGAGCAGCTTCTTAGCTGTTGAAAATACATGTACCTGTATTTCCTATATACAGTGGACCCCCGACTTATGATATTAATTCGTTCCAGAAGGCTGTTCGGGTGCCGTTACCGAACGAATTTGTTCCCATAAGAATATTGTAAATTAGATTAGTCCATTTCAGACAAAAGCACTTACAAAAATACTCTTACATAACTGTTCGAGTTGGGAGCTGATCATAAGTCGGGGGTCCACTGTACAATCTTAAACAGTACAAGTTCTTACCTTTTCCCACTTTCTTGATAACGATGCCTGAATTTGAGAAAATCTAGCTCGAGCAACATTAAGTTTCTGCCTTAACTGAAATATAAGAATACAGAAATGGATTAAAAGATCTTCAGAGTCAAAATAACATAAAATTCTTCAGTGGTATCAAATAACTGGACCTAATACTAAACTATAAGGCAGTAATCTAATGAAGGAGTACACAGAAACAATTCAAATGCCCCTTCAAACTGCAAGATTCCCACCCCTCCTTCAGGGTACAGGCACTGCCCTTCCCACATCAAGACCTTAAGTCTGGCTAACCAGTTTCCCCTGAATCCCTTTGCAAATGTTACTTTGTTCACACTCCAACAGCACATCCATCAAAACCTGCTTGTGTCTATTCACTCCTATCTAACACACTCACAAATGCCTACTGGATGATTAAACCTCTAAAATTCAAAGCCTCTTTTAGTCTTCCCCCCTCCCTCTAACCATTTCTGAGACAACCCCTTACCTCTTCTACCTTCCATCCTATCCCTCATCATCCTATCCCACTCCACCTCTCTCTCCATTCAGGAACACCCTCAAAAACCCCTGCTCGGGCTTTTAACTTATACCCTTGGTTAGCCCACATTGCTTATAAATTTCTACATTCTGAATTCTCTGCACAGTATTTGCCGTATCTCATGCAGTGCTCTCGAATGTGATATTTCCACACCTCTAGCCTCCTACTTGATGCAGTGTTCGAAACCCATGCTAAGTTATATAATACGTACTATATTTGCATTTTTAGAGTTAATGCTGAAAGTATGTCTTCACCCTATAGGGCAGTGATAACAAAGAACAAAGAAATGCTCATAGTGCTAAATTAATGAAGATTACATGATATTAAAATTTTACCAATTAAGCCTCAATTTATAGAAGTAATAAAAATTGTGCTATGCTTAACCATTAATATATGACTAATATGTCTATTATTTGTGTTGAATAACTTTGTTGAGTGGCAGCATTACTAAAGGCAAAGGAAGGCAGTCACCTAGGACACCTGGTAAGCCTGAGCCAGCCCTGGCTGAACAGGACATGATGTGAAATTGTTAGCAATATTAATGATGTATTTGTCAGTACTGTGTGTGCGCCTCGCAACATCAGTGGTAGCAAACAACAATGGTTTAATTGAGGAACTGACTACAGTACCCAATAAAGAGTACGGTAGGACCCCCGGATCCACAGGGGATATGTTCCAAGGACCTGCTGTGGATGCCAAAACCATGGTATAATAGGTATGTATATGTCCTATACATACCTATTATGAACTTTGAGAATTTTTTTTTTTTAACAAGTCAGCCATCTCCCACAGAGGCAGGGTGACCCAAAAAGAAAGAAAATCCCCAAAAAGAAAATACTTTCATCATCATTCAACTCTTTCACCTCACTCACATATAATTGCTGTTTTTGCAGAGGTGCTCAGAACACAACAGCTTAGAAGCATATACGTATAAAGATACACAACATATCCCTCCAAACTGCCAATATCCCAAACCCCTCCTTTAAAGTGCAGGCATTGTACTTCCCATTTCCAGGACTCAAGTCCGGCTATATAAAAATAACCGGTTTCCCTGAATCCCTTCACTAAATATTACCCTGCTCACACTCACAATAATTGGAGAATTATCACTTTTTTCACTGATGGGAAGGACTTCAAGGCTTCTCTTAGGTTTTGAAAAACTACTAGCTTTTCTGCTTTTGCTCTTTGGGGCCATTAATATGCAAAATTAAGAGGTATTTTTGGGCCACAGTAAACAGTGGACAACTGAAACCGCTGATACCGAATCAGTGGATACAGTGGTTCTACTATATGATAAATTATTACTCACTTGGGAATTCAGCTTAATACTTCCTGGAGCCAAATCTTCAAAGATATCTGTAGCAACATCTACTTTCTCTACAAGACTTCCTTCTCCAAACTCATGCAAGGTGTGAATAGCAGACAAAATCTGCAGGACATTAATAATGTCAATACCTTAATAAATTATCATATACATACTGTAATTAGGATTATTTTATAATATACACAATACACAATATACACAATTTTTTTTTTTTTAAATACACAATCAATTTTTCTTGTTACCCTACTCTCCAATATTTTCATCTTACAGATATGAATTGTTTTCCTACCTTCAGCTCATTGTACTGCCTGGCCCCTAGCAATACACAGTATTTACAGAATGTCATACCCAAAGATGTGACCCACAAAAGTTAATCAACAACCAGGTACCTAATTAATGCTAGGTGAACAGGAGGCAGCAGGTGTGATTATGAGCAAATTATTATAACAATTACAGGAATTATTTTATAGATCATTTCTCTATTTGTCTTGATCCCTAACAGAGAAATCAAGTTAGTTTCCCCAACTCCACTTACATAAAAAATATAATGTTCAATATACAGTTAAAAATTCAAAAGCCTAGTGTAATATAGACATTACATTTTTTGCAAATCCAAAACAAACTAGATGTTTTGACTGGAGACATGCCTGAGCAAGGCCTTCTTGGCAATGCACTGCATACTGGTAGCTTTCTTTTGTGCTTGACAATATTTTATTACATGTGAACTACATTTTGTATACTACAGAAAAGTGGTTAAGTTGTATTACATTGTATTATTTGTGTTACACTCACAAGGTGCTAATCCCAGCATATCTCACAAGAGAAACAGTCGCAGGAACTTAAATAATCCAATATGATTTCTTTTTTTTTTTTTTAAATAACACACTTGAACTTTAATCAACAATTTTCTTATGGGTATTTAGACAGTGCCCCAAGGTGCCCACATGGAAAATTGAAACTGATTACCCTAAAAGAGTTTGTGAGAAATTAAAAATGAAATTTGCTCAACTGTTACAAAAAAAAACTTTCTACTTTTGATCTGAGTAGATAAGAGAGAAACACTGAAGAAATTTCAGCAAATAAAAAGAATTAATTCAATTTTTTTCTCACCTGAGACATATATGATACATAAGTCTTTGCATTGTTAAGGTTGGGTGGCACTTTCTTCTTCTGTGAAGCTTCTTCTATTGTTTTCCTTAGCTTCTCTACATCTCGAGCTACAGCATTCAACTCCTGAGGCAATGGTTGCTAGAGGGGTAAAGATGCTAATTAAAAACTCTTATTTAAATAATTTCTCTTCAACTAACAATACTAAAGAACTAGTCAAGTGTATTATTCAGTATTTCAACAAAGGAAAAACACAGCTGAAACATGCAAAATATTTAGAAACCCCTCAGAAGGCTTTTTTTTTTTTTTGACAAGTTGGCCATCTCCCACTAAGGCAGGGTGACCTGAAAAAGGCCTAAAAGGCATAGCAACATTTAATAATCACTCTGTGGGAGACAGCCAGCATGTTAGAAAATAAAAACCAAAAAAACATGAAAGACACTGACTTTATAAATGAAGAGGAATTTAAGAATTTAGTGGCCATGAACATAAACTCTCTCATATATAAATAGAGAGAATATACAGTACTTGCACTTTGGGCAAGGTGAATTATGGTGATTATTATTGTGGGACTGGCACATCTCAAAACACTGTTGGTAATTCACTGGTATTTGCTCAAAATACATATGCATGTACTTGAGTCCAGGAGGTGGGAAGTACAGTACCTGCACTCTGAAGGAGGGGTGGGAATATTTGCAGTTTGGAGGGGCATCTGAACTGTAGTATCAGTGTGCCTCTGGCAAGACAGTGATAGAATGAATAATGGTGAAAGTGTTTCTTCTTTTTTGGGTCACCCTCAGTGGGAGATGAATGGTGTGTTAAAAAAAATATCATATACTGTAGTGTATTATTAAATTAAGGCATGAGACCTTTGCACATTAACAGATGAACATCACTCAGGTAAGTCTTACCTGCTGATAACGAAGCTTACCAACTTTAATCTTTAGTTCTTCATTCTCTGTTTGAAGATCATTCGAAGATACTCTCAATGCACTTAGATCAGGACCTAGATGACTGCAAAAAATTTCATTATCAAGTTAGTGAACAGTACTATTTTTGTATACATTATATAAAGTATTATAAATAGGCGAAAGTACTTCCAAAACCATATTGAAAATACTGATTTTCTCTCTTTAAAAAATGCTGACAGTTTAGTAAAAAAGCTTTCTTAACTACTGTAAATCAATCTTGTCTTATAAAGTAACAACTGCTTTGCCAAACTAACTGAAAGTAAATTTATTGCACTAAATCTGCAGAAATCATTCTGAACTTCAAAAAATATTCCATTAATGTTCGATGATACTAACTACATTTAAGCTGGTCTAGGATAGGATGGGCAGGATTAAGTAAGTTATAAAGTACAGTATTACATAAATTTTAGGAAGGTTAGGTTAGGCTGCTAAGTTAGTTTTGGTGCAAAATTAAACAATTGCTCATACATCAATTTACAAAATACACACTACACTATCTATAAATGAATACAGTAATTTTTAAAAAGATCTAGTTTTAAGGTAGCTTGGTTTGCTTGACTGATTACACATAAAAGACTGACATTACTATACTATTTTAGTTTCAAGCAGATGTAAATAAGCTTCTATTTTTTAAAAGCAAACCACTGGAAAACGTAAAAGCCAGAAAAATGATAATTTGTTTATTTTTGAATAAAGACAAAAAGACACTTACGTAAGCTTGCCAACAGCAAGTCGTAGGTTATAGTTCTTTTCAAGGGCAGAGGTGAAAGCAGTTGCATCTCCATCTGGTAGGTCAGCATACTGAAGTTTCCCAACAGCTGCTCGCAGTTCTTCATTGTCAATAATCAGACGGTTAATTTTTTCTCTCAGGTTTCGTGCATACTTGCCATCTTTCCCACGTACTGTAAGAAGATACAAATTAAAAATTTACATATAAATATCGTATAGAAATAAATACTGTATAAACAAATACTGTACTGCGTAAGGGTACCTCAATTTACTTAATTAACTTACTCTTAATAGGAGCAATGTTTTCCCGCTGAAGTCGAATAATTTCTGATTCAAGGTTTTCATTCTCCAAGTTGATTTCATCAAGAACCTAAAATGATGTCAATAGTTAATAAAAGTAATACAGGACTGAATGATAATTGAGGTTCACACATGTGACTGTATACGTGAATACTAAACTGAGATTTACGAATGAAACTATATATGAAATGTAAAGTGATGTTTACACTTTAAACTGTACATATAAAAAAGTTCATGCAGTCTTTATTGTCTATGAACTTGGCCAATTTATTATTGTAAATTAGTCCAGATTCAATCCTTCTAACTATGCAATGTTTTCCTGCTGAAGCTGAATAATTTCCAATTCCAGCTTTTCACTCTCTAAGTTCACTGTATCAAAAAAAAAAAAAAAATGGTTTGAAGTATGAAAAAACTTTTTGTGTATGTCTTCAATGAACCACTTTGGCAAAACAACCACTTAGATTTGCCTCTCCTTTCACTAGTACAGTGGACCCTCGACCAACGATGGCATCGATTAACGATAAATCCGACTAGCGATACATTTTAATGCAAAAATTTTGCCTCGACTAGCGCTAAAAAACTCGACCAACACTATTCGTTCCGTCTGAGACGCGTCCACTTCTGGCCAGTGTTTACAAGCCAGCCAGCCACCGTGGTCGCTTCCAAGCATACGATGGAACATTTCATATTATCACAGCCTTTTTAGTGATTGCACCTGCAAAATAAGTCACCATGGACCCCAAGAAAGCTTCTAGTGCCAACCCTACAGCAAAGAGGGTGAGAATTACTATGGATATGAAGAAAGAGATCATTGCTAAATATGAAAGTGGAGTGTGTGTCTCCGAGCTGGCCAGGTTGTACACAAAACCCCAATCAACCATCGCTACTATTGTGGGCAAGAAAACGGCAATCAAGGAAGCTGTTCTTGCCAAAGGTGCAACTATGTTTTCGAAACTGAGATCGCAAGTACTCGAAGATGTTGAGAGACTGTTATTGGTGTGGATAAACGAAAAACAGATAGCATGAGATAGCATCTCTCAAGCGATCATATGTGAAAAGGCTAGGAAGTTGCATGATGATTTAATTAAAAAAATGCCAGCAACTAGTGGTGATGTGAGTGAATTTAAGGCCAGCAAAGGTTGGTTTGAGAGATTTAAAGGGAAGGGAAGTAACCCCGGAAAAGGACTTGCCACCTCAAGTCCTAATGGAAGGGGATTCCCCTTCTAAACACTAAGACCATCAACACTCTCCCCTCCTCCCATCCCATCAATCATCACCAGATCTTCAATAAAGGTAAGTGTCATGTAACTGTGCATGTCTTCTTCAGTTTGTGTATTAAAATTAATATTTCATGTGGTAAAAACAATTTTTTTTTCATACTTTGGGGTGTCCTACACGGATTAATTTGATTTTCATTATTTCTTATGGGGAAAATTAACTTGACTAACGATAATTTTGACTAACGATGAGCTCTCAGGAACAGATTAATAGCGTTAGTTGAGGGTCCACTGTATTGAACTTCCTTACCACTTAAGTATCCCTCCTTCTGTAATCCCTCTTCTTATGTGCTAATATGGAATTTTCTCCCAGATGTGGATGAAACAATAAATTTTCTAAGCACTACTGTTGGTTATCTACATTACAAGTCCTTTTATACTTTACCATTGCACATTTTTCTAAAAGGTAAGTCAGCTGCAGGTTTTTCAACATGGGGTGTAACTGGAAAATCAGAATTACTGGAGTGCTTGGTAGATACAGTAATAAGTGATTTGAAATTACATAACAGTGAGAATTTATATCCTGAACAAAGATATTCATTGGTTATTGTGTAAAAATTGTTCACATGAAAAGGAAGTATCACAAGATAGAATCCAACCTTTAAATCTTTGCACATGTAAATTAAATAAGCACATGTAAATTAAAGAAATTCCAAATGGTCTGTTTTTCTTAATACTACCAAAATTGTTTCAAGAAATGGGTTACCTGGGCAGTCAACTGGTGTGCAATGTGCTAGGAGGTGCCAAATGGAGAAAATTGCAGAAGTAATTTTTGTGTTGAGAATTCATTACAGGTATTTTCTAATATGTAGTCATATTGGTCAGGGATGTATGGTTCTTAATATATCACTGATTTTTTTTTTTAACAAGTCAGCTGTCTCCCACCAAGGCAGGGTGACCCAAAAAGAAAGAAAATCCCCAAAAAGAAAATACTTTCATCATCATTTAACACTTTCACCTGACTCAAGAAATCGTAATGACACGATTGCAAACAAACCATACCCCCGGCCGGGATTGAACCCGCGACGGGCTGGAGTTTTGAGACTCTATGACCGCGGGTTCAATCCCGGCCGGGGGTATGGTTTGGAACACTTTCACCTCACTCACACATAATTACTGTTTTTGCAGAGGTGCTCAGAATATAACAGTTTAGAGGTAATGACCGCATAAGAGATACACATACGATTCCCTACCGATACTTCATATCCCAAAATTTCCCTCCTTAAACCCTTTGACCGGCATTTTGTCTTCGAGGGACCGTTGTTGTGCAGTATACAGTGGCCCCGTTCACATTTTTTACCAGAAGTGCTCCAGGTATCCAAGCATACTGACGAATTTTGTTCCATTAAGTGATTTGTGACTGTCTGAAAATTAAGTACCATTCGAGCCCCAAAAGTACATGTAGCCAAACCCTTAAAAATACAAATTACGTATTGGAATTGAAGTGATTTTAAGCGTTTGGGGTAACCACTGTAATATACTCATAAATTCTAGCTACTTCAAGATAAGGATGTGAGAAGTGGTTAAAGGCAACCTTATGTGAAAATACCTGGCTGTTGAAGCGTGTGTACCAATTTCAATACAATTTGGAGCCATTTTAGACAAATGCGTAAAAACGGGAGTACAGACTCGACGATTTTGTTTGTGCACATAGAGGTCCAGTGACTCTTCAGTGGTCTAGTTGGCATAAAGAGAGGGAGTACCCGGAAAAGGACTTTGCTACCTCAAGTCGTAATGGAAGGGGATTCCCCTTCTAAACAGTAAGAAGATAATGCTCTCCCCTCCTCCCATCCCATCAATCATCACCAGATCTTCAATAAAAGTAAGTGTCATTTAATTGTGCATGCCTTTTTCAGTTTGTGTGTATTAAAATTAACATTTCATGTGGTAAAAAAAAATTTTTTTCATACTTTTGGGCGTCTTGCACGGATTAATTTGATTTCCATTATTTCTTATGGGGAAAATTCATTCGCATAACGATTATTTCGCATAACGATGAGCCCTCTTGCACGGATTAAAATCGTTAACCGGGGGTCCACTGTATATACGTATAAAGATACACAACATATCCCTCCAAACTGCCAATATCCCAAACTCCTCCTTTAACCCTTTGACTGTCGAGGTCATATATATATGTCTTACGAGGTACCGTGTTTGACATATACAGTGGACCCCCGGTTAACGATATTTTTTCAATCCAGAAGTATGTTCAGGTGCCAGTACTGACCGAATTTGTTCCCTTAAGGAATATTGTGAAGTAGATTAGTCCATTTCAGACCCCCAAACATACATGTACAAACGCACTTACATAAATACACTTACATAATTGGTCGCATTCGGAGGTGATCGTTATGCGGGGGTCCACTGTATATACTCATAAATTCTAGCAGCTTCAAATCAAGAAGGAGAAAGCTGGTAGGCCCACATGTGAGAGAATGGGTCTGTGTGGTCAGTGTGCACCAAATAAAAAAAATCCTGGAGCATGCAGTGCATAATGCGAAAAAAAAACTCCGACCGTTTTTTTTTTAATTAAAATGCCAACTTTGTGGTCTATTTTCGTATAGTATTTATGGTTGTATTCTCATTTTCTTGGTCTCATTTGATAGAATGGTAATCATATTATAGAAATAGAGGTGATTTTCATTGATTTTATTATAAAAAGAACCTGGAAATGGACCTCAAAGTAGGGGAAATGTTTGATTTTTCCCAGCACACATAAGGGGGATTACCAACAGACCCCTGGCAGTCTTCAAGCTGGCACTGGACAAGCACCTAAAGTCAGTTCCTGATCAGCCGGGCTGTGGCTCGTACGTTGGTTTGCGTGCAGCCAGCAGCAACAGCCTGGTTGATCAGGGGCTGATCCACCAGGAGGCCTGGTCACAGACCGGGCCGCGGGGGCGTTGACCCCCGAAACTCTCTCCAGGTAAACTCCAGATGTTCAAAAGTAAACAAATGATGTCATTGTCCAATAAATGCCCAACTAGCCATTCTAATATGCAGTCATGAATGGGTTGATGTTATTTATACAATTATTACAGTATTGCAGTAGTCTGCATAACAGTAAATCTTCTAATTTTTGTTTGAATAAAAATTCAAAATAGAAAGCAAGAGTAATATCAGAGGGACTTGGAGACATGACTGATGAACAAAGAAAATGTTATTTTAGAGCCAGGAATGCCTGCATTGCTCATTCTGGACCTTATTTTGAAATTGTCATATTTTTTTAATTTTCGTGAAATTGGCCAAATTGCAAATTTCTGACCACGTTATTGGGTAGTTGAAATTGGTAAATGGGCAATTTCTTGTACTCAATCGATAGAAAAAAATGGAGTTCTAAAGAAATAGTTTGAGTTTGGTCGACCGAACAATGGAATTAGCCAAAAATAGGGCTCAAAGTGCGCGAAATCGTTGATTTGTAAATAACGCCGAGATCGCTAACTTCGTGAGAGTGTAATTCCGTCAGTTTTCCATCAAATTTCGTGTTTCTGGTGTCATTACAATCCGAAAAAGATTCTCTATCATTTCATAAGATTTTTTTTTTTTTTTTTTAAATTTTGCGACACCAGGAGACACTTCAGGACTGGGGGTTGTGACAGTCAAGGGGTTAAAGTGTAGGCATTGTATTTCCCATTTCCAGGACTCAAGTCCGGCTACATAAAATAACCGGTTTCCCTGAATCCCTTCACTAAATATTATCCTGCTCACACTCCAACAGCTTGTCAGGTCCCAAATACCATTCGTCTCCATTCACTCCTATCTAACACACTCAGGCACGCTTGCTGGAAGCCCAAGCCTCTCGCCCACAAAACCTCCTTTACCCTCTCCCTCCAACCTTTTCGAGGACGACCCCTACCAAGCCTGCCTTCCCCTACAGATTTATATGCTCTCCATGTCATTCTACTCTGATCCATTCTCTCTAAATGGCCAAACCACCTCAACAACCCCTCTTCAGCCCTCTGACTAATACTTTTATTAACTCCACACCTTCTCCTAATTTCCACACTCTGAATTTTATGCATAATATTTACACCACACATTGCCGTTAGACAGGACATCTCTACTGCCTCCAACCGCCTCCTCGCTGCAGCATTTACAACCCAAGCTTCACACCCATATAAGAGTGTTGGTACTACTATACTTTCATACATTCCCTTCTTTGCCTCCATGGATAAAATTTTTTGCTTCCACATATACCTCAATGCACCACTCACCTTTTTTCCTTCATCAATTCTATGATTAACCTCATCCTTCATAAATCCATCCGCTGACACGTCAACTCCCAAATATCTGAAAACATTCACTTCTTCCATTCTCCTCCCCAATTTGATATCCAATTTTTCTTTATCTAAATTGTTTGATACCCTCATCACCTTACTCTTTTCTATGTTCACTTTCAACTTTCTACCTTTACACACACTCCCAAATTCGTCCACTAACCTTCGCAATTTTTTGTTAGAATCTCCCATAAGTTCAGTATCATCAGCAAAAAGTAACTGTGTCACTTCCCATTTTGTATTTAATTACACATTACACATCCCTGTCTAAGACCTACTTTTACCGGGAAGTAGTCTCCCACTCTTCTACACACCCTAACCTGAGCCTCACCATCCTCATAAAAACTCTTTACAGCATATAGTAACTTATCACCTATTCCATATGCTTGCAACATCTGCCACATTGCTCCCCTATCCACTCTATCATATGCCTTTTCTAAATCCATAAATGCAATAAAAACTTCCTTACCTTTATCTAAATACTGTTCACATATATGCTTCAATGTAAACACTTGATCTACACATCCCCTACCCACTCTGAAACCTCCTTGCTCATCTGCAATTCTACATTCTGTCTTACCTCTAATTCTTTCAATAATAACCCTACCGTACACTTTTCCTGGTATACTCAGTAAACTTATTCCTCTATAATTTTTACAATCTCTTTTGTCCCCCTTTCCTTTATATAAAGGGGCTATACACGCTCTCCACCAATCCCTAGTTACCTTCCCCTCTTTCATACATTTATTAAACAAAAATACCAACCACTCCAACACTTTGTCCCCCCCTGCTCTTAACATTTCTGTCATGATCCTGTCAGTTCCAGCTGCTTTACCCCCTTTCATTCTACGTAATGCCTCACACGCCTCCCCCACACTCGCATCCTGCTCTTCTTCACTCCTAAAAGATGGTATACCTCCCTGGCCAGTGCATGAAATTACCGCCTCCCTTTCTTCGTTGACATTTAAAAGTTCCTCAAAATATTCTCGCCATCTACCCAATACCTCCATCTCCCCATCTACTAACTCCCCTACTCTGTTTTTAACTGACAAATCCATTCATTCCCTAGGCTTTCTTAACTTGTTTAACTCACTCCAAAATTTTTTCTTATTTTCATTAAAATTTCTTGACAGTGCCTCTCCCACTCTATCATCCGCTCTCCTTTTGCACTCTCTCACCACTCACTTCACCTTTCTTTTACAATGAAAATAAAGCCCATTTTGCATATTTCCACATTTCTTGTCCTATTTACCTATGCTAATCATCCTGTGTGACATATTAAGCATAAAAATTATAATACTAAGAAGACTTATTACTTGTTCTAGTATTCATTTCAATGTCCTTTGGCTTTATAGTGAGATAAGCACTGTCTTTGTTTGGTGTTCAAGTACTCTGCCACTTTATGATAATGTACGTATATACTTTCCACATCCAATAAATTATTTCTTTTTCATTATTTACTACTTCACAGTTGATGCAAAATGTTGTACTACTGTATATAATTCGAGATCATCCACCCATACAGATATAATATATCATGTAGCTTGACAAATATAAAATACTTAGTTATTAGTGTTTATATGTAATAGGGTTATAGGTAGTAGGTTGGTAGACAGCAACCGCCCAGGGAGGTACTACCGTCCTGCCAAGTGAGTGTAAAACGAAAGCCTGTAATTGTTTTACATGATGGTAGGATTGCTGGTGTCTTTTTATTGTCTCATACACATGCAAGATTTCAGGTATGTCATGCTACTTCTACTTACACTTAGGTTACACTTCACATACATGTACAAGCATATATACACGCACCCCTCTGGGTTTTCTTCTATTTTCTTTCTAGTTCTTGTTCTTGTTTATTTCCTCTTACCTCCATGGGGAAGTGGAACAGAATTCTTCCTCCGTAAGCCATGCGTGTTGTAAGAGGCGACTAAAATGCCAGGAGCAAGGGGCTAGTAACCTCTTCTCCTGTATATATTACTAAATGTAAAAGGAGAAACTTTCATTTTTTCTTTTGGGCCACCCCGCCTCGGTGAGATACGGCCGGTGTGTTGAAGAAAGAAAGATGTAATAGGGTAAAACAATAGCCACATAAATAGACAATAAAATGCCTTTGACAGAAAGAGTCCTCATCAGATATGTTAAATCAGCTATTTGATGAAGCGCTATGGAAAACATCTTATACAAAAACAAAAAATGTTAAACTTACCACAAAAGATCTGCACCATGTAAAAATCTATTAAACAATAAAACAAAACAAAAAAGGTTGTTAGTCACACCTGCAAAGCTTCTAATCCTACAGAGGAGGGCAAACCAGAAGACATGTCCTCTTCCACTCTGCTTGACAAGGCATCATCAAGTACAAGGGATGAAGCACAACCACTCATTAGGGACTGGTCAAGCTGCTGCAACCCTACAGTAGAGGAACTTCCACAGAATACATTAGCATCTCTGGAAAGGATGCTATGTGGTACTGAATCAGTTTCTTGCACTTCAGAGAAAGCTTCTGTATTATCCGATGATACAGGAAGTGGAGCTGGAGGAAACTCTGCATCTACTACTGGTAATAATATTTCTGTGTCAGCCATTACACTGGGTTTTGGAATTTCATTTAGTATTTCTGGCAGCTCTTTAACAGATCCCGTTTGAAGATTAGATATAAATTTTGGCTTACTGTGAATGAGTTCGGGTGTGGCAAATGTTGGATCAGTTAGTTTAGGGCCCTCAGGCTTGCTATGCAAAAATGACATGCCACCTTGTCTCCTACTTGGGTTAAGCACAACTCCAGCATCTTCTAATGGCATTACAAGAGATTCTACAAATGACTCAACATCTAATAAACCATCTCCATTTCCATCAGTCAGAACGGGAATGTAAGTGTCACTTTGGTAGTCAGGATTATCTGAGTTTAGTTCTGCTTGATAGTGATCCTTAATAGGAGAATCAACTGAAAATTCTGGGGATGGATGTGAGGAAGCTTGGATAGGTGTGTTCATGCAGGACACCAGATCATCTTGCAGTTCACGCAGCCTACGTACCTGTGCTGAGCTCATACTTTCGTGCCATACCGACCGGCTTGACCAACCTGAAATATTTATATCATCAGGGTATTTCTTGTAACTCTAACTTAGCTACAGCATAAGTATATATATGCATAAGAAAAAATGCTACAATTCAGTAAAAAAGTATAAAAAATAATAATTTTGCACTGTGTCTTACTGCTAAATGAGAGAGACAGCAGCTGACTGAAGTATTCTACATTACAACTATCAAAGAAATGGGACAGGCCAAATATTTAAAGAAATTTAAAAGCCTTAGTCAAGGAAAGGTTTTAAAAGGTACTACATATTTATAATGAAATGCTCTTAAACTGCACACAATATCATCATTTCAGTTTCAAAATAAATAGTTTTTTTTAATATGAGAGAATTTCAACTACTAAACAAGAAACAGGTTTACAAGACATGAACCTACATCAAATCTTGGTTTCAGATTTTGCAAACCATCAGATTTAAATACTGTTATTACCATAAATGAGAGGGGGTGTCAGAAAATTTGAAGCTCTCAGAGTACAATTCAGTTACAAAAGCCCTTTTTCAATATTATCTCCCTGTGTCATTGCATTTAACTCATATCTTAACCATAAGTTCATTTCCAGTTCCTGATTATTATTATTATTATTATTACAATCAAAACTAAGCAGTAAACTCACAAGGGTCATACAATGCTTTTTCAGCTCCTATAATCCCCCAGCACAAATGTGGTCAAATCATCATCCTCAATAAATCTCTTTACATACAGTATAAATTAATCACAGAACAAACATGAGGAGCCAATGGATTCAAGAACTAGGGGTGCAGAGAATGAAAAAGTAATTCTTGCTACAGTATATACATCACAGCACATATGGTAACTTGTTTGGTATCGACAGAGCATTGTTCAAATGGAGAACAGGTCTGAGTTTGCTGTATTGCTGCTGTTCTCTGATGGGCTGATGAATTCTTTGAAGTAGTTTAGTATAATGTACCATACATTGATGTTATATGATAGGCACTCTATAGGGATGAAACCTTTGGTATTTTGGAAACTAGTTGCCATAATCATAGTAGTAGTGTGTTGGGTAATGGGAATATGCAATAGCTAGAAGTAATGATTGATGGTAGTGGTGAGTGGTGGCTAGTGTTTGACCGATGGTATGGGGGTGGCTAGTGGTGGTTGAATAATTATGACTAGTTTGTGGTTACAACTAGTACTGTACTTCCACTCTAAGTAATAATGTTTTCCCTCAGGATCATGATGCTAAGAACCAGGTTTCATTGCATGTTAAAAGTCTGGAAAAAAGAAATTTTCCTGAAAGTCATGCACTGGTTAACAAATTTTATTGAGAGTTGCTATGTACTTTCTCACTTCATTGTCAACACTTTAGACACCATCTAACAGGTGTAATCCAGTCTTCCTAATTCTAGGAAACTAAAATCGGAATTAAATTTTCCCTATTCGGAAAAATTCAATAAACCTTAACTTCCATTGAAACCAAAAATTGCATTCATCTCTATTTTGGCTCATATTACCCTCAGAATGGCTTCTGAAAAGGATAATGCAAGGCCTGACAGGAAAATGAGAAGTTTTCCCTTAATATTTTGTAGAAATTAGAGAAAGAGCAGTGTGTTTATATGCAGCAAGAAAATCCATAAGGTCATCAGGATCAAATATAATAAATACAGGTTTACCTTTCTTAATTCAGCCTCACTATAATGGAGTCTCATTTTTATTGGTAGCTCCTTATTTGTGACATACATGTACTGAATGTGACTGGTGCAGTTAGTAAAATGTACTGAAGATTATTGTTATGTGGACTTAAATGTTGATAGGTTGATTGAGCTTAGTATAGTTACTGTGGGGGATGAAATTCATCCACCTGTTCTGTAATCTGTGGCGCATCAACTGTTTATAATACTGTGGCACAAAAAAACTGTGCTGACACACTTATCAATGAAGTTTGTAGAGCTAAGGGAAAAAAACCTTTCCAGGTATAGCGAATCATTATGATCATCTGCCTCTGATGTTAAAACTGCAAGAAACCTAAACTTGTGAAAAAGAGTCAAGTCCCGATGCTTTTGGAAAACAGAATCCTACTGTATACTAGACATACAATTTTTTTTATACAATATCTGCTAATAACTCCAGCATCATCTTGATTGGTATGTAAGGCAGGTCCATTTGGACAGGAAAGACCTTCCAAATGTTCTCATCTCTGCTGGAATTCTTTCATGCAACATGTGGCTGTTACACAGGGAAGAGTATACATCTAATTCAGCATTCACTTTCCCATCATGGGTTTTCAGTGGTGTTTCACTCCAGAAAGAAATCTGATACAAACCATCTATTTAAGTCTTGCTTATCTCTAGTAACTGAAATAAGTAACTTTACTTGGAATTCTCTTAGGAAGAGAAAACTTTGATTTTCACAAGGGCATGCATCATATCTGCTACTATTCTGACCTAGACACACACACACACACACACACACACACACACACACACACACACACACACACACACACACACACACACACACACACACACACAAAAAAAAAAAAAAATCACCAATAGATATTTATTAATAATTAATTTAAAATTTTCGGACACCCCCTTAAATTTACAAATGCTTTCCAGCACTACATTTACTATTAAGATGTTCACAACATACACTACTGAGGTCTATGGTCATAATGCATGCAAAGAAATGAACTCATTCTTTTAAAGCTAACAGTTTTGACCATTATACAACCAAATAATATTTAATGAACAAAGTTTTCAGGACCAGTGGTAACGTGGTGGTTGTGATGATGACTGGTTGGTTGTGGTGATGATGAACTGTTGGTGGTGGTGATGAGTGGTTCGTTGTGGTGATGATGAACTGTTGGTGGTGGCGAGTGGCTGGTGGTGGTTGTGGTAGTGGTAATGGTGATGAGTGGTTGGTGGTGGTGATGAGTGGTTGGTGGTAGTGATGATGGTAGTGATGAGTGGTTGGTGGTGGTGGTGATGAGTGGTTGGTGGTGGTGGTGATGAGTGGTTGATGGTGGCAATGATAATTGAGTGGTTGGTGGTGGTGGTAGTGAGTGGCTAGTTGTGGTAATGGTGATGTTGGTTATTGGCTGAAAAAAAAAATAAAAAGTTGCTGGTGGTAAAACCACAGCCTTGTCCTCCTCACTTTCAAACTGTAGGCTTTGTATATCTCAACTTTTAAAGCTCAAGTTTGGCTAGCTAGTTTCTTGAATTCCCTTTGTTACTTTGTACACACTTCACTAGGATATAAATTCATGCATGCAAGTTATGCAGTATAATAGTCATTTCAAAAATTAAAAACTAGTGTTGTACTGTGCTGTAATTTTAAAGGTGAGAAATTCAAGAGTCCAGTTTAAGGAATTTGAAAAGTAGTGTACAATAATTTTAATGAGAATGAAAGAATAGCTACAACAGTACAACATGAGATGAAGCTGTAATTGGCAGACTAGAGGCAGGTGTTCTAAATGGAGTCACATAGGGTGAGAGAGTAATTTTTTGAAGTGAAGTAAAGAGAGGTGTGGTCACATGAGGGTTCATATGGAGCAGTAGATAGTGACAAGAATACATTACAATCTTTTGAGGAGAATGTAAAGTTATGGTCAAAATTCCTGTTACATAAGAGACTGAAGTACTATAGAGTCCCAAGCAGACTATAGTAGTGTAACCTTCTGAGTTATCAGTAGGCAATAATTTTTTCCCATGACAGTACATGTCTTCAAATATACAGAGGAAGATGGAAAACTAGATTTATTTTAACAAATATACACATACACATGATAAAACAGAAGTTTTCTATAAGAATGATACCGTATGCTGGCGGGAAACTTATACAGTAGTTTAAGAGAAGAGCATTCATGGGAGAGAAGTAATACTATATATTAATTTATCCTAACATTGCTTCTAGGGGCATCCATTCAGTCATCCAAAACATGGACTACTTTAACACTGATGTTTTATTATCTTTGCAATATGATCTGACTGTAGTATGAATCCGATATTCCACAACTGCCATTGCAAAATTAAAAAAAATGCAAAAGCATTGCTGAAATAACTTCATGATTCCTTAACAAATATTTTTTAAGTTTCTTCAGGGTGATGAATACTAAGTATATCCCAAAACATTAATGTAATATTATATAAAATATTCAATAGCTCACATACCTATCCCACTTTCTTTAACACAGGGTAAAAAGGTATATATAAAAGCTTTGTTGCAGTACAAAAAAAAACTGGGTATTATTAATGAAATATTTTTCCAAAATTTGTTAGTTAACATGAAAACATACAATTGCAAGCCATTATATTGCAAACCTTGTGATCCTCCACCCACTGACAGAGCCACTAGTCCTGTAAATTAATTAAAATCTGTTAGATCAGAATGGAGGCAAGTGGTTTTTATGTCCTGATGAAGTGTGAGCAAGGTATCATTTGATGGGATTCAAGGAAAACTGATCAGCCAGGCTTGAGTCCTGGTGGTGGAAATTACAGAGCCAGCACACTGAAGGAGGGGTCAGGATGTTGCAACTCAGAGCATCATCTCAATTGTGTTGTCAGTATGCTTCTGGCAAGACTGCAGTGAAACTGATGGTGTTGAATGTACTCCCACTTTTTTTGCACCACCCTTCCTAAGTGGGAAATGACCAATGTGTTCAGAAAAAAGGTGGTATGTATGTGTATGTGCCTGCCTCCCTGTCAGCTTGTCTGCCTGCCTGCCTGTCTCCATGCCTGTCTGCCTACCTGTTTGCCATCATGCCTGCTTGTCTGCCTCCATACCTGCTTGCCTCCCTGCCAGCCTGTCTGCATGCCTCCCTTCTGCCTGCTGTCTACCTGTCTTGCTTCTCCTGCCCTGCCTGCCTTACCCTCCTTTGATCATTGAAGCTAAAATGTTGGGATGCTTTAAAAACAGGCTGGATAAATTTATGAGTGAGAAAGGTTGAATTTCAGTAGGGCCTGCCTAGCATGGTCCAGTAGGCCTACTGCAGTGCCTCTCTAATGTAATCGGTGTGAACAGGACCTGCCTAGTACGAGCAAGTAAGTCTACAGCAATGTTCCTTTAATTTTATGCTAATCATGTGTAAGTTTTCATTACTTCCTCCTTCAAGTTTCAGCTACAATAGTGCTATAGTACTGCAGGTTACAATACTTGCATTTTTAGTGTCTTTTTATCTTCTGCATTAGTGGACCAAGTTCACTAGTTCAGAAGACAACTGGACAATCATGAAAAACTAATTTCCTAATTCAGGAGTTGTGTACGAGTGGCAATATCATACACCCCCTCCTCTCCCCTAGTAATCCATGAATTAGAGGGTCAACTCTCATTTCTGCCATGTGTAGGAATGACTGACATAAAATAAAACTCTATTCTAGTTATCTGTATAAAACATCAGTAGAAAAGTCCTTATTGCAGACATGTATTATAAGAGTTATTATGGACACAGAAGCCCTTTCCACATAGTGAGAATTTGCCAATTCGTTAATATAAAAACAAAAATTAATACAGTATTACAAAAAATTATAAAATAATTTTTAATTTGTTCTTAACAGTGTTAGTATAGCCTTGATGAATGATCAAAGGTGAAGCATTGTGAAGCAAGACCATGAAACCTGGCAAGTTTTGTGCAAAAATTCTTTCATTCTGTGCACTTTCACTAGTATTAATTGCAAGGTTTACTAGAAATATAATATAAAAATACACTATTACCATAATATTCCATACTTTTTTACTTCAGATTTATAAATGTAGTGTTTAAATATTTATTTTTTATTTTAAGGAGAAAGGCAGTAATCTCACAGGGCTCATATAGTACCTGAGACTAGGTGGCATTCAGATTCAATCCAAGGATAGGGAGAATAAATCCAGCTTCCTGGATCATGAACCTCTCACTGTCACAAAGGCACCTCCCTCAATGAGCATTCTATAAATGACTTTTCAACAGAATGTCTTAAAAATTAACTAACTTACCAAGAAAATGTCCTAAGCCAAGTCCCAGTACACATGCCAAGGTTAAAGCCACAACAATATTGAGACGGCTGTTGAGATCTTTGTCTGGTGTATGTTTGTACTGAGTGTCTGGCCTGCAAATACAAAAAGCCATCATAATGCAAAAAACATTAATGCCATAGCACACTAAATCCTTTTTTTCTTTCGACAAACCAGCCGTATCCCACTGAAGCAGGGTGGTCCAAAAAGAAAAACAAAAGTTTCTCTTCTTAACTTTAGTAATGTACATAGGAGAAGGGGTTACTAGCCCCTTGCTCCAGCATATTAAATCAAGAAAAGAAAAAAATAGGAAATGGGTTAAAAGATGAGGACACAAGTTGTGATTAATGATATACATGTAAGAAAAACACATAGTAGCTAGGACGTTGTACTAACGAAAACATTACTCCATCAGGTGGCTTTGCAAGTCCAATTATTGACAAAGCCACTGAATGGCAAATTGTTTCCTTAATACACTACCCTGGTTACTGGATATGTGTCTTCTTACAGTCTAAAGTTGAATTTCATTAATATGATTTACCTACTCTGTCCCAAATTTCCCAACCAGTGAATATCAAAGTTAATTTAAATGCCATATACAATGCAACATTCTTGCCTATGTTCTCTTTCAGCCCATATGTTCACCCTGATAACAGCATCCATCTCTGTGTCTCATCTCCTTCCTAATTCATAAATTCTTTGTCATCACAAAGCTGTAATTTTATATGACCAAACCACCTGAGCACCCTACCTTATCTTTCTCTATTTCACATACTACTCACACAACCTCATGGTCCACTCTTTTCATTTTACAACCTTCTGACTACAATGCAAGAAGTCTCCATTTAACAAATGTGCTGTGGTCATAAAAAAATCTAATTTTTGGTAAAGCAAATAACATTTTCTTATAGAGATGTTAAATAAATTGAGATACATACCAGGAATTGTTTCCCTAATACATAAGAGCAAAAAGAAAAATTAGGAATTATAAAATTACATTTTTAATTTTGCTTTACAATGTTAGTAATGTTTAATCCTTAAACTGTCCAAACGTAGATCTACGTTCGCTCGCGAAGCGCTCCGAACGTAGATCTACATTTTTTTACAATCTTTCTTATGGAGAAGATCAAGGTTAGAGAGCTACGCGTGCAAACGTAGATCTACGTTTGGACAGTTTAAGGGTTAAAAAGCCTTAACTCACTGACAAAGCAGATAAATGACTGTGTGGCTTACTTAATTGCCGGAAGATCATCTGGGAGGGAAGGTGAGGATGCTAAGGAGAGGTCAGTCTCCTCATCAGCAAGCTTCTCCTTCTCTGCATCTAGTACAGAAATATCAGTACCCGCAAGACTCTCAACATCTCCCTCCTCTGAAAACAGTTCATAAGTAATGACTCAAAATTACCCACTAAAAAATAATGTCTTATGGAATTTGTGAGCAGAGACTTAAAAACATTTATATTGTAATTAAGAAAATCTATTACAAAACATTTTATTACATTTGTTATGAACAAAAAAACAGAAATAAGATAAAATATTATCCAAATTGCAATTAGACTATTAGGGAAAAAGATTATTGCTGTATTTATACATACTGTATATACTTCTGGTTTTATATCAAAAGATTTTTGAGAACCTACAGATTAACATAAAACCAAGGAACATTTAATGGAAAAAGTAAGAGAAATAACCTCACTGCACCTCTAACAACTAATGTAGAGGGTTTGTACAGCAATGTTTGAAACAAAAGATAACCTGAACATACAGTATATATTCATCAAGGTGAGCACAATAGCTAAACATACACATTTCTCACATAGTATAAATCATACAAGATATGAAATAAAAATTTCCCATCATCATTGTCACTCATGTTATATGCCACATAGAAATTATTAATCATAGGGAGTGTCTAATTTAAGTCCACAGAGCACAGAGATTATAAAATAAAGCAATACAAAGAATACCTGCTGCATCACATAACAGAAACCCACATGAACATAAAGAGCACTAACTAAGGGCACATTTACCATCTACATGTAATTAACTTTTTTTTAAAGGGGGTGGACCAATAAGCCAGCAGAAGGCCTTGGTCAAATTACCAAAGCTCAAGTGAATGGGGTATTATATGGCTAAGATTTGCACCAGCAGAAATTTTCCCAGTTTCTGCAATAAACAAAATACAGCACTTACCCCTTACACCTGATTCAACACTCTTACATATAGCACTACTGAAATCCATTGTGCCAATTTGGATTTGCATTTTCTGAGAGGCCCTTGAAAGAAGCATGCAGAAAAGTGTTCAGAAAATCATGCAATGGATGGATAGATGGCAAAAATTACCAAACACATTAATTTTTTAGGGTATATTGCTTTTTTAAACAAACTGATTACTGGTATGTAATTCAATAAGCAAAAATTAACAGAAAAGACATTTAAAGTAAGGGGAAAAATGTGACAATCTCGAATTTAAGTTGTCATAAATGAGCCAATGAGATCAATTCTACTAATTTTCTTTTATTTGTACACTGTTTGGGAAAAAAATCCTATAGAAACTCATAGAAAGCCTATTTTGACCATACAGAATCTCAAACACCTTACTGAGACCCTTACAGTTGTGTGTGTGTTTAGCCTTATAGCTACTGAAAGTAATTTAAGGAAAATGTTCTGAAAGTTCATTGATGTTGTTAACTTAACAGCCATCTCCCACCAAGGCAGGGTGACCCAAAGAAGAAAGCACATTCATGAACATTCACTCAATCGCTGCCTTTCCAGTCACTCAATCACCAGTCACTCAATTGCTATCTTTCCAGTCACTTAATTGCTATCTTTCTAGTCACTCAATTACCATCTTTTCCAGAAGTGTGATGACATTACAATCAAATTAGTCCTCTGACTACAACTTCCCCATTGACCCTTCCTTTAGAGTGCAGGCACAACTCATGTCCTGCTAATCGGTTTCTCTGAATTCCTTCATATAAGTTAGCCCAATCATATTCTGACAGCATGTCATTTAAAAAACCACATCTCCATCTACTTTCATCAAACTTGCTCGTATAAGCCTGCTGAATGCCCAAGTTCCTAAAACTCAAAACTTGTACCCCCTCTTTTTTCCCTTTACCTTCCACCCCAGACTATACACCCTCTCCATTAACCTAACCCTGTCCATCCTCCCTACAAGCCCAAGCCATGTCAACAATCCCTTCTCAGCTCTCTGAATTTATACCCTTGGTCACCTCACATCACATTTTAATCATGCTGATTTTTATTTTCAACAAACCTGCCATATCCCACCGAAGCATGGTGACAAAAAAAAAAAGTTTCTCTTTTTAAATTTAGTAATGTATACAGGAGATGGGGTTACTAGCTCCTTGATCCTGGCATTTTAGTCACCTCTTATGATAAATGTATTAAATAACACATTTCCTTTTGCCATGCTCTCAATGAAAATGATTCATTTGAGATCCTGCTTCACTGGCTATTATGTACATCAGGAAGAGGTAGTAGAGCTGAAAAAAAAGACAGGAGCAACAACTTGAAAAAAGAGCATGCAAACAAGAAGGACGAGACCAAGAGAAGAAATCAGAGTAAGATAAGAAAAAAATGCAACCACTGAAAGAACATATGTGAAGAGACCATAGAAGTAATATAATATGCAAGGAGACCATTCAAATAAAATATGGAAAGAGACCACAGAAGTAATAACATATGCAAAGTGACCCCAGAAAGAATATACATACTGAGTCCACTGGAGCAATATGTGCAGAGACCACTGATATAATTTTAAACCACTTATACATTTCTGTCATTCAAGACATGTCTGAGTGAAGATCTTAAGAAACTGTCTCACCTGAACCCCCCACAAAGGTAAAACTGTGTAGGGAGGAGGAGGAGAACAAGGAGGAGTTCATGGAATTGCAGGCCAAGGCGTGGTCCTCGTAAAATTCTCCAGGATCTGGACACTCGAGCGTCTCAATGTCACTGGAGTCCGACCCCGAAGATGCTAGCCAAGGGTCAGGAGAAGATGGGGTGAAGGACAACGTGCAAACACAAGGCTAGTAAAAGGACTGTTCTGCATGAATTAACCACAACTACATAAAATCTAACAAAAAATGCACTCAAGTGGTTAAATTAGTAAATTATAACAAAGTATTGAACATTTCTAACATTAACATAGTTATTTTGCACAGAATTTCTACTTCAGTAAACTGTTATACAAAACATAACAGGCAAAATCACATGCTATAAAAAGTGTTCCAGATTTTGCACTATTTAAAAATGCAGTACAATATTTCTTTCTTTCTTCCTTTCAACACACCAGCCGTATCCCACCGAGGTGGGGTGGCCCAAAAGGAAAAACAAAAGTTTCTCCTTTTACATTTAGTATTATATACAGGAGAAGAGGTTACTAGCCCCTTGCTCCCGGCATTTTAGTCGCCTCTTACAACACGCATGGCTTACGGAGGAAGAATTCTGTTCCACTTCCCCATGGAGATAAGAGGAAATAAACAAGAATAAGAACTAGAAAGAAAATAGAAGAAAACCCAGAGGGGTGTGTATATATGTGCTTGTACATGTATGTGTAGTGTGACCTAAGTGTAAGTAGAAGTAGCAAGACGTACCTGAAATCTTGCATGTTCATGAGACAGAAAAAAGGACACCAGCAATCCTACCATCATGTAAAACAATTACAGGCTTTCGTTTTACACTCACTTGGCAGGACGGTAGTACCTCCCTGGGCGGTTGCTGTCTACCAACCTACTACCTACAGTACAATATTTAAAAATATATATATAATTAGGTGAAAGAAACCAAAATCAAAATTCTAATAATTTACCCACAAGATGGAACATAAACAATAGGATCAATTGTTATTATGAGCGGTTCAGCCAATAATTGAAGGTTTTTTAAATTTCTTCCTTTACAAAAAAATTAGAAATACTGGAATAAATATTTGCTTGACATGCATAATCTAGGTGATATAGCATTTTTACCCTTTAAAAAATAAGAAAAACCTACCAACTGGCTTGATGAAATTTTTGCCCTTTTTCTAATTTGAAAATTTATATTGAATAAGATTTTTTTCCTAAACTAAAAATCAATTGAAGAAGTTTGTTTTCCTGGTGAATATGGCTGTCATGCATACAGTACAGCATACGATATGATCTTCACCATTCTTCTTAGTACTGGACTGATGAAGTCACTGTGTGGTGAAACTTTTCCATAATAAATTACCCATGTGTTCCATGTGTCTAATTTATCAACTTGTCAGTTCTCTGAACCATTTATGTACAGTATAATTTATGTTCATTCCTACATTAGGTAAAGTTTATGGCTCAATTACTGCTCTCACCTTTACACTGGTATACAGGTACTATATACTGTGGTGAAACTTTCTAGTATTATTACATATGTAAAATTTGAGATATGTAGCCAAGGTGTACACATGATTCTCTGCAAGTCCCATGAGTGATGTGGAACAAGTGAGGGTGGACAAAATCCTAACTCTTACATTCCTTTTGTATGTAAGTAATTTTGTTGAGTATTGTAATGCATCAAGTTTTATGTAATAAAGAGTTTGTCTAGAAACACAATAAGAAGCATTGTTACCAGCCAATTTTGGTTAAAATTTCACAGTTTAAGATGCAAATTCATATTACTGAAGTGATGATTTTAAAGTTTAAATTTGTTTTTCAAACTGAAGAGATTCTTACTAGTAGATATTAAGGTACAAAGCAAAATCAAACAAAACTCATAATATGATACTATAGATTTATCGTATTTCAAGATACACAGATAGTACAGGATGTTTTTTAACGCAAAAAAGACAATTTATTTAATAACTGGAGTAATGACTAAATTACAATAAACAAACAAGGTGTGAGGCTGATGTGTTGATACTGTAAGAGTCCTGTCCATATCATGGAATGAGATGATTTGACTGAATACTGTCATTAAAATGATAACACAGTACATCTATGAGATATTAACATCCTGCTAACATTGCTGACTAACACAGTCTAAGCCACCCTGTAGCAAAACCAAGTACAATATACGGGGTTTCAGCTTTAATCGACTAGGACAACAGCAAAAAGTCGTCCATTTAGCTAGATTTCAAGCTCATTGCTGGCAAACCTTTAGAGAAGTGAGGGTTGGAGACTGATACAAGAAAGGCAGGGGTTTTCTTTGATATCCTCTCATACCGTATGACTAGTGATGCTGAAATAAGCAAGAAACTTTTTTGATGCTTTCCTGCTCTATATATGAAAGAGAATGATTGTAAGAAGCATATATTTAGACAAGTGATACAAACAAGAAATTTAGCTCGATTAGAATAGATGTGCAAAAAACAAAAGTTCTGTACTCAAATAGGCCTGAAATGAGAGTTCTCATTTTTTGATACATCTGCTGGTTTACTCCTTAAGATTTTTAAAATTAACAAAAAGATAATGATAGAGAGCTTCACTTCCAAAATAAAATATTAATAGAAAATTCTAAGGGACATACAAGGCAAAAATAATGGAATTTGTTTAAAAGTACAGTATAGCAAATACAGTGGACCCTTGGTACTTGAACTTAATTCCTTCTAGAAGGCTGTTTGAGTGCTGATCTGTTTGAGCACCGAACAAATTTTTCCCAACCAATTTTCTTTTTGGTTGGCCGTTATCACTAATCTTCATAGGCCCCATGGTGACTTATTTATACAATATAAAAAAACATAAAAAAATGCAAAGAAACACAAAATAGTTTGCAGCAAACTTCTGGCAGGTTGTTTGTTTGGTTAAGTGCCGAGCAAACGGTCGACTGCTGAGTGATTTTTGTATCGAACAAAGCGTTCGAATACTGAATTGTTCGAGTACCGAGGTTCCACTGTAAACAATAATGCTCTTATAAAATTAAAATTTAAAAACCAAGACACTGCAGAATGAAAAAATAAATCATAGGTTATACTGCATAATGGCACTTGCAAATTAGTGAAGGAATTCTCACAAAACAGAAGATGGAATTAAACATTTGTGATGCACAGTTTTATTGCTGTTTAGTCATATCTCATCTAGGTGAACCTTTGAATATAAGTGTGCATGTGTGTGTATGTGGGGAACAAATCCTCATATGACTTCACATTATCAACTTCTTCAGCTAAACCTGCATGGCTACAATGGGCTTTAAAACTTTTAATTCACGTTAAATTTTCTAGTTTAGAACAAAAAAAGTTAAGTGTTGCAGAGGTGTTCCTCCTACACTGTGCATACAAACTGCATAAGGTCATGACTTTAATGCTATCTCACATAGTGTTCTGGTACAATATGGTTGATTTTAAACATCTATGAATGCTTTTAAGCTTTTTAAGTCTTACTATACTGGTCATATCTCACTAAAGTAGGGCAACTCAATGGAAACACATTCACCATCATTCATACAATAGCTGTTTTGCCAAAAGTGCATGAGTATCACCATATAAAATGCAATGATATTATTTATTACTGACACACTGTTTGTATTTTAAATATTAGATACTGAACTTTAGCCAAACATGAAAAATATCTCCTCCTGTTTAAACTAAGAGTCTTTGTGAATATTTCCATTAATACCATGAACATATGATTAATCTTTATTCAGATATCTTGAATTCTTAGTCTTTTGATGTCTGCAGTGGTACCCAGAGTTTTGGCCATAATTCGTTCCAGAAGGCTGTTTGAGTGCCACTACTGAACGAATTTGTCCCCATAAGGAATAATGTAAATTACAATAATACATTTACGTAACTGTTTGAGTTGGGAGCTGTAAGAAACTCGGGGTACTACTGTATTTTCATATGGTAACCAGTATATGTTTTTTATCTAATATAAAGAATAATATTGGCAGTTTGGAGGGATATGTTGTGTATCTTTATACGTATATGCTTCTAAACTGTTGTATTCTGAGCACCTCTGCAAAAACAGTGATTATGTGTGAGTGTGGTGAAAGTGTTGAATGACGATGAAAGCATTTTCTTTTTGGGGATTTTCTTTCTTTTTTGGGTCACCCTGCCTCGGTGGGAGACGGCCAACTTGTTGGGGGAAAAAAAAAAAAAAAAAAAAAGAAGAATTTAATTTCTGAATGCATCTTCCTACTTTCCTTTTACATATCCATAAATTATTCATCAATATTTTTTTTACTCGTTTACATCTAATAAAACAAATTTTATTGCCATAAATGATAATTGGAGTTCATGCAAGCCACTTGTATAAACATACTGAATTTCTTTCAAGCCCTCAGTGCTCCTACTACACATCTTTCTTGCCCTACTTGACTTAAAATGTAAGCTTACCATGCTATTCTTTCTAAACATACCCAAAAATATCTAAACTCATAACTGCAGTTCTCCATAATAACTAATATTAAATTTTAAATTTGTATTATTCAAATACTGTGTAAGTAAGAGTGCAGAGTTCTGCATCATAAAGAAAAACTCGAATAAATTCAGGTTAACAGGTGGGATTATATGGCAATTTGAAGTAACATGATGGCAGTGTTTTGCTATTTGACAACTTCTACTTAATTAAGCAAGGGTAAGTCCTAATTAAGAGCAAGGGGCTAGTTACCCCTTTTGTATAAATTACTGAATTTAAAAAGAAAAACTTTAATTTTTCTTTATGGGTCACCCTGTTTCAGTGGGATACAGCTGGTTTTTTGAGAGAGAAAAAAAAAAAAAAAAAAAAAAAGGCCCCCAATTAAGGGACAGAGAATGCACAACAAATAAAACTTTTATCTGCAAGGTAACTAGATGAGATATAACAAAAGGCAGATGTAAGATTACAAATATCCACTCCACTCACCCTTGATGGACTCACCCTTGATCTCTTGCACCTTCTGGCCCAGTGATACTAGATCATCTGACAATGCTTCCTCTTCACTACCGCCTTCAGATTCTTCTACATCATCTTCCTCCTCCTCATCTTCACCTTGTGCAGTAGCTCCCTCTGGGGTAATAGTGGACTCTGCACCATCTTCATCCTCTGCAACAGGTGTAAATTAGAAATATAAACTTTCAAATACTAGTGCAATTATCATACTAGCTGTAGAAAAATATGTTTTGATAGGACACCTATTTTAAAAATAAACACTTAAACTTAATATGAGTTTTATATGTGACTGTTTTTATAGGAAGTAGGTTGGTAGACAGCAACCGCCCAGGGAGGTACTACCGTCCTGCCAAGTGAGTGTAAAACAAAAGCCTGTAATTGTTTTACATGATGGTAGGATTGCTGGTGTCCCTTTTTCTGTCTCATCAACATGCAAGATTTCAGGTACATCTTGCTACTTCTACTTACACTTAGGTCACACTACACATACATGTACAAGCATATATATACACACACCCCTCTGGGTTTTCTGCTATTTTCTTTATAGTTCTTGTTCTTGTTTATTTCCTCTTATCTCCAGGGGGAAGTGGAACAGAATTCTTCCTCCATAAGCCATGCGTGTTGTAAGAGGCGACTGAAATGCCGGGAGCAAGGGCCTAGTAACCCCTTCTCCTGTATAAATTACTAAATTTAAAAAGGGAAACTTTTGTTTTTCTTTTTGGGCCACCCTGCCTCAGTGGGATATGGCCGGTTTGTTGAAAGAAAGAAGAATGTAAATGTTTTATTTACATATACAATAATCTATATTTATGAGAGGATACTGTATAGAAATATGGTGTGTGCATGAGAAAATGCAGTATGCATGCAAAGAATGCATTAGCAAGTATATAGTGAACAGAGCTAAATGGACACAGCTAGTCCAAAAAAATGAATAAACAATATCTAGCATATGATCAATAACATGGAGTATTTTACATTCTGTGGCTAATTTCCTATTGTGTGGTTTCACAATATACAGTGGACCCCCGCATAACGATGGCATCGCATAGCGATTTTTCCGCATAACGATTACTTTTATCGCAAAATTTTTGCCCCGCATACCGATTAAAAACCCGCATACCGATTTTCGTCCGAGACGCGTCCAATGTGCCCTCACATGTGCCGGCCGTCCCATTGTTTACCAGCCAGCCTCCGCGGTAACATCCAAGCATACACTCGGAATATTTCGTATTATTACAGTGTTTTCGGTGGTGTTTCTGGAAAATAAGTGACCATGGGCCCCAAGAAAGCTTCTAGTGCCAACCCTGTGGTAAAAAGGGTGAGAATTAGTATGGAAATTAAGAAAGATTTTGAAGGGTTTGGGGCTAACCCTGAGAAGCCTATGCCAGTTGTGGAATCCATTGTGCCTACTTCAAAGATTAAGGAAATGTGTGCAGAGTGGTTTGAACTGCAAACCTTTATAGATGAAAATCACCCTGACACAGCTGTTGCAAGCCGTGCTTGTGACTATTTCAATGACAATGTTATGGCCCATTTTTAGGAAAGTCTTGAAGAAACGGGAGGTACAGAGCTCTATGGACAGATTTGTTGTGCGACAGAGGTCCAGTGACTCTGAAGCTGGTCCTAGTGGCATTAAAAGAAGAAGGGAAGTAACCCCAGAAAAGGACTTGCTACCTCAAGTCCTAAGGGAAAGGGGGATTCCCTTCTAAACAGTAAGAAGATAATGCTCTCCCCTCCTCCCATCCCATCAATCATCACCAGATCTTCAATAAAAGTAAGTGTCATGTAATTGTGCATGCCTTTTTCAGTTTGTGTGTATTAAAATTAACATTTCATGTGGTAAAAAAAATTTTTTTTCATACTTTTGGGCGTCTTGCACGGATTAATTTTATTTCCATTATTTCTTATGGGGAAAATTAATTCGCATAACGATTATTTCGCATAACGATGAGCCCTCTTGCACGGATTAAAATCGTTAACCGGGGGTCCACTGTATTCCAGAGAATCAATTCTTTATGAAAAAAAAAAAAAAAAAAATTGAGAGCAAGAATGCTCTATAGTTTCGAATTTTGCTGTACACCTTGATAAATGTAATTATCCAGTAAAGATGGGCAGTTTGCTTGACTTCACACAAAGATGTCTTCAAAAATTCAACACTGTCCATCGCTAAAGTTTGAAAAGTGTAGTACACAAAATATTGTCAATAATTAATGCCACTTAATTGGTAACATTTAAGTGCAAATATGGGAACTTATTGGTCCCTGTTTATTCAGAATCTTGGGATTATACCATATTAATTACTCCTTACTGATAGTGAATGTGACAGTAGTGTAAAAAAAATGGGTTTCACTCAATGTTATTTATGCTCTTTCTTGCAATAGTTTTTTGTTATTTGCATGTTGAATCCTCTAACTCTACCTAGCATAATCATCTCCATGTAAGTAGTACAGAAAATAAAGAAATATGTAACACTTAGGTAATTTATTGTTGAAATGTTTTGCCTGCTGTGAGTGAAATGTTTTGATAATAAAAACCCCTAAGTGGTGTATGTGTCTTACTATCAACTTGTTGGCATTATATATCATTTATAATGATTCATATAAGTACTATAGTTTATTATATTTAGAATCAGAGAGAATAATCAGGTAGAAGAGAGTTTCAAAGACTTTCTAGAAGTGAATATTGTTGAATTGTTTCACAGTAATTATAAAATAATTAATGTAACGTGAATGTGCATACACGTACCATGGAATCTATTCACAATTACAGACTAAATTTCAACAAAAAGTTTACTAATAACTTACCTTCTTGCTGAGCACCATCATTTGAGATATCTTCTGGTGTACCTTCTCTGTCCACCAGAGTCCAATCGGTGAGGGAGTCCCGATCACTGTCTCTATCCCGTTTGGGATCAGACATCCCAGTGATGTGTTGAGAGCCTCTTGTTCTGTAGAAAAGTACAAAACCAAATATTAGTGTTTTAGACCAGAAACACAAGAAATGTATTCGCAAGATCATTACATAACCATATAGATTATCAATGATTACAGACTATATTATATTGTATACAATTATTATAGTACAGGGTTCATACATCGTAGGCTGATTTGAATAGGTATAGGGTAATGACAATTGAGAAGCCCATATATGTACTGCACCATAGTTTTTTGAACAAGACTTTTTTCTGTTTAGCAAGATTTGAGCTAAGGGTAAATTTAATTTACCAGTAAATATGTGCAGTAATTTAGAATGCAATAAAACAATGTAATTTATAGTTTTTATTCAGATGCAATGGTATACGTACCAATGAACAATGTGCCTTAGGTCTGTAAATTATTTTTTCCTGATTTAATTCTCAGGTGTTTAACTTCTGCAATACTTAAGGCTTTTCCTGTGTTGCTTTGAGATTATGTGGCACAGGACACCACTGTTTATCCACCTGCTGGAATATTTATTTCATAATTTTTTTGCAACATACATATTGCTTAACTGTATTTCCCAAGTCCAGCTATTGTATCTAGGAATAATGAAGAGTTTCTATTAAATTTTGATTGCAGTACTTCATTACAGTACAGTACTACCACACAGCAAAATTTTGCCTTGTTCCAATATGAGAGAGAATGAAACCTAAATCCTTTTCCTCTTTGTTGTGAGTTGAGTATGCTACCTATATCATTGTGAGTAACTCAAAATATTCCTTGTCAGGCTCATTCAGTATTTTTTGTTATACTGTACAAGATACACTCTCATTTTCCTATGTACAATACTACATTATCACTTAAAAAATGTTATAAAAAACTAGAGTCTGAAGAATATTTGTTCACACGTGATCTTGAAATAAAGAGAGTAAGTGATACACATTCTAGCATTATATCATGATTATTTTGTTACTGAAGATTAAACAATGGTAATGATAAGACCAAAGAATCAACAAATTTTCCGTTATTCCTATCAAATTTTCAGTTATTCATTCAAACAAAAAATATGTTTTATGCAATTAATTAGTGAATTAAGGCATAGTACAATAGTGTATTTCTATACAATATAGCTTAAGTGGCATAAACTCTTTTCTGACACAATACTGATGATTTATACCACTAGGTGCTGCATATACAGGATAAACGTTTTATTTTTATATACCATGAGTAGTATTTTGATAAGGGTAAAATTTAATAAATCTGTCATAAATTTACACTTGATTTCATGTTCCATCATGAATAAACAACAGCTAAAATACATATAAACTAATTCAAGAACATAACATAGTTCAGTAGTAGGTTGCTAGACAGCAACAATTCAAGGAGGCATTACCATCCTGTCCTGAGTGTGAAACAGATTCCTGTTAAAAGTTTTGCACTCTGACAAGACTGTATGTATGATGACTGGTAAATCTTACAAACTTCTATTTACAGTCAGAATAGTATAAGTATGTTTAAAAATTTACATTTCTTGATACTGTAGCTCTTCAGTCTGAGAGCGTTAAAGGGGGCACGATCTTCAATATCATTAATATATAACAGAGAAACTCTTTTGTAAATATTCTGCAAGGAAACTGACCATTATGTAAAACAAATCAGCAGTCTGAAGGAGTGACTTTTATAAACCTATGAGGTTAAACATGAAATCATCTGCCTTTAAAAGAAATTTTATGACTAAGGTTTAGGCAAGCAAAATAAAAAAAAAATACAGTACTGTACTACAGTAAAGTTAAATTAGGTGAAAGATTACCTTGGTTCCCACATTAACACTAAGCCAAGGTTAATCTGGCTCCAACACTCCCAAACCATGCCAAACCTACCAAATATTCCACCTTAGGTTTAAGGTCAAGTTGGTTTTGAATTGGGTAAAACCAAACCAACCTTACCTAATCTGCTGTGTTGTTGGAAAACTTCATTTCATAGTTTTATGATACATATTAACAAAATTATTGTAGCAGTGCATAGTACTATATTACCTGGTACATTTGCAAATACTGAATAATACTTATTAGACTAGACTGCTTATTTATCACACATTAAAAGCCACTCTCCTTTGAAAAAATGCTCCTGTGTTCTCGTGTTCTTTTACACTACCACTGTTACTTCTAGAACTTGTTTTACCACTACCATTATTGCTTCTACTTTCTTACTACTACTACTACTACTATTACTACTACTACCACCACCACCACTCATAGTGAAGTGTTGAACCTGTATGGGTCATAGCACATGGGAAATAGGAGACAATCAGATTTCACCCAAGAAGAGGGAGGATAGTATCAGTGCCTCTGATCAAGAGCCCTTCCTTAGTATCATGGCAGTGCCAATAATTAGCTTAAATCTGGTGAAATACATGTACTTTACACTAGCAATGCAATTATTTACATGCAGAAGAAAATTGTATTCAGCTTATTTACCTAGTGGGTTAGTAACCCAGTATAAACTCAAAAAAGCCAATCAGTGTGGTTTATTTCTATTTCTACTGATTCCCTTCCCTTGGATGCAACCCATAACAGTTAAAACCTAGGCAGAGTACCTGCTTACTGCTAGGTAAACAGGGCAAACAAGTACCAGGATTGAGCACAAAATGGCATTCACCCAAAATATGACAGCATCATCCTAAAAGTTATATCCCTTTGTCTTAATAAATATATCAAGAAAGCATATTTATTTTATTTACATAACTCATGGAGAGGTACCACACTTGCTGAGGTTATACAGCACTGAAATCTACAGGAAAGAGGAAATATCATTGCAATTTAAAGCAAAGAAACTGTTGAACTCTTTATGCGTGGACTGTGCCTGAGAGACAGTAGTCTCCCAAGCACAATCACATAAATAAATCTGAATTTCTGAAAACATATGTCCATTTTTTTTTTTGGTTACGGCACAATGATCTCAAGTCATTCACTAGATTTTTGTCATTGCTGTACATCAAACTTTCATAATTAGTTATCTATGTAATATAAGGACCCAATTGAAATAATTCACTGTGTCTGACTTTTTTGGGTTATCCTAGGTAATGTACACTATGTATAATAACTGTACTTAAGTGCACCCGTGCCTAAATAAACATACTTACTAAAGTTAACTACTACACTAATTTTGCTTAAGAGTCTTAGCTTCAGTGATGTTAGACTAGGAATTTAAATCTAAGACACTTTTGGAATAGACAATAAAGTTTGGAATTTTCCAGGTATGAAGTTACAGCAGATGACATACATTCTATAAGCAAGTAGATCATAAAGTATACCCTAGACATGAAGTGTTTGTTTAGGAACAGGTACACATAAATACAATTTTCATACATAATATAAATTACCTAGGAAACCCCCAAAAAAGTCAGACAAAGTGACTTATTTCCATTGGGGTCCTTGTAACATCTAATTATTTAAGTGCAACTTGCTTACCCTTGTATAACTTCACGGGACCACAGATAAACACCATCTTGTAGTGCCAACATGAGTGATCTATGCACTATTTTCTAAGGGTGTGCTAACTACAGGTCACTACTAGAACATGTTGCTACAGACTACAGCAGAGAAACTAGCTGGCTGGGGGTAGTAGTGACCAACAGAGGAATGTGTTACCTCACTGCCAATCTCAGCACACACACACACACACACTTTCTCGATATGCCCCGGCATGATAGTGGCTTTCTTTGTACTTAGCAAATCAAAAATATAATTACGCAATGTAAACTATGCAAAGAAATAAAATCCTTAATCCCTAATCCTTATAACTCCACCAACAATGTACACTAATTCAAACTCACATTTCCCTCATTTTGTTACACTTTATGCAAGTAATGAACAACTTTCCCTGAGGAACTTTTCAACAGTTGCTCCCAAGGTACTTTTTCTTTAGTACATCACAAAGAAGAGAAAAAAAAGGGGTTTTTGAAAACCGTTCACCCCATAACCCAACTGCCAGAGTTCAGAAGCAACAATGAGTGTAAGGGGATAATGCAAAGAAGAATCTGGCATGTGTATATGCATGAGAGGGATATAGAGGGTGAGAGGGGAAGGGGGAGTGGGCGAGTTGAGAGGAAAAGGGAGAGCTAATGTGAGGGGATTGGTGGCAAGTGTTGGCACCAGCCCCCAGGGCCACATACCTGACAGTAGAGGGAAACGTGTGACAAGGTGTGAGGCCAAGACTCGCTGCCTCACTGGTAAAAATGCAGGTAAATATAACCTGGGAAGTAGGGGGGGAAGGGGGACATGTTGCTCTTAGAGGTGTGAGTTAAAGGACACGTCAGCCCTGTTGTGACTCAACATATCTTAGCATTATCTAAGGTGTTGCAAGTCTCAGGTGTCACTAACACCCGCCACAGGTGTCTACCTACACCCCAGGCAAGGTGTACATGCAGTTATGTACTAAACAATAGGACAAAAACCTACCAATACAGGAAGATTTAGTCTTTGTTATGGTGCTACAGCTGCTGCTGCTGCCTCTGACGTCACCACAACAACACCATCACCTTCACTCACAACTGAAGCACCCGGGTTCAATCCCAGCACGGGTGGATGCGGTGGGCATGTTGCCTTATTTCTAGTACCCCTCATACCTAGCAATAAATATGTACCAGAGTGTTAATCGACTATTGTGGGTCGCATCCTGGGCTGTTACATCCACGCATTTCAGTATTTCTTGTCTTCTATGTTACTGTTTTTACTAGACACAACAAACTATTTATTTTCACAAACAGTCATATTCATCTGATATTGCTATTATTTTCAATATGAGGAATAAAAAAAATCACAAGTGTAAAAGTTTAATACAAGAAAATGGATAAAGTAATAACTCAAATCCTTCGAGTCCGCAGTCTATTTTCCACTATAGATAAAGAATTTGTCTACTAACGTAATGGTTATAATTATAACTATAATGTAACAATACCACTGCTATTAATACTTCTAATACTCCTATAAGTAATTAATAATAATAATACGACTACTACTGCTGCTACTATTACAAATACGACTGTTAACTACGACTACTAGTACTACTACTACTTTTGGGTTATCTCAGGTTTTATACATATGCTGTTATGTATGATAATCTATGTAATGTATTTTGTGTATCACTGAATAAACTTATTCACTTAATACTAACAAAAACTCCATTTTTTCCAACCATAATTTTCATATAAATTGAATCATTAGTATTGTGATTAACACATAAACAATAAAATAATAATAATAATAATAATAATAATATAATAATAATAATAATAATAATAATAATAATAATAATAATAATAATTAGTACTGCAGAGAGATTAACAAAGTTGAGGAAGCCTGGGGGAACAAAAGGACTTGCCAATTGAAAATTCAAGACGGGTGATGTGAGATGGGTAAGTGGAGGTACTGGGAAGATGGAGAAAATGTTTTAAGCTGTTAAATGTTGATGAGATATTGCTGGGACAAGGACCCCATTAGAAATAAATCACTTTATCTGACTTTCTTTTTTTTTGGGGGGGGGGGTTATCGTAGGTAATTTACACATAAGTTAATTCAGGTATACACAAATAGTTATAGATTATCATACATAACAACATATGTGTGAAGAACCTGGGATAACAAAGTCAGACAAAGTAACTTATTTCCATTGGGGTCCTTTTAATACCTTATTATTACACAGGGTGTCCACAAAAACACTCCTTGATTTCAAACAGGTATAACATTTAACTTTATTGTAATAATCTTTCACAGTTAGTAGCTTCAGATGCAGAATTTCATTTAGTTTCATGTGGTATAGGGTAGCATTAAAGGTACTTAATGTGCGCCCCTCTAGTTGCTCGGCAAACATCGATGTGATAGTCCAGTTCGGTCCAGACGCTCTGCAGCATATCTGGTGTTATGCGAACTGCTTCAGTGATCGAAATTTTCAGCTCCTTCAGGGTTGCAGGTAGTGGTGGTACGTAAACTCTGCTCTTCGCGTACCCCCAGAGAAAAGTCACAAACAGTTAGGTCCGGTGACCTCGCAGGCCACTTGCAGAGGTCACCGGACCACTGAAGCAGTTGGCATGATAACACCAGATATGCTGCAGAGCGTCTGGACCGAACTGGACTATCACATCGATGTTTGCCGAGCAACTAGAGGGGCGCACATTAAGTACCTTTAATGCTACCCTATACCACATGAAACTAAATGAAATTCTGCATCTGAAGCTACTAACTGTGAAAGATTATTACAATAAAGTTAAATGTTATACCTGTTTGAAATCAGGGAGTGTTTTTGTGTACACCCCTACTGTAAAGGAGATAACATGTTACTATGTATGGTAATTTGTGTAGCTGTATTTATGTGTACCTGTACCTAAATAAATTTCTACTACTACTACTACTACTACTACTACTACTACTACTACTACTACTACTACTACTACTACTACTACTACTACTACTACTACTACTACTACTACTACTACTAACTACTACTACTACTACTGCTACTACTACTACTACTACTATACTACTACTACTACTACTACTACTACTACTACTACTACTACTAACTACTAACTACTACTACTACTTGCTACTACTACTACTACTACTTACTTACTAACTAACTTACTACTACTACTACTACTACTATACTACTACTACTACTACTATACTACTACTACTACTACTACTACTACTACTACTACTACTAACTACTACTACTTACTACTACTACTACTACTACTACTACTACTACTACTACTACTACTAACTACTACTACTACTACTATACTACTACTACTACTACTACTACTACTCTACTAACTACTACTACTACTACTACTACTACTACACTACTACTACTACTATACTACTACTACTCTACTACTACTTACTACTAACTACTACTACTACTACTACTACTATACTAACTACTACTACTACTACTACTCTACTACTACTACTACTACTACACTAAACTACTACCTTACTCACACTACTATACTATCTACTAACTACTACACTACTACTAACTAACTACTACTACTACTACTACTACTACTACTACTACTACTACTCTACTACTACTACTACTACTACTACTAACTACTACTACTACTACTACTACTACTACTACTACTACTACTACTACTACTAACTACTACTACTACTACTACTACTACTACTACTACTACTACTACCACTGCTACTACTACTACTACTACTACTGCTGCTGCTACTACTACTACTACTACTACTACTACTACTACTACTACTACTACTACTACTAATACTACTAATAATAATAATAATAATAATAAAGACCCCCAGTGGTAATAAGTCACTGTGACTTTTTTATGTTATCCCAGGTTCTCTACACATATTCTGCTATGTATGATAATCTATGTAACTGTATTTGTATATACCTGAACAAACTTACTTAATAATATACAATACCTCAACAAAGTCTTCCCTGGACAACAAGAAGGTCAAACAATTCTCGGGATTGTGTACGATACTCATGGGTGCAACAACCCCCTTGACCAACGAAAATAAACCACTTTCTCTCTGTTTTCTGTGTTATCATAGTTAATTAACAAATAATATACTGTATAACACAATTGCAACCATCCAGAAATTATGCAATTACGAGTAAATGTAGTTAAGAAGGAGTGAGTGTTGGCGTGGCGTGCGAGGCTGCCTGGAACACCACGCTGTCACCACATCATCCACTATCACCTATAATATCACTGTGTAACCATGCCTACCGTCTCTGTTAACCGAGATGTATTGTTCAATGCTCTCGGAAGGTTCTATTGTAAGTTATACGTTGGTTAACCCTCACATTCAGGGTTCCTGGTTGGTGTTATAAGAGTGTGAGTGTGGTGGGGAAATAATGATGTAATGCTTGCAGTAACTATTATTTGGGTATAATTGTATGAGTTCTAGGTCATTACAGTTTTTTTTTTATAGTAACATAGGTGTAAATTACCCAGAAAAACACTGGAAAGTCAAAGTGACTTGCTTCCACTGGAGTATTAAGATTTTTCACTGAAAACGTTTTTACCACGATTAACCTTTTCGTGTTTAAAATCTTGATAATATATCCATATTGTCTATAATATCTTGATAATATCTCCATCTTGTCTTTATAATATCTTGATAATATCTTCATATTGTCTATAATATCTCCATATTGTCTGTAATATCTTGATAATATCTTCATATATATTATCTTGATAATATCATGATTGGTGGAACATTTCCTTGTTAATCTGTGCTGATGTTGCACTTGTGTCTTATTTCACTCTTGTACGTAATATTTCTTATCCATATGTTTATATATAATAGTTGTTAATAACAATGAACATATGTAGACTACTGAAATGTTATGTAGACAGCTGTCATGTAGACAGCTGAAATGTTATGTAGACAGCTGTCATGTAGACAGCTGAAATGTTATGTAGACAGCTGTCATGTAGACAGCTGAAATGTTATGTAGACAAAGGTGCCATGATGTAGACAGCTGGAGTGTTATGTAGACAAAGGTATCATGTAGACAGCATGTGTTATGTAGACAACTGTCATGTACACAGCTGAAGTGTTATGAAGACAGAGAAAGGGGCACCTTGATACCAGTGAAGAGCTCTTGATCCAAGAAATGTGAGCTGTCCTTTCATTCCATGGGTCACACCTGACTACTTCATATGAGAAATTTCAATTACTCAGATATGGTAAACATGAGGAAATTAAATCTTCATCAGAGTACAAAACAAATTCTGGCCACAAAATAGAGTGAAACACCAACGTCAAAGACCTGGGAGTGATCATGTCGGAGGATCTTACCTTCAAGGATCATAACATTGTATCAATCGCATCTGCTAGAAAAATGACAGGATGGATAATGAGAACCTTCAAAACTAGGGAGGCCAAGCCCATGATGACACTCTTCAGGTCACTTGTTCTATCTAGGCTGGAATATTGCTGCACACTAACAGCACCTTTCAAGGCAGGTGAAATTGCCGACCTAGAAAATGTACAGAGAACTTTCACGGCGCGCATAACGGAGATAAAACACCTCAATTATTGGGAGCGGTTGAGGTTCCTAAACCTGTATTCCCTGGAACGCAGGAGGGAGAGATACATGATTATATACACCTGGAAAATCCTAGAGGGACTAGTACCGAACTTGCACACGAAAATCACTCACTACGAAAGCAAAAGACTTGGCAGACGATGCACCATCCCCCCAATGAAAAGCAGGGGTGTCACTAGCACGTTAAGAGATCATACAATAAGTGTCAGGGGCCCGAGACTGTTCAACTGCCTCCCAGCACACATAAGGGGGATTACCAACAGACCCCTGGCAGTCTTCAAGCTGGCACTGGACAAGCACCTAAAGTCAGTTCCGGATCAGCCGGGCTGTGGCTCGTACGTTGGTTTGCGTGCAGCCAGCAGCAACAGCCTGGTTGATCAGGCTCTGATCCACCAGGAGGCCTGGTCACAGACCGGGCCGTGAGGGCGTTGACCCCCGGAACTCTCTCCAGGTAAACTCCAAGTAAACTCCAGGCTACACGACTCCTTTGACCAGTGCTTCCCAATAAATATTTATGCATAATGTAAAAAATAGAGGAGGCAATGTTTCAAGTGTATATTTGCAAAAGATAAAACTTTGAGTCAATTTTTTACCATTAAAAGCCATTAGAACTCCTAAATCACTAAATCTTTCTGTTTCCACAGCGGATGATGAATTTAACGAGCTGTGCTTCCAGTACGGATTGGAAGTTGATGATGTAGTTGATGATCCGGAGAAGGGAATAACATACAAGATTGAAGTGGGGGCCAATCGCTATGATCTTCTTTGCTGCGAGGGACTTGCTCTCGCTCTTTCTGTTTATTTGGGAAAGAAGTCCCTTCCAAATTACCAGTTAATGCCAGCCAAGGAAACAGAGAAATATAAGCTAATAGTGAAACCATCAACAGCCCAGGTTAGACTGTATATCTTATTGTCTGTGAGATTCTAGTTACAGTTTTTGTCTACCTAAGGGATAAAAATTATAATTCGTTAGTCATAAAATTGAAAGTTTTGTTGACATGCTGATTATTATCCTTGGCTAGCATTTGTTATACGAGAATTAGTCTTATTTACCGAGTACAGTATGACCAACTGTTCTTAAAAATTTTATGTCAGTTGTATTCCTTCCTGATCCAAGAAATAATTAACTTGTACATACTATTCTGGTGCTTGAAATGTGAATGGGAAGCTATTCCTTACTGGAATGTATTAAAGCAATACTATAGGAGGCCTGGTCACAGACCGGGCCGCGGGGGCGTTGACCCCCGAAACTCTCTCCAGGTAAACTCCAGGTATACATTAAATTATAACTGTTCTCCTATAATTAATGAATTGGATCTGTGATCCAGTTCCCCGAATTAAGCCTGAATGCCTTCCACATCCCCCCCAGGCGCTGTATAATCCTCCGGGTTTAGCGCTTCCCCCTTGATTATAATAATAATAATAATATAATTAATTGTGCTGAGTGCTTAATCAATGAAAATGTCTATTAGATCTGGAACCAGTAAATGATCTCAAAAAGTTATGTAGAACGAGGTTTACTGAGTTTTGGGATTCACCTTCTTAAGTTCTCAGGTATGGGATTATGGTGTGGGTTTGTGTCTTCCCTAAAGAATAATGTTTGTAAAAATTTACTCTTGTTTTTTGGGTTTTTGAACATGGTAGTCTTCATTTAATTGCTAGTTAATATGCAGTTTGAAACCATACCACGGGCAGGATTTGAACCCGCGGTCAGAGAGTCTCAAAACTCCAGACCGTCGCGTTAGCCACTGGACCAGCTAGCCACAATAAGATTCGTCCAACTAGGTATATTTCTACACCATAGGAAGGTTAGCATAGGCACCACTGTGACCACAAATGCAAGTTTTTATAGACGAATCTCCAGCTAGCGTGGCCGTGACGAACTCTAGCTCAAGTCCCCTCACTGCCATCAATATGACTCACGAAATCGTACTGACACGATTGCAAACAAACCATACCACGGGCGGGATTTGAACCTGCGGTCAGAGAGTCTCAGTGGCTAATGTGATGGTCTGGAGTTTTGAGACTCTCTGACCGCGGATTCAAATCCCGCCCGTGGTATGGTTTGTTTACAATCGTGTTATTACGATTTCGTGAGTCATGCAGTTTGAAGAAATGCTAACTGTACAGTATTTCATTTTTCTCTAACAGAATTCTCTCTTCTGTATAAGTTCATTTTTGCTAATTATATTTTTTTTTCCAACATTACTGTGATTTTCTGATTAATTTTTTACACATCTCAAATGGACAGTTCAACATGCACAGCCACATATGGTAATCATTTAAACTGTTACTCACATTTTTATCTATTGTGCAGTACCATGAATACTTATGGATCTACTCATTAAAATGTGCATTTGTGATGTTTATCTTTCTTTTACAATGTATTCATTATGTTGCCATTGTCATTATTTACACTTCAATATCAGATACACTCTACTTATTTTAACATTCACTGAGCCTAATGCAACTTTACAATTCAAGAGAATAGTTATTTTATGAGCCATGAATGTTGTAAGAGGCAACTAAAATGCCGGGAGTAAGGGAATAGTAACCCCTTCTGTATAAATTACTAGATGTAAAAAGAACAACAACTTTATGTTTCTTCTTTTTTGGGTCATGCTGCCTTGGTGGGAGAGCTATTGTTAAAAAAAAAATTATTTCATGACTCCTTGATATCATATTAGTCTTGCTTTCCAGTACATCTCCAAGAATAGTCTTCCTTTTTTTTTTTTTTTTTTTTTTTTTTTTTTTTTTTTTTTTTTTTTTTTTTTTTTTTTTTTTAGATTTTGCTTATAGTACAGTATATTGTATAATGTCATGCATATACTTTAGTAAATTTGTGCAGGTACGTCCATATGTCGTTGGAGCTGTTTTGCGGAACATGAAATTTACTCAGGCCGTGTATGACTCCTTCATTGATCTTCAAGACAAACTGCATCAAAACTTAGCTCGGAAGCGTACCTTGGTTGCAATTGGTAAGCAGTTAACTAATTGAATGTATTTATCACTGCTTAAATAATGCACACCCCAGTAATATTACATAGTGATCTTTTCTGATATAAAAAAATATAATACGAATTTGCTTATAAAGCATGGCCTTCTAAGAGTAAATCCTGTGTCTGTATTAACTATCATGTACATTATGTATTAATGATTCTGCACAAATTTTTTGTTAATATTTTACAATGCTTGTCATTAAGGGGTCTATGATGAATTTGGTAGGGCAAGTATCATATAAATCTTGAAAAAAATGAAAACAAGTTAAAGTATACCTGGTGGAAGGCACCCAGCATAATTCAATGTCCAAAGTAATACCCACCCTGGTAGGTTTGTTGATGAGGCAAAAAATTATACTGTCTTTGCTATTAGAAGTGGGATGTCTCAGGATTTCATTAAGGCTGCTGGCTGCATCTTAGGTGCCTTCTTTCTAGGCGATCTGTGTGGTGGATGGTTTTGTATCCATAGTATCCCTGCTTCATGTAGTCTTGAGGTCCAAGTTTGTTGGACATTTTTGGCTATTGATGAATTAGTATGGTCAGGAGTAAATCACTGATGTGAGACAATTGCAAAGGTTATTGAATTGAATAAGGCAGACCATCAGATAAAGGAATTAGTAGAAGCCACTGATGTGTGTGTGTGTCCAGTGTGGGCTAGTTGCATTGGTTCCTTGGGAACAGCATTAATGACATGCCCACACCAAGAGCAGATGCACAGAAGCCTCGAAAAATGTTCCCACTAATGTTTAATAAAGTATCTGGAATTGCTTTGTCATCATTTTCCAGAATCTTACATGCATTGTGGTGCAAAGTTTTTATGCAAGACAGTGCTCTATGCCACATTGTGAAATCTATTGTTCAGTTGCTTTATGTCTGTGAGGTACCCATCTTTGATGACTGGCCAGTATATGCCCTAGGCCTGAATCCCAGTTAAGAACCTTTGGCTGTAAAAGAGAGAGATCTACTAGGGGAAAGATAGCACCCTACTCCCATGACATGAGGATGCTGTCCACTAGTCATGGAATTTACCCCATGAAACTGTCAAGAATGTTTGTTAATCACTTCCTAGACAATTGAAAGATAGCCTGAAGTGCAAAGGGGTAGACACGCTGCACTGGCAAGCACTGTAGCCAGTGTAAAGGATGAGAGGGGGAATGAGAAAACGAGTTACATTAATCGTGATGACACTTCAAGTTCTTTTAAATATTTTGTGCTTGTTTATGGATTTGTGAAGGGGTGTGGTGACCACTTCTTCCACCATTTAGTTGTCAAAACAACCCCCCAAACACTATAGTAAAGGGGCAAGGAATTGGCCTGTAGATCCCTCCTCACTTTGGCCTTCACTGTTCCTGTTGTAGAGAAAAGAAAGTAGTATCAACTTTGTGGCTTTCAACAAGGAACTGAAGAACAAAGTAAATGTACAGTTGTGGAAATTTTCCCAGATACTAATCACAATGTTTGTAGATTGTATGAAATCAGTTGGAAAGAATAAAACAGAATAGGATGTGAAGTTTATAAGGGTAGGAGAAAGAACGGAAGTAATGAAGGTACTGGGCATAAGATGCTAGTGATAACATAGTTCCTTATACAGTTAACTTGAATTCAAGTTGATCACAGTATGGTGGCTGTTTAAATGCATTGGGAACAATGCAGTGATGATTATGAAAATTAAAAGGGGTACCTGGAGTTTACCTTGAGAGAGTTCTGGGGGTCAACGCCCCCGCGGTTCAGTCTGTGACCAGGCCTGGTGGATCAGAGCCTGATCAACCAGGTTGATACTGCTGGCTGCACGCAATCCAACGTACGAGCCTCAGCCCGGCTGGTCAGGTACCGACTTTAGGTGTTTGTCCAGTGCCTGCTTGAAGACAGCCAGGGGTCTATTGGTAATCCCCTTATGTATGCTGGGAGGCAGTTGAACAGTCTCGGGGCCCCTGACACTTATTGTATTGTCTCTTAACGTGCTAGTGACACCCCTGCTTTTCATTGGGGGGATGTTGCATCGTCTGCCGAGTCTTTTGCTTTCGTTGTGAGTGATTTTCGTGTGCAAGTTCGGTACTAGTCCCTCTAGGATTTTCCAGGTGTATATAATCATGTATCTCTCCCACCTGCATTCTAGGGAGTACAGGTTCAGGAAATTCAAGTGCTCTCAGTAATTGAGGCGTTTTATCTCCGTTATGCGCACCGTGAAGGTTCTCTGTATTGGAATTAGTTAGTGTGAAATTGTGATATTGAATTCATTAGTGATTTGTGAGGGGTTAATCTGAGTATCATTTGGAATGATATGATGGAAATAAATGACACTAGTCTCAGACTGAAGGATAAGTGTAAGGGAAGGAAACTATATATCACAAAGTACAGGTCTCCCTCAACATTCATGAGGGTTAGGGAATCAAGAGCCTCGCGAATGTTGAAAAACCGTGAATGTTTGGTGCCCCAATATATTGTAGGGAAATATAATACAATACTGCTTCCTTAACTTGTTGAACCATGAACAATCATAAAATACATGAAAACGTCGTAAATTGTACTAAATACATACGTTATGCCTTAACAACATGTATGTTATTAAATACCACTGCCTCCACCACTGCAAGTCCCTACTACCCTCCCTCCGACCCCCCACAACTGGCAGCCAGCCCTCCCACCACGGTGTGGTGACTGTTTTGTTTGTTCATTATTTGCTATTAAGCTACAGTATAAATAATGTCAACCCGTTTATAACTGCATATTGGAATGGCTATTCTGACAGGTATTGGAAGGTGACATCATGTGTTTACTCTTGAACACAGCAAAGAATCAAACATTTGTGCTACTGCTAATAATAATAATAATAATAATAATAATATAATAAAAATAATAATAATAATAATAATAATATAAATACAATAGAATTGAAGAAGGAAATTGTACAAAAATACGAGGGTTGAAGCAGTGGTGGAGGAAGTGGTTGACGCATCGTCAGTGTGGCTTTGTTTATGCTGGAGTGAGTATTAGTCTCCACGCTCTTCCAAACATTTCACAATAATTCATTGTATTTGGTGCTTGTAGATTGAGTGTGACTGCAGTGGTTGAGGCAGTGGGTGAGGCAGTGGGTGAGGCAGTGGGTGAGGCAGTGGTAGAGGCAGTGGTAGAGGCAGTGGGTGAGGCAGTGATAGAGGCAGTGATAGAGGCAGTGATAGAGGCAGTGGTAGAGGCAGAGGGTGAGGCAGTGGGTGAGGCAGTGGTATTTACTAACATATATGTTATAAATAATAATAGTACATGTTAATATTAATAACATTTATAATAATAATAATAGTTATTTATAATGTACTATTATTATTTATAACACATATGTTAGTATATATCACTACCTCTACCACTGCCTCACCCACTGCCTCAACTGCTGCCTCACCCACTGCCTCTACCACTGTCTCACCCACTGCCTCTACCACTTCCTCAACTACTGCCTCACCCACTGCCTCTACCACTGCCTCTACCACTGCCCCACCCACTGTCTCACCCACTGCCTCTACCACTGCCTCTACCACTGCATCACCCACTGCCTCTACCACTGCCTCAACTGCTGCCTCACCCACTGCCTCTACCACTGCCTCTACCACTGCCTCAACTGCTGCCTCACCCACTGCCTCTACCACTGCCTCACCTACTGCCTTTACCACTGCCTTTACCACTGCCTCAACTGCTGCCTCACCCACTGCCTCTATTACTGCCTCTACCACTGCCTCACCCACTGCCTCACCCACTGCCTCACCCACTGCCTCACCCACTGCCTTTACCACTGCCTCTACTGCTGCCTCAACTGCTGCCTCTACCACTGCCTCTACCACTGCCTCTACCACTGCCTCTACCACTGCCTCTACCACTGCCTCTACCATTGCCTCTACCACTGCCTCTACCACTGCCTCACCCACTGCCTCACCCACTGCCTCACCCACTGCCTCACCCACTGCCTCACCCACTGCCTCTACCACTGCCTCTATAACTGCCTCTACCACTGCCTCTACCACTGCCTCTACCACTGCCTCTACCACTGCCTCTACCACTGCCTCAACCACTCCAGTCACACTCAATCTACAAGCACCAAATACAATGAATTATTGTGAAATGTTTGGGAGAGCGTGGAGACTAATACTCACTCCAGCATAAACAAAGCCACACTGACGATGCATCAACCACTTCCTCCACCACTGCTTCAGCCCTCGTATTTTTGTACAATTTCCTTCTTCAATTCTATCGTATTTATTATTATTATTATTATTATTATTATTATTATATTAATATTATTAGCAGTAGCAGAAATGTTTGATTCTTTGCTGTGTTCAAGAGTAAACACATGAGGTCACCTTCCAATACCTGTCCGAATAGCCATTCTAATATGCAGTCATGAATGGGTTGACATTATTTATACTGTAGTTTAATAGCAAATAATGAACAAACAAAACACTCACCACACAGTGGTGGGAGGGCTGGCTGCCAGTTGCAGGGGTCGGAGGGAGGATAGTAAGGACTCGTGGCGGTAAACTTAAATATGATTTGGCAGCTGGGAATTTGGCGGTTGGAAATTCGCGAATGTGTGAAGCCCGCGAAAGTTGAAAACGCAAATGTTGAGGGAGACCTGTACATATTTTAGAACAAGGATATGCAAAGAAAATCTAATGGTAAAAAGACCCTGAAGGGAGGTTTCTTGATGTTGGTGAGTCTCTGGATCTAAAAAAAATTGGACCTGATCATTCCTATATTGGATTGCCTTCTATTCCCTTTGGCACTGTATGACCTCCCTATGAGTTTAGTGACTTTCCCTCTTCATGAATATAATAATAATAGCAAAAGTACATTGGATTAAATGTACATTGCAGATTTAGAGAAAAGTATTTATAAATGTGCTGTATTCATCAATGTATGGAACTTGTAATTTTTTAAACAGAAGGTTGCCACTGACAATTTCACACAAATCAATACAAGATGCCCACAAAATTGTGATTTATAGGGAATTTCTCAGCAACTCTTCTTTGTGACCACTCTTCACTTTTACCACTGTACTGTAAAATGACTGAAGTTAATTGGTTTACTGCCTAACTGTGATATGTATTTTTGTATGGAAGGTAGCCTGCGTGTAGTTAATGTAGGGTATGTAAACATTTGTAGACTAGAGCTTAGTTTATTGGTAGAGAGTTCCTTCCAGACAGACTAGAATGAAGGGAGCCCAGAGCCAGAGTTCCAAAAGGAAGAGTGGGTCTTCTCCTCAGGAAAGGCAGTGTCAGAGTGAGACTGAGTACTGGTCACGAGGGCCAGTACTCAGGGACCAGCCCTCTGGCGAGTGCTGTGAGAAACAGACTTTAGGCCAGCAACTCCTCTAGCATGAGTTTTGGGAAACAGATATGGGGTAGGCATGCAGTCTGCATAACTGGGATAGGTTGTTCAATAGGAAAAAATAACTTTGTCATTATTTTCAGTTAACCCAGTAAATGAGTATTGATTTAGTGATCTTTTATTTTTTATTTATTTTACAGGCACTCACGATTTAGACACAGTCTCAGGCCCTTTTATATATGATGCAAAAGTGCCACAAGACATTTCATTTGTACCTCTGAACCAGTCTCAAGCTATAAGAGCTGACAAACTGTTGGAAATGTATTCTCATGACTCACATCTTAAGGAATATGTGCCTATTATAAAGGTAAGTTTAGGTTATCTGAAGATTAGACCCCTCATGGCAAACAATGAATTATAGTTATGCAAATTCTTAGGCTAGGCCTATTAAGTTATTAATCTAGTAAAATTAGGTTAAGTTTCTATGTTAGGTTTAGTTCAGAATGAAAAACTGGCACATTGTATCAAGATTTTCATAACTATTTCACCATTTTCCTTAGAGGGGTTGGAATCTTCAAGGGTTCTACAAGTTCTTCAAAGGAATTGAATTACGAGGCACATATAATGGTTGGCTACATCCTCTCTCTCTCTCTCTCTTTTTTGTCCCATGGATGGTCATATATATACATCATAATATATACATCATAGAGGAAGTATATACATCATAGAGGCAGTATTCTGGCTTACTATATCCTTCAATTGACTTAAGTAAGATCATCTTTCAACAAACCGGCCATATCCCACTGAGGCAGGGTGTCCCAAAAAGAAAAACAAAAATTTCTCTTTTTAACTTTTCCAATGTATACAGGAGAAGGAGTTACTAGCCCCTTGCTCCCACTTGAGTATGATATTGTCTACAATATGTGCTAGGACTTGTATAGAGGTGATAAAATACAATTTAATTGTTTTTCTAGTGTCACCAGGGGTGTGGAGGAGAAAAGTAACCTTCACAGCTTCTTCAGAAATGTTATTAAGATTGAAAATAAATTGCACCTGTAGCTTAAGGATGCAAATTTCTTGACTTTTCCACTAGATTTAGTATAGTACTGTAGCATACAATGTGAATTAATTTTTATATTCTATATACTGTACTGTAATTATTACATAGTATAAATGTTTTTCTTGTGTCTTTACAGGATAAACCTGTTTACCCAGTGATCACTGACCAGAAGGGTGTGGTATTATCTATGCCACCTATCATCAACGGTAATCACTCCAAGATTACCCTTAATACACGTAACGTTTTTATAGAGTGCACCGCTACTGATCGCTACAAAGCGCAGATTGTACTAGACACACTTGTATGTATGTTCTCGGGCTACTGTGATCAACCTTACACTGTTGAGCCTGTTCAGGTAATTACTTTTAATTACTTAAGATGATTCAGCTTTTCTCTGGACAATCCATACTTCCAGAAAGTTATGATTAGTCAAAGTTAACCAATTTAACCTAGCTTTTGTGTATTTTTGTACTCCTGGTATTAGAATTAGGTAGAATCACCCAACATGTAATGATTACAATGTCAATTATAACTGCAGTGTTTATAATGTGTAGTTAATTATAATTGCATAAAATTTGTCAACAGTTTAAGATTTGCCTAGAATTCTTTAATTAATCTACTATTGACTGTTATTATATGCATATTATGGTAAGCACTTCCATTGCTAGTGAAAAAAGAAGTTATAAAAACTGTTTGACAGTAATCAGCTTGAATTCATATTTAATACTGCTAAAATAAAAAAGAATGAAGCTTTGTGGATATTTAATGATTAAGCTAGTGGATATTTGAGTATTAATTTTGTAGTTTTCATATTTTGAACAAAAGATATTTAGGGATACAGTAATTATATTATAGGTTGAGTATCCTGATGGAGAGAGAGTGCAGTATCCAACTCTTTATTATCGTCAACAAGAGGCCTCTGTTTCTTACTGCAACATGTTAACAGGAGTGAATGAAACTGCTGAAAGTATTGCAGCAATGCTTACAACCATGAGTCTCTCAGCCAAGCCCCAGGGCCAAGACAAAGTTATAGTTGAGGTGCCTCCAACCAGGTATAGTGTATCTTAATTTTTTTTTTTTTTTTTTTTTTTTACACCAGCCATTTCCCACTAAGGTAGAATAACCTTAAAAATAAACCTCATTCTCCAGTGGTGTTTTTTTTAGAGGTGTACAGGCATCATGGTTCAGTGGTCCATTTCTATGTGGAGTTAATATTATTGTACACTTTAGCCTGAGGCTAAATGTTTTTCAATGAATGATAAATGTTTTTTTTTTTTTATATTTTGTCTGTTTCCTACCAAGTAAGGCAAGAAAAAAATATAAGTATTCCTTGTTATTTATTCAATCTCTTGTCTTGCTAGAAGTGTTCTGACATCACAATTCAGATGACATTGAAATCTGCAGCATCCTCATTCCTTTAGAGTGCAGGACAAAAACAATCTGCAAGTAAATATAGCACCAAGCATATTGCCAGAAATACGTACATCTTTCTTTCTTTCTCTTAACACACCGGCCATATCCCACCGAAGTGGGGTGGCCCAAAAGGTAAAACAAAAGCTAGAAATACATATACAGTGTAAACTATATAATGTCAGCACAATATGCAAGATTAGCAAACCTCAGAATAACATTCAGAAGTTTAAATAAAGAATCATTCAGAACTTTATTAATGACATATTAGGCTTGTTATTGAATATACAGCCCCAGCATGAAGTCCACACTTGATAAAGCATGTGAAGAGGCTCAAAAAGGTCCACAGGTTTGCTTCCATGTTAGTACCAGAACTGAGAGGAATACACTATGAGGAGAGGCTGAAGGAGCTGAGCTCGAAGACCTTAGAGGAGAGGAGGACTAGGAAAGACATGATTATGATATCAAAAATCTTAAGGGAAATTTATACAGATAAGGAGACGACGGTGAGACGGTGGGAGATGACCGACTTGTTGGAAAAAAAAAAAAAAAGGACAGACTTTACGAATGAAGAGAACCATCAAGGGGGACAGAGATGGAAAGCTAGAGCATAGATAAGCTGTAGGGATGTGAAGAAGTATTACTTTAGTCTCAAGGTGGTTGAAAAGTGGAATGACTTGGATGAGGCAGTAGTGAAGGTAACTCAGTGCACAACTTCAAGGGTAGATATAAGCCCCGAGAGGTTAGACATCAGTGATACCAATCTAAGTAGTCTATGAGGTGGGGTCAGGAGCTGAGTCTATACCCCCATAAACAGCTCAGCAAGGACAGTAGATAAGAGTCACAGTTACATGTGCTAATACTGTTTGGCATTAGTTAGTACTTGAATGTCTAGGCTAGATATAGCATATGTTCTCTAGAAAATATGTCTGGTACGTACTCTCAGGATTCTGAATCCATGAGAGGTCAGTACTTTCAGAAATGTGAGAAATGCCTACTAAATTTCTAATGTTCCTTCTTGTGCTACTGTCTGTGCATTGTACTCTGTTGCAGAACTAGAAGAGGACATATAAGCTATATATGTGAAACTTTTTTTTTCTTTACACATAGGATTTGTATTTTTCTGTTACAGATATGATATTCTTCATGAGTGTGACATAGCTGAAGATTTTGCTGTAGCATATGGCTTTGATCGGTTGGCAGCTGATATGAAGATGCCTCCAACTAATACCATTGGCCAGGAATTTGAACTGAATTATCTCAGTGATAAATTGAGATTGTTGTTGTCACAGAATAACTACACTGAAGCTGCCACATTTTCACTGTATTCAAGGGTAAGAAAATATTGTTAGTGTTTTGTTATATGGTTTACATTCATTGTTTACTGTATTATACAATACAATACCAAAAATAAAAGTAAGCAAAATCTTTTTACATATCTCTATGGTTGTTTAATATATTTATAGATGGGGTTGTAAAAAAAGTAAATGCTAGGGTGTTGGGGAGAGGGGTGAGATTAAATTATGGGGAATCGAATACAAAATGGGAGTTGACACAGTTACTTTTTGCTGGTGATACTGTGCTTTTGGGAGATTCTAAAGAAAAGTTGCAAAGGTTAGTGGATGAGTTTGGGAGGGTGTGTAAAGGCAGAAAGTTGAAAGTGAACATAGATAAGAGTAAGGTGATGAAGGTATCAAACAATTTAGATAAAGAAAAATTGGATATCACATTGGAGAGAGGGAATATGGAAGAAGTGAATGTTTTAGATATTTGGGAGGTGACTTGTCAGCGGATGGGTTTATGAAGGATGAGGTTAACCATAGAATTGGTGAAGGAACAAAGGTGAGTGGTGCGTTGAGGTATCTGTGGAGACAAAAAACGTTATCCATGGAGGCAAAGAAGGGAATGTACAAAAGTATAGTGGTACCAACACACTTATATGGGTGTGAAGCTTGGGTTGCAAATGCTGCAGTGAGGAGGTGGCTGTAGGCAGTGGAGATGTCCTGTCTGAGGGCAGTGTGTGGTATAAATATTATGCAGAGAATTTGGAGTGTGGAAATTAGGAGGAGGTGTGGAGTCACTAAAAGTATTAGTCAGAGGGCTGAAGAGGAGTTGTTGAGGTAGTTTGGTCATTTAGAGAGAATGGATCAAAGTAGAATGACTTGGAGAGCGTATAAATCTGTAGTGAAAGGAAGGCGGGATAGGGGTCATCCTCAAAAAGGTTGAGGGGAAGGGGTAAAGGTTCTGTGGGTAAGGGGCTTGGACTTCCAGTAAGCATGTGTGAGCGCATTAGATAGGAGTGAATGGAGACGAATGGTTTTTGGGATCTGACGAGCTGTTGGAGTGTGAGCAGGGTAATATATTTTGTGAAGGGATTCAGGGAAACAGGTAAACTGCACTTGAGTCCTGGAAATGGGAAATACAATGCCTGTACTTTAAAGGAGGGGTTTGGGATATTGGCAGTTTGGAGGTTGACTTCTAAATTGTCGTATCTGAGTGCCTCTGCAAAGACAGTGATTATGTATGTGTGAGGTGAAAGTGTTGAATGATGATGAAAATATTTCCTTTTGGGGATTGTTTTTTTTTTTTTTGGGTCACCCTGCCTCAGTGGGAGATAACCGACATGTTGAAAAAAAAAATGCTGATTGCTTAATGTTTTTTAGCATTAGAATTTTACAACATAGGGAGTTGAGGCATGAAACATCAGAGTTTGAATAAGGAGAGTTTTACAAGTTTTTCATACCCAGTCGATATTCCTTGCTATCAACATCCACAATTTAATTTCTTACCCTGAACCAAGTTGATTGTCTCATGTTACCAAGACACTCATTGATGTTTGTGTGTGTGTGTCTGTGTCTGGTGGTCCTTCCCAAGGTCTTACTTAAATTGGTAAAATATCTATTAAATAAAGTGTACCAGCATGGTTTTCATGCACAGTAGCATTAATTAGTCTGTAAAGCATGAGATGAATCAGTGATGTGCATATGTGAAGGACCATAGTTGATGAAGTTATACATGTGATTACCTATTTGTGATAAAGGGTTAGTTAGTGTTCATACACGTTTGCCATTTTTCAGATAGACATGGGCGAGAGAATGAAAGTGAACCTCGAAAATGAGTCTTGGGTTAAAGTTGCGAATCCCAAAACTACAGAATGTGAGGCTGTTCGAATTAGCCTTTTGCCAGGATTGTTGAAAACTTTGTCGGCAAACAAGCATATCTCCTTACCCCTGAAATTATTTGAGGTAAGTAGAAGTATTGTTTCATTACCAGGAAGAAATATTGTGATATCAGTTTTAGTTAAGTGTGATACACCTTTAACCCTGCGAGAGATTTTGAGTTTTTCCACCCTCCCAGCCCAGTCTAGGGCCAAGCTTTTCCATTGATTACCAGTTCAACCAGACTCTTGCTGTCTGGGGTCTGCTGGCCCCACATAGCCATCTCAGCCTTATTGAGCTGGTGCTTGATAGAGATAAGTGGTTCAATTCCCTCTTGAAAACTTTCACACTTGTTCTTGCAGCTCTGATATCTGCTAGTATAGCAGGTTAGTCTTGTGCTACAAATATTGACACAGGGTTCTCTTCTTTTTTGATGCCCACATCTTCCCTCCTCCCATATATCTTGCTCCAGTATGTTAAAGTAGTTTTCAGATTTGATACTTTCTACCTGTTTACAATTATTTACTGTTACATTGCTTTTTCGTAAGTGTTATCATTTAAATAATTATCACTAACATACTATGAGACACTTGCACAATCTGGATGATAACCAGACTACACTTCTTTCGATTGTTTTCAGGCATTGAACATTTATATACATATTGGGATGATGCAGTGTGCCCTGTTTTTGGGCAATGTAGATCAAGGTAGAGATGTTAAGAGGTAGGGCCTCGAACATCAAGCAGGCATGTGTGGGTTTGTTATTTTGGAATGAGTGGAGACAAATGACTTCAGCAATTTGATTGTCTATAGATTCAAGGAAACCAGTTAGACTAACATGAGTTCTGGAGGTAGGAAATGGGTGGGAATGTTGCAGTTCACTGGATCATTTGAATTGAAATATTCATGCACTTCTAGAAACACATCTGGAGAATAAGTGATAAATGTAATTTTTTTTCTTCAGGGCATCCTGCTTCAGTAGAAATCAACCAGTTTTCAAAAATGTACATTTTCAGGTATCTGACGTTGTGCTTCGAGATACTTGTCCTAGTGCTACTAGAGGCACAGGTGCACGTAATCAACGGCATATCTGTGCCATTAACTACAATGTTAAAGTTGGAATAGAAAAAGTTCAGGGTCTCTTGGACAATATTATGGTGGCTCTCAAGGTCCCTTATGCTGGTGATAACAACTCACAAGGATATTATCTTGAGGAAAAAGAACGTGAGTACTGTACTTGATAAGCAGCTTACTGTTAATTATCCTTCATAAGGTGGGGAAAACCTTCTAGATTTAATTATTTAAATATGAAATATTTAAGAAGGAAAATTATTTATAATGTAATAACTTCTTAATGGCCTTTAATTTTCTATCATAATGTTTTCTTTTCTGTATACTTTTCTTTTTTAGCTATTCTTGTTCTTGATTTAGTACAGTATAGGTATGACCTGGGATGATAGTGTTTTTTTATTTTAAGATTTTATTAGTAGCTTTTTTGCTACCATTTTTTAAATCAGTTGATATACCTTTGAAGAGTTTTGAGAGTTTATCTACTCTCTGAGCCTGGCAATGGGCCAGGCTTGTCTGGTGCTTGCCTGGTCAACCAGGCTGTTGCTGCTGGAGGCCCACTGCCTCACATATCCATCACAGCCTGGTTGATCTGGCACCTGGTGAAGATACTTGTCCAGTTTCCTCTTGAAGGCTTCTACACTTGTTCCAGCCAAGTTTCTGATATCTTCTGGTAAGATGTTGAATAGTCTAGGACCCCATATGTTGATAGTGTTCCCTTATTGTCCCCACCACACCCCTGCTCCTCACTGGGCTTATTTACGCTTCCTTCCATATCTCTCACTCCAGTATGTTATGGCAGTGTGCAGATTTGGGACCAGGCCCTCGAGTATTTTCCAAGTATATATTATCCTTACGTTCTGTTTGGTGACCCTCTGAGTTTTGTATATAGTGTTCCTTTTGAGTTCTTCATTCTTTCCATACCTAAGCAGCTGGAACTTATCACCATTGAATGTCACGTTGTTCTCCATTGCCCACTGGAAAACCCTGTTTGTCTTCCTGTACTTTTTCAGTGTCCTCTACCGTGGTGACTTTCATGCTTATTTTAGTGTCATCTGGAAATGATGATACAGAAGTGTGCCAGGTGTTTTTGTCTGTCTGCTATGAGGATGAGAAACAGCAGAGGTGCCAGGACAGCCTTGGGGCACTGAGCTTTTGACCTCACTGATTCTGGATTTTGCCCTGTTCGCTACTGCTTTTTGTGTTCTGTGTGTTAGGAAACCGAAAATCCATCTGCCTACCTTCTCCGTAATGCCTGTGGCTTTCATTTTGTGCGCTATCACTCCATGATCGCATTTGTCAAACGCCTTTGCAAAATCTGTGTAAATCACATCTGTGTTTTGGTCGTCTTCCAATGCCTCCATAACTTTGTCATAATGGTTCAGCAGCTGTGACAGGCATGATCGTCCTGCTCTAAAACCATGTTGGTTTGGGTTATGTTGGTTGTGCAGCTCCATGAAATTTGTAATCTGCCGTCTCATCACTTTTTCAAAGGTTTTTATGATGTGCGAGGTTTATTTGACACTATCCAATACTGTATTTGGGGCTATTTTGACATGCAGTGGCTGTTTATAGAAATTAGGCAACACACCAGTCGGCCTCGGTTTACTGTAGAATCACTGCAGGTACAATATTGTGTCAAGAAAACAGTTTTGGCTTGCAGTTTTTATTGTGTATAGTTGTATTTAACTTTTTTATTGTTAAAAGTGCTGAATGCTTTTATAGGTTTTAAGTACTCTGTAAATTCTACAGTTAGTGCTCTAGGTAATTTTATTTTTCATAGTGCTTTTCATTAATTTTAGGCATCTTAAACATGCAACCTGCAGCAGCATTACACGTGGCCCACCAGTAATGTTGATGTCTAGTTCATTGAAAGCAATAATGATAATTTACGATTAATCAGTGTAATTGGTTGAAATCAGTTGTAAAATACAAATCCAGTACTAACTTCGAATGACTGATCAGGTACTAATATGTGACATGTATGCTTCCAATCTGCTACCTCCCCAGTGCTCATAAATTGAGGTTTAAAGTTGCAATTAAAAATTTATAAGTGAACATAAATTTAGATTTTAGGAAATGCAGCATTTTGACACTCCTAATAAGATTAATTAAGCTATGTTGTTATTTTGTTAAATGACACTGTCTTGCCATCTATCAGTCAAGAAACCAAAGCTGTGAATATTTGCTTCATTCTCCTGACATTTATATGATTAAAATATGTAATTACCTATTTGTTAACTACTGGTATGTGTAACTATATCAGCAGAGTCATGCTCTTAGTGTCTTGTCTTCAGTAATTAGTAATTACTGTAATTCATCATATAATTTTTGATGGTTGTCATTTGCTACCTACCTACTCACTTAATATACTTCATTGCTTCATTCATCATTAACAGGGAGACAGCAAACATTATACTTGAATTTCTTGAAGTCTGGCTGAGGAATGAGATCAGAGATAGGATGAAGTTGTGAAAGGAGCATAGAATAAAGACAAGGATTAATAAGTTGACAATAACAGATAGTAATGGAATTTAAAGAAAAGGGTTGACAAAGAGTGTACCTAATGGATTACATCTTCAGGGATGGGGAGGGGGACTGTCTTGAGGCTGATTAAAGGCTCTTAATTCAAGGTATTGGAGCTACCCTCTCCTTTCTTGAATCAACCCTGATTACCTTCTAATCTCCAGTCATTTTGACCTCTACGGGTTTTGCACTTTCCCATGAATATAATATTAATTTGCATCATGTTTGAAAACTTTCACTGTTAAAATACTGTGTTGTATATGTTAACTTTATTCCTTTTATTATTTTGTTCTAGCAGTTCTTGTAAAGGAAATATGCAGTAATGATTATTGCATGCCACTGAGTGGATCACACTATTTTGGCAGGATATAAATGGTAGATCGAAAAACAGTGCCTGTAAATAAATTACTTGCAAGACATAATAGAACACTATAATAATTTTTCATCATATTCCTAACAGATCCAAGTTACTTCCCTGGGTTTTGTGGTAGTGTGATCATCAGTGGTGTCCCTGTGGGGTTTTGGTTTTGGTTCCCCCCAGAAAATCATCACAATTCAAACCCCAACAATCCCGCTGTGCTCTTGAATCGATATGCAAAAAAATTTTGGAACTGATAAAAATTTGGGGGAAATGAAACCGGGATAGATCGGAGTACAACCCCTGGTGTAAATTCCTGTTTTTAGGTAAGTGTGAGCTTTTTGTGGTACCCCAGCTTTTTTTTTTTTTTTTTATTATCACCGGCCCCGATTTCCCACCCAAAGGGGGGCCCGAAAAAAAGAAAAAAACTTTAACCCTCATTCACCTCCATCATGTCTTGCCCCGAAAAAGGGGGCTTTTCAAACCAGTTTTTAAACTGCAACATTAACACCCTCCTTCAGAGTGCAGGCACGGTATTTCCCCATCTCCGGGGACTCAAGCCCGGCCTCCCGGTTTCCTGAATCCCTTCATAAATGTTACTTTGCTCACACTCCAACAGCACGTCAAGTATTTAAAAACCATTTGTCTCCATTCACTCCTATCAACACGCTCACGCATGCCTGTGGAAGTCCAAGCCCTCGCACACAAAACCTCCTTTACCCCCCCTCCAACCCTTCCTAGGCCGACCCCTACCCCGCCTTCCTTCCACTACAGACTGATATACTCTTGAAGTCATTCTGTTCGCTCCATTCTCTCTACATGTCCGAACCACCTCAACAACCCTTCCTCAGCCCTCTGGACAACAGTTTTGGTAATCCCGCACCTCCTCCTAACTTCCAAACTACGAATTCTCTGCATTATATTCACACCACACATTGCTCTCAGACATGACATCTCCACTGCCTCCAGCCTTCTCCTCGCTGCAACATTCATCACCCACGCTTCACACCCATTATAAGAGCGTTGGTAAAACTATACTCTCATACATTCCCCTCTTTGCCCAAGGACAAAGTTCTTTGTCTCCACAGACTCCTAAGTGCACCACTCACTCTTTTTCCCTCATCAATTCTATGATTCACTCATCCTTCATAGACCAATCCGCTGACAGGGTCCACTCCCAAATATCTGAATACGTTCACCTCCTCCATTACTCTCTCCCTCCAATCTGATATTCAATCTTTCTCAACCTAATCTTTTGTAATCCTCATAACCTTACTCTTTCCTGTATTACCTTTAATTTTCTTCTTTTGCACACCCTACCAAATTCATCCACCAATCTCTGCAACTTCTCTTCAGAATCTCCCAAGAGCACAGTGTTCATCAGCAAAGAGCAGCTGTGACAACTCCCACTTTGTGTGTGATTCTTTATCTTTTAACTCCACGCCCTCTTGCCAAGACCTCGCATTTATTCTCTTACAACCCCATCTATAAATATATTAAAAACCACGGTGACATTCACACATCCTTGTCTAAGGCCTACTTTTACTGGGAAAAAATTTCCCTCTTTCCTACATACTCAACTTGAGCCTCACTATCCTCGTAAAAACTCTTCACTCTTTCAGTAACCTACCTCCTACACCATACACTTGCAACATCTGCCACATTGCCCCCCTATCCACCCTGTCATACGCCTTTTCCAAATCCATAAATGCCACAAAGACCTCTTTAGCCTTATCTAAATACTGTTCACTTATATGTTTCACTGTAAACACCTGGTCCACACACCCCCTACCTTTCCTAAAGCCTCCTTGTTCATCTGCTATCCTATTCTCCGTCTTACTCTTAATTCTTTCAATTATAACTACCTAGCTTCTTTGGCATAAATATATGTTTAGGTTTCTAATGGTTTTAACATGCAGGCTCTCTTAACGCCTGTTTCAGCCATCCTTTTGTTGATACTCTACACACACAAATCAGAGAGTGCAATTCAGTACTGTAAATAATACTGTCATCATTGTGGGGAAGCAGTTCAGACTTTTGGTTTTTCCCATTTTCTCTTTGTATTCAGGACTAGTCATGTCTCATGTACTGATTCAGAAAAAAATTGCTGTCCCTATTCTGGAGTTCAGGATAATGAACTGGCAGCCTTTACATGTCTCTGTTCAAGACTTTTCAATTTTTTGTAAGTGGTTGTCATTTTTCACCTATTTTCTGATATTTACTCGAGGGGAGGCCTTGATGCCAGTGAGGGGGCTCTTGATCCAGGGAAGTGAACCTGCCTTCCCCTTCTTGGATCAACCCTGATCTTTCATTCCCCAGATGCTATATGACCCCTATGGGTTTAATACTTCCCCCTGATAATAATTCTGGTACTTTTGAGATTGCTGCAAGAATCATTAATCTGAGTTAGTCAAGCTGGTCAAGGACTGGGCCGTGGGGGCACTGACCCCCGGAACACCATCCGGGTAGAACAGTAAGCTATTTTTAGTAAAACCACAGTAAGGCTTCTCGCTGTCCTCCATTGATGAGCAACAGTAGTTTTGCTGTCGCACACCCACCCATGGCCATCTTCTGGAGGGGTGCTTAACTCTAAGAGAATTTTAAGTCATATTGACAGTCCAACATCTTTTGACATATTGTCCATTTATTGGGATGATAAAGTGCCTAGAGTAAAATGTAGCCGTAATGTCTCATTAGTTGCTTATGTACCCATCTTCTTGGCAAATTGTCAGTAATATTCTAAGTATTGTTTATTGCCAACAGTTGGTCTACACATCCCCTACCCTTTCTAAAACCTGTACTCCCTGTAGTCCCTCTCATCTTACCCTGAATTCTTTCAGTAATAACTACCATACACTTCACCTGGTATACTCGACAGGCTTTCTTCTTTTCCACACGCTGGTTGTCTCCCACTGACACAGGGTGACCCATAAAAAGAAAACACTTTTACCATCATTCACACATATCACTGTCTTTGCAGAGGCATGCAGATATGACAGTTCAGATGTCACCCCAATATAAATAGCTTGCTGAGGTTTTCTAATCAGGAAAGAACTTGAAGCTGTTGAAATTGTTGTTTCAAGTTCTTTCCTGATTAGAAAACCTCAGCACCCTATTTATATTACTTTATTTACAAGGAGAGCATGCATAGTTCCTTTGTATAAAGGAAAAGGGAATAAGAGTGTAAGAATTATAGGAGAATAAGCTTGTGGGGGGGGGGGGATGGAAGGTATTCAGGCTTAATTCAGGGATCTGGAGCACAGATCCAGTTTCCTAGATCAAGAGCCCCTCACTAGTGTCAAGGGACCTCCCTTGAGGAGACAGAGTCCTGGAGGTGGGAAGTACAGTGCCTGCACTTTAAAGGAAGGGGTTTGGGATATTTGTTGTTGGGAGTGACATCTTAACCTACTTGAAACAACAGTTTCAAGTAGGTTAAATTCAGATTTAGAAATTTAGAAGGAATATAGGAAAATGTTGGTTTAGCAATAGTGTTGTGGATGTGAAGAACAATCTGCCAAATAGGCATTGAAGCTAACATCCCTCAGCAACTTCAAAAATACATGTCAGACAAGTATAAGAGTGAGAAGGATTGGATTGGAGAAGGATTGGATTGGAGAAGGACCTGCCAATAGACCTTCAGTGCTTCTGTATTTTTATGCTCAGTTTTGACCACTCCTTAAATACCTCAAAATGCTAATCTCTCTGCCTCATTACTTGAAAATCACAACCTTTAAAGAAGCTTATATAACTCGACTGAAATTGATTTACTACAGTGATGAAGACTTCATCCTATCTCCCTTGTATTCACCATCAGTATTTCTGCTTTTAAATAATAATAAGCCAGTGTTGTATGACCTAAAAGGGTCATACAGCACTGCTTTTAAAAGTAACCACTCTCATACCATGCAGCACTGAATGACCTGCTTGGAATATGTTTTTAGGCAATGACACAGTGGAAGCAAACTCCATACAAGGGTTCAGTATAGGTAGGACAAAGTTCAGTCATGTCACTTGGCCCCAGACTGGATGCTAGTGAGAGGCTTCATCTAAGAAATTGATTCAAACTAAATTGTCTCCCATGTCTCGGCCATTTTACAACTCCTGCTGGTTTAAAATGAAGAGGCGGGACAAAGAGCTTGAGTTTGCGCCTTTCTTCACAAACTTGTAGGTAATTACACATCAGTATTATAATAATAATAATAGCTATTGATTGATAGCATTTTTTTTTTTTTTTTTTTTTTTTTGAGGGGGAAGGGGTTCATCCTCTATTTGTAGGAAAAAGCAGATAGGGTAAAAAGAAAAAAAAAATCATTGAGGGTCTTGCTACTAGGGTCATTTAAGGGGTAATTCCTTGATGTTGGTGAAAGGTTCCTGATCCAAGGAATTGGATCAGGAACCTGATTGCATACCATGTACCAGGCACCGTATGACCCCTATGGATTGAGCACTTACCCATAAAAATATACTGAAGATAGTAACAAGAGGTGTGGTATTATAGTGAGGAAGCATAAGTTTATATTTGGTGAATATATTTTGCAATGAGTGTTTTATGCATGCATGTACATTGGAGTGTATTTGTGAAATGGTGTATTAAATTATATCACATTGTAAATGAATAATGGCATAAGCCAACAGTTAGTGAGAACCACTAAGTTTGCAGTGAAACTTTTATGTTTGTCCAGGATGACTTAAGACAAATGAGCAACATGAGGTCAGGAAACAGGCAATTCAAACTATATATATTTTAGGTATTTGCCTATGTGTGGTTGCAGGGGTCAGTTCCATAGGAAATTTTATTTTATTATATAAACCATGCACATACATTCAGTAGGACTTGCCAGTGTATATATTTCATGTTTTGTTTGATAGTGTTGGATAAATGTTAATGGATGCTTCTAGAATCCTGCATTTGATTTTATCCTGCTCCAGGATACATGAGTGTAGAGTATGGTGAATGACACATGCATTGCTGATTTTGTCCATCCTATAAGATGAACAGAATCAGAAAAACAAAGATCCTATACTGATATTTGGGTTCCTGCAGCAAGTCTGAAGATCATACTCTGTCTCACTAATGTATACTACATCCTTTACACAGAAAGTTGTAAACCCCTTCAGCAGTGGTATTCTTCAGTCTGTGAGTTCTGATGTCTGATGGTTTTGCTAGTTATGACAGAATTGTCTGTGTTGACTTTTCTGAAGATGGGGTGATTTTGAAAGCAACCTGTTCTGTAGGAAGGACAAGGCAAAATTGTTAACTATTTCTCTGGGAGTTGTGTGGATGAGTAAGGTTTGTACTGCTCTTTAAGGTCCCACTACACCTTATCCACTCCTGCAAAAATGAGGACTTACTCATCCACACCACTCCCAATGAAACAACATTGTCATCTTGTCTTCCCCATAGGATAGGTTACCTTTGATATTGCCCCCATCTTAAAGCAAGTCAGCACAGACATTGCTGTTGTAACTAGCAGAACCATCAGATATCACCAGACCTTATGGACCAAAGAGTACAACTGCTGCAGGGGCTAACAGAATTCTGTGTGGAGGATGTAGTAAAAAGCATACGTTGATAAGACAGTGTATGACCAGACTCACTTGCAAGAACACAAATATCAGCTATGAAGTAGTATGACAGACAGGTTTCTGGAAGCAGCCATTATACATTTATCTGACACCAAACAAAGCAAGGAAATATACACCGGTAGGTCCTGTTGCACCTACTGTACATTGTTCTGTCCCCCTCCCACATTAGCTCTTAACTCGAGCAATATTCTTATTTTATGAAGTCACATGTGACGCCTCTCAAGTCTGACCAGGTACTCATTTGCCTTATAAAGCCATGTATCTGTTTCTGTATATTTGGCAAAATCCAGTTCTGGATGAAAATGAAGATTTCATTGCAAACAAGTGCTTTTATCAGTACATGTTACATTGTACCTCATTTGAAGATTTGATCTTGGCCCAACCAAGTTGCTTTGTATAAAAAATTTATAGGATACTTTGACCAAATTTAAGATAAAACTACTGTATCTTATAGTTTAAAAGTCATGTATAAATCTTGCCCTGGTATGTTTAAAAAAAAAGGTACAATACCTTGACTGGAATGATACACAAATAACCCGCACATAGAAGCGAGGAGTTTACGACGACGTTTCGGTCCAACTTGGACCATTTACAAAATCACACTTTGTAAATGGTCCAAGTCTGACTGAAACGTCGTCGCAAGCTCCTCTCTTCTTTGTGCGGGTTATTTCTGGTATGTTTGTGTATATAATTTAATGAATATTATGAAGTGTTTAAACATAGTTTTTTAATAAAATTTATACCTGTTATTCACTTAAGCATTTTTATTGTTGCCTTTTAATACATATTCACAATAACCTTAGTGTTCATTAGTACAATAAATGTAGGTGGAAACAGCAGCACAGTAAAGTGCTGAAATAGACATCTGCACAAAGGACTTTCAGCGAGACATTTTGCCAGTGGAACAAGTTTCTTCAGTCAATACACAGGGATGCACAAGCAAATTTATACAATCAGGTGAATGGCTGGGCAATGAGGTCACTGTGTGGATGAATTGAGACAGCACTGCAGGTCCTTCTGATGACTTGTTTCTGGAAGCTGAGTTTGACTACAGGTATGGCTAAACTGAAAGCTCCTTGACTGTTTGATTGTACTTTGTGTACAGGTGAATTCAGCTGCCAAGCATCTGTGTTGTGTTCTGTCCATTTTCTTTATAACCATCTGGGTGTATTTCCAAGACATCAGGTGTGCAGACTGATCTCTATGTATTATGCATGCATTATTTATGAGAGTCCTGCAGGCATGCTGGTGTTCTTGTAACCTGATCAGTATGTTAGGTAAAAGGACACAAGGGCAACTATTGTGACATTTTATTGTGGCAATGTTCTACTTTCCAGGAGCTTTGTCAAGCTGGCTTGACAAAGCTCCTGAAGAGCAAAACATTGCCACTATAAAATGTTACACTAGTTGCACTTGTGTCCTTTTACCTAACATATTGTCAGTAATTCTACCAACATTATTACAACCTGATTTGTAGACTATGGGAAGTCTCACTCACATAGAGTATGCCTGGTCACTGTCCTGACAGTTACCTATTTGCCTGGTCAAGTCTTTGATGGTTCTCTATATGATAGTGGCAACACCTATGTGTTTGTGACCAGACATATGTGAGCAAGACCTCCTGTAGCCTACAGATCAGGTTGTAATAATGTTGGTAGAATTACTGACAATATGTTAGGTAAAAGGACACAAGTGCAACTAGTGTAACATTTTATAGTGGCAACGTTTTGCTCTCCAGGAGCTTTGTCAAGCCAGCTTGACAAAGCTCCTGGAGAGCAGAATGTTGCCACAGTAAAATGTCACAATAGTTGCCCTTGTGTCCTTTTACCTAACATACTGATCAGGTTACATGAACACAAGCATGCCTGCACCCAGCTGGTCTTAAAGGCGATGGACAAAACATGAATCAGATTCCTGGGAGCTGCATTAATCAGTGAACAAAATAGTCAATTATTATTGTTATAATCAAGGGGAGATCTGGAAGGTATTCAGGCTTAATTTGGGGAACTGGAGCACAGATCCAATTCCCTAGATCAAGAGCCCCCACCAGTATCAAGGAACCTTCCTTGAGGGGAAAATACAGTCAAACAGAATCAAGTTTTCAGTTTAGTCAAACTTGTAGCCCAACTTATCTTACATAAACAGGTCACTGGAAGGACCAGTAAGCCTCCTGCAATGCTCCTGTCTCAGTTCGACACGGTGACCTCACTGACCCAGCCACTCACCTGACTATGCTTGTATAAATTTGCTTGTGAATCCCTGTGCAATAAATGAAGAAGCCTGTGCTACAGGTGATACATCTCAACAAAGTTCCTCTCTGCAACTCTCTCACTGTGATACAGTCTGAAAGGAAATGCAAGTTTGTCATGCACTTCGAATTGATTACTGTATAAGTATAAGAATTATATTGGAAATGGCAGACAATTCCTTGATTTATAGTATAATGTAACAAAATATTTATTTGTCCTTAAATTAATAGAGATTATTCAACCAGGTCACATTTTTAAAATGACAAGTACAAATTTATATCTTGGAGTACCATACTTTTATGTTACCTGAAGACCTAACTTCCTAAGATTCAACACTATAGGAGAGAACACTTTGTCACTCTTATTTAAGATGTACTTCAGGGAAATGACTCAAACGCTGTTAGAGGTCAAAACTGAAAACTATAAAAAATGTCATTTTGCGGCATTATTATTATTATATTAAAAAAGAAGCGCTAAGCCACAAGGGCTATACAGCTCATTTTGCGGCAACCATTTCACCTACACTTCTCTAGAAAAATTTCATCTAAATGTAAATGACAGAACTATTCTTTACCTGGGGAGTGATAGCAAACAAGGTATTTTTTACCCATTTCTAGTAAAATAATTAAGAACCGGGCTCCATAAGCCATGTTTCATGTCTAAATGTACTAGTGTTAAGAAAATATTGATTTGTCTTTTTTTACAGCTGGCTATCTCCCACCGAGGCAGGGTGACCTGAAGACAAACTAACCATCATTCACACTATCACTATCTTGGAATAAATTTTTCAGTGTTACTGTATAACATAAAATATGAAAATTTTGCCAAATTTTTCAGTAGCTTAGGAGTTTTAGCACTTAATTATGGCTGTAACAATAATTTCAGCAGCTTATCCTTGCCACGCATGGGAAATTAAGAACTCATTCTAGTGAAAGGGGACCAAGTATCTTTGTCATTTCTACATACAGTGGAACACACTGTCTTTACATAATATTCAGCATTATAACACCATAAGCTAGTGAGCCACCCCAAGCAGAGCCATAGTCTAGTAACACCAACCAGTCAATTTCCCTTCAAATTACCAGTAGTACTGTACTGAAAATTTGCTATACAGTATTGTTAAGCCTTTGGATGTTTTAATATAAAGATTTATCATGATAAGTTAATGCATGTTCTAGCTGTGATATTATGGGAGTAGAATGTAAAACTCCTTGAACACCTCAACTTTGGACAAATTAAAATGAAATACAAAAGCCAACACTGGGTATACAAAAGTAGATCACCTAAATAAATTTGTACAAAGCATGTTTGTGCCTTGCCAATGAAACTGATATCTTCATAACCTTTGTACATTCAAACATGAAACAAACAGTTTGTATAGATATTTACCATATTGTATGTCTAATAGTGCAGTGACTAAAAAAAAATATGGTCATATGTATGTCCTTGGTTCCCACAGAAAGAATGGATTTCATAATTTAGTGTAAAAATTTTAGTGTAAATCATTTTTCCAGAACTGAATATACAGATGCCACCATATTTACATTTTCTATAGTTTCATGAAATTGACCAACAGAATCCTCCCATCAACAATTTCTTTTAGAAAAAAGTGAAATTATAAAATTTCCATGTAGCATTTATATATATTACATACAAAAATATTTTATCAACAGATTATTATAAGGGAACCAATAATAAATACTACTGACGTCAATTCCTCATATGATTAGTTAACAGGGCAGAAAGTTGCCACTTCTGCATATACTTGGTCTTTGCTTATGAGACAGAAGTCATCAAGAAATTCATCTGTAGAGGTGGAGAGTTTAAACTGTTCTGGCTGTACTCCACACAGCTGATGGACCTTTTCAACAGTTATTGGAGTGTCTAGAAATGAACAAAAATAGTTATCAAGTAAATGCCTTTGATAATATGTTTTTAAAAAATGAAAGGTAAAAACAAATGGTCCTGTTCTACACTGTACAGCTCTATTCAAAACCTAATTTTACTTTTAAATTTAAAATTTCTTATACTCACCCATATCAAACCATGCTTCGTTTTCATTTGCAGCTCGAAATGCTGTTATGGCAGCACGAAGAGCAGTAACCACAACATATGAGAAGCAAGCAGCAGGCTCACCAGTTGCTAAGTGATGGGAAAGTTTAAAAGGTTAGACTCCTATTCTAAATCCTAATTTGCCCATGGGGTAATACTAAATCCATAAGGGTTTAGTACTGTTCCATGGGATTGTTAGGAGCAATCAGGCTTGATTAGAAGAGGGAAGATGTAACTCTAATTTGTTGTATTGAGAGCCCACCTGCATCTTGGCACCCCCATCCCCATCAGGATCCATCTTTGTGAATATAGTATCATGGTATTCTGAATTAGCTTTTATTTTGAAATCCCATATTAGATGATACTAATACTTATGTAGAACTCATGCTTCACTGCTTAACATTTTTCTTTTTACTATGACAATTTTAAGTTCTACACATTGCTTTGATCTTGTTATAGGTAAATGAGCAGAGCTGTATGACCCTGATGGGTTTAGCACTTAGTTTTGATTATAATAATAATATAGGTAAATGATTGACAAGGATACTCACTGTGAATTATTTATCAAAATATGACAGCTTACTGGCATCCTCCTAAAATTCCTGGAAGAATGATTGATTCAATATGTCAAGAATGCAAGTGCACTAGGATTTGGAGGCATTTTCACAGGAATGACTCAAGTCTCCAAATGTCCAAACCATCCAAATTGGTTCCTCTGGCCTCTTGTCTTGTTCTTAATACTAACTGGTTCTATAAGCAACTGATCCTACATATGCAACAAGTTGTATGTGATCTGCTTCAACCTACCTTCCATGTACTGTAGATAAACTGCTATGCCTGCTGGTTCAACTGCTGCTCTAAATGTTCCAACCTCATTGCCTGCTGGTCCACCTGCTTTCCTTGCTGGTCTTTAATTGCTACTTTCCCTTCAAACATTACTGTTTCATATTCTTTTTTACCTTAAGTATAGTATCTGCTGCTGTAACTTTTCTTTGCTGTCAGTTTAAATATTTTGTTGATCTAACATTGTTGTACTGCTATATCATTAATAAGCTGCTAGTCTGCAGCTGCTAAACTTTCTGCAAGAAAGTCTGCCATTCATACATGATTTAAAATAGCTGTTCTAACTTGTTGCCACTGCTTTATGGTCATCACATTGCTAAGCTCACTTACTGCTCTAAACACCTTGGGCTATGTTTGGATACTTTTTTTTTTTTTTTTTTTCAACAAGTCGGTCGTCTCCCACCGAGGCAGGGTGACCCAAAAAAAAGAAAGAAAATCCCCAAAAAGAAAATACTTTCATCATCATTCAACACTTTCACCACACTCACACATTATCACTGCTTTTGCAGAGGTGCTCAGAATATAACAGTTTAGAAGCATATACGTATAGAGATACACATTTCCCTCCAAACTGCCAATATCCCAAACCCCTCCTTTAAAGTGCAGGCATTGTACTTCCCATTTCCAGGACTCAAGTCCGACTATATGAAAATAACCAGTTTCCCTGAATCCCTTCACTAAATATTACCCTGCTCACACTCCAACAGATCGTCAGGTCCCAAGTATCATTCGTCTCCATTCACTCCTATCTAACACGCTCATGCACGCTTGCTGGAAGTCCAAGCCCCTCACCCACAAAACCTCCTTTACCCCCTCTTTCCAACCCTTTCGAGGACGACCCCTACCCCTCTTTCCTTCCCCTATAGATTTATATGCTTTCCATGTCATTCTACTTTGATGTTTGGATACACCTCTCTTATTCACACAATTTGGAGTCACAATAATTTGTACTCCTGACAGTAAATGTTACATATGGTTACATGTAGTAGACTACACAATAAGTTTCAATAAGGAGAAAAGAACAGTTTATCTATAAAGTTGACGTATCACAGTGGTCAAGTGTTTTATTTACCTGGAGTTTACCTGGAGAGAGTTCCGGGGGTCAACGGCCCCGTGGCCCGGTCTGTGACCAGGCCTCATGGTTGATCAGAGCCTGATCAACCAGGCTGTTACATCAACTTGTCAGTACCATATTTTTTTTTATATCAAATTCTAAGTGATAAAGGAGGGGTTTTGGGATATTAGCAGTCTGGAGGGATATGTTGTGTATCTTTATACGTATATGCTTCCAAACTGTTGTGTTCTGAGCACCTCTGCAAAAACAGTGATTATGTGTGAGTAAGGTGAAAGTGTTGAATGATGATGAAAGTATTTTCTTTTTGGGGATTTTCTTTCTTTTTTGGGTCACCCTGCCTTAGTGGGAGACGGCCGACTTGTTGAAAAAAAAAAAATCATAGATGAACACTGCTGAATAATGCCTTACTTTGAAGTAATTACAGGTAGTTAGAAAACAATCAGAACACCTTTAACACACGAGTATTCCTACCTTTAGAGCCAAGTACACCGTGAGGATTTGAAGCATTAGGGAGAAGAGTAACTCTCAGGTCCACTGGAATATCCAAAGCTGTTGGTGGTTTGTATTCCTGAAAATAACAACACATCTTAGTTAAAAATTTAAGAACCACTGACAAACAGAGCTGTATTAACCCTTTGGGGGTTTCAGACGTACTAGTACTTCTTACGACCCAGGGTTTTTGACGTACTAGTACGCCTAAATTCTAGTGCCCTCAAATCTAGTGAGAGAAAGCTGGTAGGCCTACATATATAAGAATGGGTCTATGTGGTCAGTGTGCATAGTATAAAAAAAATCCTGCAGCACACAGTGCGTAATGACAAAAAAAAAAAAAAATGACCGTTTTTTGGATTAAAACAGCGACTTTGCACTGTATTTTCGTATGGTATTTATTGTTGTATTCTAGTTTTCTTGGTCTCATTTTATAGAATGGAAGACATATTACAGAAATTGAGATGATTTTGACTGGTTTTACAATGAAAAGTACCTTGAAATTGAGCTCAAAGTAGCAGATATGTTCGATTTTTATCAAAGTTCAAAAGTAAACAAATCATGCCAAGCGTCCAATACACATCAACTGGCGAGTCTAATATTCTTTCACAAGTGCGCTGATATTATTTATACCATTTCTACACTAATGCAGTAGTCTGCATAACAGTAAATCTTATTTTTTTTTGTAAGAATAAAAATTCAAAGTGGAAAGCCAAAGAAATATAAGAGGGGCCTGGGGATGTGACTAATGAACATAGAACTTGTTATTTTAGTGCCAGGAATGTCTTTCTTGTTTATTCTGGACCTTATGCGGAAATTGGCATCTTTTGAAATTTGTGTGAAATTGGCAAAATTGCTAAATTCTGACCACTTTATTGGATAGTTGAAATTGGTAAATGGGTGGTTTCTTGTACTCATTCGATATAAAAAATGGAGTTTTAGCGAAATAGTTATGATTTTTGTCGACTAGTACACTGGAATTGTCTGAAAATAGGGCTCAAAGTGGGCAAAATCGCCGATGCATAAACATCGTCGAGACCGCTAACTTCGTGAGAGCATAATTCCGTAAGTTTTCCATCAAATTTCATACTTTTGGTGTCATTATGATCGGGAAAAGATTTTCTATCTTTTCATAAGAAAAAATAATTTTTTTTTTTTTGAAATTTGGCTGACCCTGAGAACAAGTCTCTGAGAGGACCTGTCGACCCCCAAAGGGTTAAACTGACAGAAATGTTCAAATAAAACTGTAAACAAAACTTATTATGCTAACCTTGGTTTATCAGCCTTACTTTATAATAATACAAGAATAATAATGCTATGCATCTGTAACTTTCAAATTTGAAATTTGTTTTCTGCTAAAATTAACTTTCATCACCATCTTCATGATTATTCCAAAAATATAATTTGTTATTCTGCATAGTTCATATTTTGATATGGTAACTAAAATGACATTGTTTGCATACAGTAAATGACAATTTTAATTGTACTATTAAATAACTGGTGGGGGAATATATTGCTTATCCAAACAAAGTCTACCTTGAAATAAAGCAAAGGAAACCATACCACAGGTGGGGTTAGAACCCGCGATCAGAGAGTCATAAAACTCCAGACTGATGCGTTAGCCCAGTGGCTAACGCATCAGTCTGGAGTTCTACGACTCTGATCACGGGTTCTAACCCTGCCCATGGTAGGGTTTGTGTGCAATTGTGTCATTACGATTTCGTGAGCCAAGCAAAGGAAAAGTTAAAGCATTTAGGAGCTATCGAGAAGCACAGGAGATTAAGTGTATAACAAATGTAGATGAAAGATGCACCAAATATCTTAACACAGGAAAACCCAGCAATCCTGTCAAAGTGCAAAATGTTAATAGGTTTCTATTTTATCACTCATTTAACTGAATGGTAATATTTCTCTGGTCAATTATTGTCTACCAAGCTACTGCATATCAAATTAAAATCTCAAATAAACTTAATTTTTTCATGTAAATCAAAACAATTTTTACATCATATAATTCTAAAAACTGCATGACAGTTCAATGCCTCAAAATTACAATTAAAAATGTTAAAAAAAACAAAAAAAAAAAGACATTCTTACCCAAGTGCTGTTTGACAGTTTCTGGCCTGTATTTGTATCATATTTTACAATTTCTGATGTATAGAGACCTAAGCCCATGATGAAGGCACCTTCCACTTGTCCAATATCAATGTACGGATTCATACTTCTCCCACAGTCTTCAATGATGTCAACACGCCGTATCTGAAGGATAAAAAAGTCATGAATGTTAACTTCTGAAGCGGAGCTTTGAACGTGACAAAATACTTCTAACAGAGGAGTATGGAGGAAGTGAATGCACTTTTTTTTATTTTGAGAGTAGATATGTCAATAGATGTGTATACAAAAGAGGTGAATCATGGAACAAACAAGTGAAAAACAAGTAGGTGGAGTGTTGATGCATTTGTTGAAAGAAGGCAATGAAGATATTGTGTTTGAGATCATTGTGGCCTGAATATCATGTACAAAATGTGGAAGAAAAAAAATTAGATAACTGTGTGGTGATATAAAAAGTATAATTCAGAAAGCAGAGGAGGAGTTGTTGAGATGGTTTATTTATTTAAAAAGGAAGGCGAGAGAGGTAAATCAAGAATGTGTATAAATATTAAGAGGATGAAACATCCAGGGAATATCCCAGTAAGGAGGATGTGAAGGAGGTTGAAAGTGCTAGTCTTGAGCATTCAGCAGGCATATATTCAACCAAAATTGGAGTATATAACTGTTTGGAGGGATATGTTGTGTATCTTTATACTTATATGCTTCTAAACTGTTGTATTCTGAGCACCTCTGCAAAAACAGTGATAATGTGTGAGTGTGGTGAAAGTGTTGAATGATGAAAGTATTTTCTTTTTGGGGATTTTCTTTCTTTTTTGGGTCACCCTGCCTCGGTGGGAGATGGCCGACTTGTTGAAGAAAAGAAAAAAAAGAAAAAAAAAAACCCGAGTCAATAGTAGTAAGGTGTCCATACTTAGAATAATGGACTTATCATAGCTGCAAAGGTAGGTAACAAGTGCTAAAGCCAATGGAAACTTTAAAAAATTATATGATAATTTAAATACTGAAGACAGGACACCACAAACATAGCTTCACTCCTGTAGTGACACACAGTAATTACACATAAACATATATATATATATATAATATATATATATATTATACTGAAGACAGGTCATCCTGTATAGCATAAAAAGTTTTTTAGGGATACTGATTCAACATTTAAATATTTTACCAGGTATTGTCCTGTTAAAACATCAATTTCAACCTCCAAGCAGCACGCACCCCAGATGTCATAGCTGTCAGGATGTTCTTTACCAGCTGTCCTGTGAAAATTAAATTAATTTTGTCAATATCTTTTCTACATTTCAACAGAGGGCAGTTAAGACTAGAGATGGGATGATACCTAAATTCTGGCTGATATCAATACTCAATTTTAGACTGATACCAATACCAGTACCAACAAAATTATCTGACTCCCACTGATACCAATACTGTACCATTAAAATTAGCCAATACCTAGTGATACTGATACTGATATTTTGGCACACCCCTAGCTAGGACCCACTGCAATGAGCAGAAGAGAAGCAGATCCTACAATCACAATGAGTAATACACCTTAATATAAATGAATATGATTACCATTTATACAGTGCTGGCTAATAATGAAGAATGTAGGGGAGTGTAAATACAACTTCTCTAAGTTATACTGCATTTCTGTCCAAATCATAGTCATTCATAAAATCATAGTGTCTTTCATTTCACTTGCCACTGTCCTCTTGCAAGGCAACTGCATACCTTCATCAGCTTGCCTTAATGGTTGTTCACAGAGTGGCACTCTGAATGGTGTGCACTTCACTTACTCATCTAAATTAAGAGGAAAATAACAAGAGGGATTTGATGCGAGTACTACTCACCAATACCGCTCGCATATATCAACATCATTCTTGTGGCACTTCCTAATCAGTTGAACCCATGATGGGTTCTTCATTTTTGCTCTCACCACGTCAATTCGTTGTCTTAGTGCCTCGCATGCTACTTTTGCTCCCTGCAAATATTTTTGTTTAATGATACATATCTTTAATATTAACTATATTACATATATGGTGTATCTAAAGTTGATTATGTACTACATTATTATTGTATTCAAGGGGAAGCCCCAAACTCATAAAGGTTATATACTGCCTGAGAAATGGTAAGAATGGTGGGAATTTTAAAATTTTTACTGCAGTGCCCCATACACTGGTTTGGCCATCACAAATGTTAAGTCACTGCCATTTACACAGAGCAATGTGAATATGAGTACATATAGTATCTAGCAGCATCCTTGGCACTGTGCAAAAATAAGAACCTTAAACAGGAGCAGGAACAAAATGTAAGTGATTTTGTCTCAACAGTTATGGCAGACATAAAACACAATAGTGTGAATGGTGGTGAAAGTGTTTCTTTTTAGAGTTACGCTGCCTTGATGAGAGACGGCCAGGGTGTTAAAAAAAAAAATGGTATTTTATTGAAAAGACAATTTGTCCACCAGGGACTTTGTCAGTTCTCACTTGTCAGTATAGTGTATAATGCTACTGTTATACAGGCTATCTGACACAAGTGGTATTATATTTTACACAGAGAATACGTTGACCGTGTACTTAGGACCCATAGCTTCATGTGATAATTGATAAAATCCCTGGTAGATGGAACATCTTCTCAATAATATGTCATAAACTGCATATCAGGTGTATTATACATAAACTCACCTAGCTGTACTCAGCTAGGTGAGTTATGTATAGTACTATATCTTGTAATGGTTCTGAGGATAGCAGTCCCCACGACCTGGTCTCATACCAGGATTTCTAAATTGGAAAGAAAATACATATTACAGAAATATGAACTGCAGTATTAAGAAAACCAAGAATGTAGAGGTAAGTGCACATGGAATGTTTCTCACAAGTTTCTGAGATAGAAGGGAAAGACCAGAAATCCTGCCAAGGTGCAAAATATTTAACAGCTTAACATTTCCTACTCATATGGCAGTACATTAGTATATGCACAGTATGGAAATGCAGTCAATCAATAATTATACTCTAAATATACTTACATGAGCACATAAATCAGAGCCAAAAGAGCCGCCTGTGACAATAGAATTTGCGCCAACCATAGTATCAGCTGCCTTTATGATAACTTTCTCCAGTGGGATACCCAGTTTATAAGCCACAACTTGGGCAACCTGTCAAAATGGTTCAATATAAGATTAATATTAATACGATCTGTTGGAGTGTGAGCAGGGTAATATTTAGTGAAGGGATTCAGGGAAACCGGTTATTTTCATATAGTCGGACTTGAGTCCTGGAAATGGGAAGTACAATGCCCGCACTTTAAAGGAGGGGTTTGGGATATTGGCAGTTTGGAGGGATATGTTGTGTATCTTTATATGTGTATGCTTCTAAACTGTTGTATTCTAAGCACCTCTGCAAAAGCAGTGATAATGTGTGAGTGTGGTGAAAGTGTTGAATGATGATGAAAGTATTTTCTTTTTGGGGGATTTTCTTTCTTTTTTGGGTCACCCTGCCTCGGTGGGAGACGGCCGACTTGTTGAAAAAAAAATGATCACATTCACTTTTATAAAAAGCAGTACATGTACTGCTGATATTTTAAACTTTTGTATAAAATTATTAATCTAATACATTATATCCTCTAACCTAAGGTTTCTGTCAATATTTTATAATATTTTGAATTATTATAGGTAGTAGGTTGGTAGACAGCAACCTCCCAGGGATGTACTACCGTCCTGCCAAGTGAGTGTAAAACGAAAGCCTGTAATTGTTGTACATGATGGTAGGATTGCTGGTGTCCCTTTTTCTGTCTCATAAACATGCAAGATTTCAGGTTGAACATTAAAGTGGTATAAAATACCGACAGGTTGTTAGGTAAGACACATATGCAACAGTTAGGTATCTTTATTTCGAAACGTTTCGCCTACACAGTAGGCTTCTTCAGTCGAGTACAGAAAAGTTGATAGAAGCAGAAGAGACTTGAAGACGATGTAATCAGTCCATCACCCTAAAGATTTCAGGTACATCTTGCTACTTCTACTTACACTTAGGTCACACTACATATACATGTACAAGCATATATATACCTACCCCTCTGGGTTTTCTTCTATTTTCTTTCTAGTTCTTGTTCTTGTTTATTTCCTCTTATCTCCAGGGGGAAGTGGAACAGAATTCTTCCTCCATAAGCCATGCATGTCGTAAGAGGCAACTAAAATGCTGGGAGCAAGGGGCTAGTAACCACTTCTCCTGTATTTATTTTTTTTATTATCACACTGGCCGATTCCCACCAAGGCAGGGTGGCCCGAAAAAGAAAAACTTTCACCATCATTCACTCCATCACTGTCTTGCCAGAAGGGTGCTTTACACTACAGTTTTTAAACTGCAACATTAACACCCCTCCTTCAGAGTGCAGGCACTGTACTTCCCATCTCCAGGACTCAAGTCCGGCCTGCCGGTTTCCCTGAATCCCTTCATAAATGTTACTTTGCTCACACTCCAACAGCACGTCAAGTATTAAAAACCATTTGTCTCCATTCACTCCTATCAAACACGCTCACGCATGCCTGCTGGAAGTCCAAGCCCCTCGCACACAAAACCTCCTTTACTTTCCTAGGCCGACCCCTACCCCGCCTTCCTTCCACTACAGACTGATACACTCTTGAAGTCATTCTGTTTTGCTCCATTCTCTCTACATGTCCGAACCACCTCAACAACCCTTCCTCAGCCCTGTGGACAACAGTTTTGGTAATCCCGCACCTCCTCCTAACTTCCAAACTACGAATTCTCTGCATTATATTCACACCACACATTGCCCTCAGACATGACATCTCCACTGCCTCCAGCCTTCTCCTCGCTGCAACATTCATCACCCATGCTTCACACCCATATAAGAGCGTTGGTAAAACTATACTCTCATACATTCCCCTCTTTCCCTCCAAGGACAAAGTTCTTTGTCTCCACAGACTCCTAAGTGCACCACTCACTCTTTTTCCCTCATCAATTTCAATGAGTCACCTCATCTTTCATAGACCCATCTGCTGACACGTCCACTCCCAAATATCTGAATACGTTCACCTCCTCCATACTCTCTCCCTCCAATCTGATATTCAATCTTTCATCACCTAATCTTTTTGTTATCCTCATAACCTTACTCTTTCCTGTATTCACCTTTAATTTTCTTCTTTTGCACACCCTACCAAATTCATCCACCAATCTCTGCAACTTCTCTTCAGAATCTCCCAAGAGCACAGTGTCATCAGCAAAGAGCAGCTGTGACAACTCCCACTTTGTGTGTGATTCTTTATCTTTTAACTCCACGCCTCTTGCCAAGACCCTCGCATTTACTTCTCTTACAACCCCATCTATAAATATATTAAACAACCACGGTGACATCACACATCCTTGTCTAAGGCCTACTTTTACTGGGAAAAAATTTCCCTCTTTCCTACATACTCTAACTTGAGCCTCACTATCCTCGCAAAAACTCTTCACTGCTTTCAGTAACCTACCTCCTACACCATACACTTGCAACATCTGCCACATTGCCCCCCTATCCACCCTGTCATACACCTTTTCCAAATCCATAAATGCCACAAAGACCTATATTACTAAATTTAAAAGGAGAAACTTTTGTTTTTCCTTTTGAGCCACCACACCTCAGTGGGATACGGCTGGTGCGTTGTAAAATAGATAGATTTTGAATTATTTTAAAATTAAAATTACACATCATGTACTTGCTGCCCACAGTTTGATTTATTACAATGCCTAGTTTTCCAATTCTAATCTGACATTTATTTTAAAAAATAACTGTATACTGTATACTAGATAATCTGCATTTGATTAATTTAGAGTTATTCTACTTTCACAGCACAGCCTGAGGTCAGGCTTCCCTGCTAAGAGTCTGATTAACCAGGCTATCAGTGCCAGTAGCCCAGAGCCATTCCCATGATGAGTAACCTACTGTTAGCAAGAAGAGGAAGCAAGCCAGTGTCTCTGACCATGTAAAGAATATTATTGACAGACCTCCACAGAGTGCAAAATGTTGCTAAATAAAAGCCTTCTTCTGTCTATGTGTTTTGATTCACCTTGAGTTGTTAAATGCATCAGAATACCTTAACTACAACAAAGCAAGAAGTTTAAAAAAAAGTCTCACCTTAGTGTTAATGCCTTGTCCCATCTCAATGCCACCATGAGAGACTGCAACAGTGCCATCATGTTCATAGATAGACACTTGAATTCCATAGCGGAACACAGAAGGATAGTTGTAACCATACCACAGTGGAACAATAGACATTCCTCTTTTCTTCCACACATTTTCCTGTTGATGCAACAATTTTCATTTACTTAAAAGTAATGTGTAAAAGAAGAGATACATAGAATCTTTCCTACAAATAGAGTACCATATTCTGTAATTATAATTAAGTTTTCTTTTTCCCAATATGAGATGGCATTAACATTCATAATTCCTTTTTGTTTTAAGGAATTTTCAACTGTGCTTATACATGTACTGTACATTCTTTCTATGATCAAGTGCACAAGTCTAATCCATGACTGACTTCTATCCATTTCATGTTCTTTTTTATTATAATAATAATAATAATATCCATTTCATGTTCATGTGACTTTTATTATTTTTTTTTTTTTTATCACACCGGCCGATTCCCACCAAGGCAGGGTGGCCCGAAAAAGAAAAACTTTCACCATCATTCACTCCATCACTGTCTTGCCAGAAGGGTGCTTTACACTACAGTTTTTAAACTGCAACATTAACACCCCTCCTTCAGAGTGCAGGCACTGTACTTCCCATCTCCAGGACTCAAGTCCGGCCTGCCGGTTTCCCTGAATCCCTTCATAAATGTTACTTTGCTCACACTCCAACAGCACGTCAAGTATTAAAAACCATTTGTCTCCATTCACTCCTATCAAACACGCTCACGCATGCCTGCTGGAAGTCCAAGCCCCTCGCACACAAAACCTCCTTTACCCCCTCCCTCCAACCCTTCCTAGGCCGACCCCTACCCCGCCTTCCTTCCACTACAGACTGATACACTCTTGAAGTCATTCTGTTTCGCTCCATTTCTCTACATGTCCGAACCACCTCAACAACCCTTCCTCAGCCCTCTGGACAACAGTTTTGGTAATCCCGCACCTCCTCCTAACTTCCAAACTACGAATTCTCTGCATTATATTCACACCACACATTGCCCTCAGACATGACATCTCCACTGCCTCCAGCCTTCTCCTCGCTGCAACATTCATCACCCACGCTTCACACCCTATAAGAGCGTTGGTAAAACTATACTCTCATACATTCCCCTCTTTGCCTCCAAGGACAAGTTCTTTGTCTCCACAGACTCCTAAGTGCACCACTCACTCTTTTTCCCTCATCAATTCTATGATTCACCTCATCTTTCATAGACCCATCCGCTAACATGTCCACTCCCAAATATCTGAATACGTTCACCTCCTCCATACTCTCTCCCTCCAATCTGATATTCAATCTTTCATCACCTAATCTTTTTGTTATCCTCATAACCTTACTCTTTCCTGTATTCACCTTTAATTTTCTTCTTTTGCACACCCTACCAAATTCATCCACCAATCTCTGCAACTTCTCTTCAGAATCTCCCAAGAGCACAGTGTCATCAGCAAAGAGCAGCTGTGACAACTCCCACTTTGTGTGTGATTCTTTATCTTTTAACTCCACGCCTCTTGCCAAGACCCTCGCATTTACTTCTCTTACAACCCCATCTATAAATATATTAAACAACCACGGTGACATCACACATCCTTGTCTAAGGCCTACTTTTACTGGGAAAAAATTCCCTCTTTCCTACATACTCTAACTTGAGCCTCACTATCCTCGTAAAAAACTCTTCACTGCTTTCAGTAACCTACCTCCTACACCATACACTTGCAACATCTGCCACATTGCCCCCCTATCCACCCTGTCATACGCCTTTTCCAAATCCATAAATGCCACAAAGACCTCTTTAGCCTTATCTAAATACTGTTCACTTATATGTTTCACTGTAAACACCTGGTCCACACACCCCCTACCTTTCCTAAAGCCTCCTTGTTCATCTGCTATCCTATTCTCCGTCTTACTCTTAATTCTTTCAATTATAACTCTACCATACACTTTACCAGGTACACTCAACAGACTTATCCCCCTATAATTTTTGCACTCTCTTTTATCCCTTTGCCTTTATACAAAGGAACTATGCATGCTCTCTGCCAATCCCTAGGTACCTTACCCTCTTCCATACATTTATTAAATAATTGCACCAACCACTCCAAAACTATATCCCACCTGCTTTTAACATTTCTATCTTTATCCATCAATCCGGCTGCCTTACCCCTTTCATTTTACCTACTGCCTCACGAACTTCCCCCACACTCACAACTGACTCTTCCTCACTCCTACAAGATGTTATTCCTCCTTGCCCTATACACGAAATCACAGCTTCCCTATCTTCATCAACATTTAACAATTCCTCAAAATATTCCTTCCATCTTCCCAATACCTCTAACTCTCCATTTAATAACTCTCCTCTCCTATTTTTAACTGACAAATCCATTTGTTCTCTAGGCTTTCTTAACTTGTTAATCTCACTCCAAAACTTTTTCTTATTTTCAACAAAATTTGTTGATAACATCTCACCCACTCTCTCATTTGCTCTCTTTTTACATTGCTTCACCACTCTCTTAACTTCTCTCTTTTTCTCCATATACTCTTCCCTCCTTGCATCACTTCTACTTTGTAAAAACTTCTCATATGCTAACTTTTTCTCCCTTACTACTCTCTTTACATCATCATTCCACCAATCGCTCCTCTTCCCTCCTGCACCCACTTTCCTGTAACCACAAACTTCTGCTGAACACTCTAACACTACATTTTTAAACCTACCCCATACCTCTTCGACCCATTGCCTATGCTCTCATTAGCCCATCTATCCTCCAATAGCTGTTTATATCTTACCCTAACTGCCTCCTCTTTTAGTTTATAAACCTTTACCTCTCTCTTCCCTGATGCTTCTATTCTCCTTGTATCCCATCTACCTTTTACTCTCAGTGTAGCTACAACTAGAAAGTGATCTGATATATCTGTGGCCCCTCTATAAACATGTACATCCTGAAGTCTACTAAACAGTCTTTTATCTACCAATACATAATCCAACAAACTACTGTCATTTCGCCCTACATCATATCGTGTATACTTATTTATCCTCTTTTTCTTAAAATATGTATTACCTATAACTAAACCCCTTTCTATACAAAGTTCAATCAAAGGGCTCCCATTATCATTTACACCTGGCACCCCAAACTTACCTACCACACCCTCTCTAAAGGTTTCTCCTACTTTAGCATTCAAGTCCCCTACCACAATTACTCTCTCACTTGGTTCAATGGCTCCTATACATTCACTTAACATCTCCCAAAATCTCTCTCTCTCCTCTGCATTCCTCTCTTCTCCAGGTGCATACACGCTTATTATGACCCACTTCTCGCATCCAACCTTTACTTTAATCCACATAATTCTTGAATTTACACATTCATATTCTCTTTTCTCCTTCCATAACTGATCATTTAACATTACTGCTACCCCTTCCTTTGCTCTAACTCTCTCAGATACTCCAGATTTAATCCCATTTATTTCCCCCCACTGAAACTCTCCTACCCCCTTCAGCTTTGTTTCGCTTAGGGCCAGGACATCCAACTTCTTTTCATTCATAACATCAGCAATCATCTGTTTCTTGTCATCCGCACTACATCCACGCACATTTAAGCAACCCAGTTTTATAAAGTTTTTCTTCTTCTCTTTTTTAGTAATTGTATACAGGAGAAGGGGTTACTAGCCCATTGCTCCCGGCATTTTAGTCGCCTCATACGACACGCATGGCTTACGGAGGAAAGATTCTTTTCCACTTCCCCATGGACAATAGAAGAAATAAAAAGAACAAGAGCTATTTAGAAAAAGGAGAAAAACCTAGATGTATGTGACTTTTATTACGTGCATATATGTTTTTATACAGTACGTAAGATTACTGTGGAATGTGCCAATGACATTTTCCCACAAGCTGCTTGAGGAAACTAGTAGTATGTAAGAATAAGGGCTGAGACACTTATGCAGCATATGGGAATCTTTATTCAGGAAACGTTTCGCCACACAGTGGCTTCATCAGTCCAATACAAAGAGGAAGGCGTAAGGAGAGGAGGAGTATGAGGTAATCAGTCCCTCAGCCTGGAGTCGATGTGTTCAGTCCATCAATCTTGTAGAATGTACAGCATAGGGCCGTAGACGTGGCTTATATACTGTAGTGAGGTGACTTGAAGCAGACGGAGGCGGGATCATAGTGGTACCATCCACTAGTCGAAGTAGGTCTTTGTCCAAAGGTTGAACAAGCGTTGAAGAATTCTTTGTAAGAAGATCCATGATGCTGCAGTGTCTGACAGTTGTGATGAATGGTTTGGAAAACCGACAAGTTGAAGATTGAGACACTTATGCAGCATATGGGAATCTTTATTCAGGAAACGTTTCGCCACACAGTGGCTTCATCAGTCCAATACAAAGAGGAAGGCGTAAGGAGAGGAGGAGTATGAGGTAATCAGTCCCTCACCTGGAGTCGATGTGTTCAGTCCATCAATCTTGTAGAATGTACAGCATAGGGCCGTAGACGTGGCTTATATACTGTAGTGAGGTGACTTGAAGCAGACGGAGGCGGGATCATAGTGGTACCATCCACTAGTCGAAGTAGGTCTTTGTCCAAAGGTTGAACAAGCGTTGAAGAATTCTTTGTAAGAAGATCCCATGATGCTGCAGTGTCTGACAGTTGTGATGAATGGTTTGGAAAACCGACAAGTTGAAGATTGAGACACTTATGCAGCATATGGGAATCTTTATTCAGGAAACGTTTCGCCACACAGTGGCTTCATCAGTCCAATACAAAGAGGAAGGCGTAAGGAGAGGATTCCCATATGCTGCATAAGTGTCTCAATCTTCAACTTGTCGGTTTTCCAAACCATTCATCACAACTGTCAGACACTGCAGCATCATGGGATCTTCTTACAAAGAATTCTTCAACGCTTGTTTAACCTTTGGACAAAGACCTACTTCGACTAGTGGATGGTACCACTATGATCCCGCCTCCGTCTGCTTCAAGTCACCTCACTACAGTATATAAGCCACGTCTACGGCCCTATGCTGTACATTCTACAAGATTGATGGACTGAACACATCGACTCCAGGCTGAGGGACTGATTACCTCATACTCCTCCTCTCCTTACGCCTTCCTCTTTGTATTGGACTGATGAAGCCACTGTGTGGCGAAACGTTTCCTGAATAAAGATTCCCATATGCTGCATAAGTGTCTCAATCTTCAACTTGTCGGTTTTCCAAACCATTCATCACAACTGTCAGACACTGCAGCATCATGGGATCTTCTTACAAAGAATTCTTCAACGCTTGTTCAACCTTTGGACAAAGACCTACTTCGACTAGTGGATGGTACCACTATGATCCCGCCTCCGTCTGCTTCAAGTCGCCTCACTACAGTATATAAGCCACGTCTACGGCCCTATGCTGTACATTCTACAAGATTGATGGACTGAACACATCGACTCCAGGCTGAGGGACTGATTACCTCATACTCCTCCTCTCCTTACGCCTTCCTCTTTGTATTGGACTGATGAAGCCACTGTGTGGCGAAACGTTTCCTGAATAAAGATTCCCATATGCTGCATAAGTGTCTCAATCTTCAACTTGTCGGTTTTCCAAACCATTCATCACAACTGTCAGACACTGCAGCATCATGGGATCTTCTTACAAAGAATTCTTCAACGCTTGTTCAACCTTTGGACAAAGACCTACTTCGACTAGTGGATGGTACCACTATGATCCCGCCTCCGTCTGCTTCAAGTCACCTCACTACAGTATATAAGCCACGTCTACGGCCCTATGCTGTACATTCTACAAGATTGATGGACTGAACACATCGACTCCAGGCTGAGGGACTGATTACCTCATACTCCTCCTCTCCTTACGCCTTCCTCTTTGTATTGGACTGATGAAGCCACTGTGTGGCGAAACGTTTCCTGAATAAAGATTCCCATATGCTGCATAAGTGTCTCAATCTTCAACTTGTCGGTTTTCCAAACCATTCATCACAAGAATAAGGGCACAGTACATAGATCATACGTTAAGTGTGCCATAGTGCTACACATAAAAAAAAAGTTGCACAAATGCTGTAAATAGACTGAACATGAGTAATAAAATGGCACTGGTCAGCTGATGTGCATATTACTGCTGAAAATAATAAACATGAATATAAATGAAAAGTGCCAAGTTAGTGAAGCACTTTAAAGCAAGTGCCGTATTAATGAGGTATACCTGTACTGTATTACCTAACCTGCCTCCTCTAGGAACTCCAATAATCTCAATGTACCTGGTTAAATATTTTGATCTCTTCCTTCCTCTCCTGGTACATGGACTTCTGAATCAGCAGAGGCAAAATATCATCGTTCACCACATTTCTGGCATGAGGTGGGGTTAACAGTCGTGGCACATTAGGAGCAACCATGTTAATAAGACGTACATCCAGGGGATCTTTCTTCAGATAACTAGCCACATTTTCAATAACGTTTTCAATTGTTGCAATGGCTTCCACAGTGCCTATGGACAATAAAATAAAATCTTGCAATATAAAGACAAATATAAATAAATGCTTTTATATAAGAGCTGGGTGAGATATATGCCCTTAAGCTTTTTTTACACTTTTTTCTCTCAACAAACCAGCCATATCCCACCGAGGCAAGGTGGCCCAACAAGAAAAACAAAAGTTTCTCTATTTTAACTTTAGTAATGTATACAGGAGAAGGGGTTACTAGCCCCTTGTTCCTGGCATTTTAGTCACCTCTTACAACATGAATGGCTTGCGGAGGAAGAATTGTTCCACTTCTCCATGGAGATAAAAGGAAATAAACAAGAACAAGAACTAGTAAGAAAATAGAAGAAAACCCAGAGGAGTGTATATATACGCTTGTACATGCATGTTTAGTGTGACTTAAGTGTAAGTAGAAGTAGCAAGATGTACCTGAAATCTTGCATGTTTACAAGAAAAAAAAAGACATCAGCAATCCTACCATCATGTAAAACAATCACAGGCTTCTGTTTTACACTCACTTGGCAGGACGGTAATACCTCCCTGGGTGGCTGCTGTCTACCAACCTACTACACTTACATCATTAGTATTATTACTTTAACTCAACAGGTGTCTCCCAACAAGGCAAAGTGACCCAAAGAAGGAAGCATTCACCATCATTCATTCACTCACTAGCTTGCCAGAAGTGTGCTGACATCACAATTCAGATTACCATCCAACTGCAACATCCTCACCCCTCCTTCAAGTGCACTGGCATTACCCTTCCCACCTCCAGGACTCGAATCTGGCTAACAGGTTTTCCCAAATCTTTCATAAATGCTACCTTGCTCACACTCCAACAGTATATCCATTAAAAAAAAAAAAAAAAACACTTGTCTCATTCACTCCTGTCTCACATGCTCAGACAAGACTGCAGGATACTGAATCCCCTAAAATTCAAAGCCTCCTTTATTCCTCTCCCTCTAACTGTTCCTAGAACACCCACTATCTCTTCTACCTTCCTCCCCAGATTTATATACCCTCTTCATCATACTATCCCTATTCATCTCCATACATCCAAACCACCTCAACCCTTTCTTGGCTCTCTTAATTATATCCTTTGCAACACCACATTGCTTTTTAACTTCCACACTTCAAATTTTCTGTGTGATATTTACATCCCACGTTGCTCTCAAACATGACATCACTGTTTCTGACCTCACTGAAGCATGCAAAACCCATGCTTTTCACCCATATAAAAGTGTTGGTACCACTATACTCTTGTAAATTTCGTTCTTTGTCTCCACATCCCTTATTCTAGCTAACCAGTTTTCCATGAATTCTTTTATACACATTACCTTGCTCATGCTACATCAGCATGCCAAAACATAAAAACCACTTGTCTGCTAAATCTGATATAAGTAACACACTCACAGAAACCTAGATGCTCCAACCTTAACACTCCAAACCTCCTTTACCCTTTTCCCCTCTCTGACCAACCTTGCATGTGACAACCCCTACACCTCTTTTCCAACCAATATTATACCAGCTTTATCCTCTCATTTTTCTCCATCTTTAAATGCAGTAACCACCTCTACTACCGCTCTGCTGCACTCTGAGTGTCTTCTGATTTCTGTTTTCATTTCTCTGCATAATATTCACACACTACTCTCAAGCATTACATTCTCCACTGCCTTTAATCTCCTCTCTGCAACTTTTAAAATACATGCCTCACACTCATACTTTGATTTATTTCCCCTTTTTGCCTCAATAAATAAGCTTCTTTCTTTTCCGTGTTTATTTTATGGTTCAACCTGTCTTTCATAGAACATCTGCTGACATGTCCATTCCCAAATATCTAAATACCATACATTTACTTCTTCCATACTCTCTCCCTTTAATCTGATATTCAAGCTTTCACTGCTAAGACATTGTTACTCTCAGCACTTTGCTCATTGTTATGTTCACTTTTACACATGCTCCAATCTTTGCAATTTTCTTCAGAACCTCCCAAAAGAATTGTGTCATCAACAAAGAGTAACCGTGACAACTTCCACTTTGTATCAATTTCATCATCTTGTAATCCCACACCTTTTCCCAACACCCTAGCATTCACTTTTACAACCACATTTCTAAACATGTTAAACAATCATGGTGATGCCATACATTCCTGTGTATGGCCTACATATTATCATCATCATAATTAAATGGAAAACAATACCAGAACTAAGTGGTGTATATAATGTAAAATACATAATTTTTAAATATTATGAATCAGCTTACTGACATTCCTTATTGCCATTCATTTACTATCATGAATAAATAAAATATATTTACTTTAGGGTAAATATCAATGACTTACCTGGTGTTCTGCACCAAGTGTTTGCAGCTGTGTTGGTCTTCACCATAATGGGCCGAAAGAGAACATTGGGAATGTAATATGTATTCTGCAGACGAACACCTAGACCACTGACAGATGCTTCATTGGCTACATGGCCAACATCAGTTATCATGTCCACTTTTAATGCCTCAAATTTTCCATCATCATCAAATCCAACCTAGCATGAGTAGTAATAATTACTGAATTATTTTAATGTACAGCATTATGAAGTACTGTAGAAACAATTATATTAATGTATCATGTTTATGTTCTTATTTGTTAGTGGTTGCAGAAGTCAGGTTGTAACTCCTCAAATGTTATTTTTTATAGTTTAGAATGCATCAACATTGGCAGCATAAAGGACAAAAGTAATAGAACAAGTGCCATTTGTGTACAATCTGTCATTAGTTGACAAGTAATCCATGAAACCAATGTACAATATAAACAAACATCCTACTTGCCTCATACTTTGACATATATGGCTCGCGCCAACCAACTAAACTCATGTGGGTCTGAAGGTCAAGAACAATACGAACAGGTCTCTTCAGTTTCTCTGCAGCTACAGCAGCTGCTGAAACAACTATATTCTGTCTGCTGATCTTCCCTCCAAAGCCACCACCAATGCGACGCACTGCCAAATTAATGCTGTAAGTGAGGGTTTTCTCATTAGACTAATTTCAATAACGAATGGCATTCAAATAAAAAGTACACATGAATGATTATAAGGAATAAAAGGCACATCTCCATGGGAAAGTGGAGAAGAATCCTTTGTCCATAAACTATGCATTTCATAAGAGGCAACTAAAATGCCGGGAACGAGGGGCTAGTAACCCCTTCTGTACAAATTACTAAATGTAAGAAGAAAAACTTTTGTTTCTTTTTTTACAGGTCATCCTGTTTCAGTGGCAGATGGTTGATGTTTAAAAAAAAAAAAAAAAAAAAAAAAAAAAAAAGGCAATACTGTAACTGGAACAACACACAAATAGCCCACACATGGAAGACTGAAACTCATGACAATGTTATGGTCCGACTTGGACCATTAACTAGGCACAAACAGAAGTGTGAAGGGAAGGGAGCCAGAAAATATATAAAAGGAGAGGACAGGAGAGGTAGAATAGAAGGAAATATTATAGCAGTTGTTAACTGTGGTAGTAGTTAGCAGTAATTGGCAGTAGTACTTGATCTCTAACATAA